ACTCCCACCACCCCCCTATCTCTTGGCTTGTCTTCCTTTCTGCCTTTTGCTTCTTCTCTTGGCGGAAATCGATGATTGATAGAGTGATGCGTAGAGTGGGTTTAGGTTATGTGCGTGTGTGTGTGTGTGTATGAGTGTGTCACTGGCCCCTCCAAGACGTTTAAAATGAGATGAGAGTGTGACTTCGGTGATGGGCCCCAAGTGTACCCGTTCGAGGGTATCTGTCTCTGACGACTTCTTTTGGCGCCCCCGGATACACAACATCCCGCGGCCTGCTGATAGGCCAGCTTTATTTTGGTGATTAGTGAACGTGCCCGCCCCGGCTGCGTGCGAGGCCAATGGGAAGCCGCCAGAGCGACGCAAGGAGGGCCGAGGTCCCTTTTCTAGCGCAGGTGGTTGGCTGAGGATCATCATTAAACCAATTTCTTCACAACTAGACCAGGCCCTATATCGTTCGGAGGGAGAAAAGACGTCACGCTTCCAAAATCTATCTCTCTCTGGGGGGATCAGCTCTTCTTGGTGAGGGGCGGCGGATGAGGTGAGAGACCCCGGTCCGGTTGAAATGCGCATACGGACAGCTGTGCGAATGACCTTCCCAATCCCTGTCCCCTGGTCGCTGTCTCTCGACGACCGCTTCCCACACCCTCGAGGGGTCCTTCCCGACGTGGTTGCTTTTCAGCTGCCTCTGTACCGATGATCTGGTTGAATCGGGCTCGGTTATCTCTTTTGTTCCCGCCTTTTTTCTTCTTTTAATTTGGTTGCCTGTTCCTTCTTTTCTATTTCACACGCCCCCCCTTACCCTACCCTTCCTCCCCATCCCCCCCGGTCTGGGTCCCTTTCGGTTCGTCGCCTTCGCCTAGGGATATTACCACATTACATTGCGTGCGTCCGTACCATGGGATTTTGATAGACGTTTATATGGGTCGCGTACACATGTGCAGCCGGCACCGTCGTCATCTCATCCCATGGGCTCGGTTGTTGTTTTGGTTCGCTTAGTTCCCCGCCTTTTCTTTTTTGTGTGTCCCAGGGCAATTTGGCAGATTCCCATCATAGCAAAGTGCCATTGTCGGTGTTGCAGGGGGACTGTCAGTCCCCTTCACCTCGAAAGGGAAGCTTTGGTGTTGACTGATGTTCATTACTCTAGCGCACTAGGGAAGGTCCTAGTTCAAGCCCCGTCTCGCCCGCTCTACCCTACACCCGTGATGTGTTAGATATGCACCGTCTCTCCTTGCCTGCCGGCGCCGCCACCATGCAGAGTGCCAATGCAATGTAATAATATTGTTGCCTGGAATTCACACTAGTTCGGTGTTCATGTCGGTGTTTTCTAGATCCTATCTTGTGCTAATTTTGTTGAGCTGCACAGGCGGCACAGACGGTTCAGTCGGTGGTGCCAGCGGCATGCAGCCACCCACCGCCCAAGCCCGATGCAGCTCTATAAGCTTCATCCAACGCAATTGACTTTTCCCCTTCCCCCTTGCGAAATACAAACACCCACGCCAGATTGCCCTTCACCCGCCTGTAACGCCGAGCCTACCTGTCTGCCTAATGCTGTGCGACCAACTAAGAGCCCTTCTATCCGCCGAGAACCCGCCGGGCACAACTTGGCTAGCCAACGACCCATGCCGTTCCCATCGTCGTGATGTTGGGGATTTGGTGACCGACTGAAACGGTCAACTGTCACATTCCTTCTGTGCAGTCCTTGCTCTTGATGCTCTCCCTAGCGATATGCTTTACCGTCGGCGTCGATCTTGCCACCGAAACGTCGCTGGGCAGCTTCATTGGAACGGCGAAGCTGCGGAAGCCCATCTTTCATGCCATCTGGGGGTACTTCTCCAGCGCCGGGTGCAGTCGTGCATATGTTGGTAGTGCACTGTTCCTCATCCTTCTCCATGGCTCCCAGTGGAGTATGAGGGGATTTGACAGTTGCATTCTCGTTCCTGGAATGAGTGTCACTTATGTCGACCTCGTCTTGCGTCACCATATGACTATCCTCGCCCTCGACGAATGAAAACTCTCGCTGGTGGCGCTGCTTCTCCGCGGCGAGGCTGGGGCTCCCAGAGAGGATTCGATCTCGTTCCAGTGCTGGGCCGCTCGAGCGCTTCGTAGACCCGTGGGCATCACTGCTGGAGCTCGAGGACGAGGTTTTTGATGAGGGCGTACTGGGTACCTCCCGAATGGTTGCGTGGGTTTGTATTATGGAGGTCACATTATCAGCCAGAGGCTCCTTGTCTATCTTCATGCTAAGTGTGACGTCGCTTTTAGGGTCGAGGATACGAGGGCGGCCAACTGTAGTTGTCAAGCCAGGTTAGTTCTCGTTACTGTAGTCTACCATGTTATTGGCGATTACCTACTAAGTGAGTCACGATGGCGGGCAGCTGAAGCTTCGGTTTTGAAGACGCCGCGGTCTGTAGTTCCTCTGCGGTGGTTCCCCAATTCTGTTGGTGAGATGTTCTGATCGCCCGTGACATTTCGAGAACCCCTCCTGATGAGACTACCAGATCTCGCCATCGATACAGCCTCGAGACCGCTTCTAGAGGTTCGGTGTATGATTATTTCGAGCCGTTTTATCTCGGCCTTGTATCTTGCTTCGTGGATGGTCCATTCCGTTACTAGAGTATCAAACTCCTCGTTTTCCTTCTGCCGGCGCTCAACGGCCTGCGAGAGTTTGGTTTGTGCCTTTGATGTCTCCTTCTTTGCGGCGGCGTAGGCTTCGATGAGATGGAGAATGGAGGAGCCATACTCTGGCCCCAGGGGCTCGAGAGCTGGTTTTGACATGACAGCTGCTAGAAGAGTATCTACTATGTGGTCCATGGACGGGTTGTGTGCAACGCGATCCGCCTCCCTCACGAGCAAGTCGGGAGTTGAAGATTTTGGTGCCACCGGTGTCGAGGATGCCTGCGAGAGCGCCGGCCAGCTGGGAAGCCTCGACAGGGCTTTCGAGTGGCCGCTATGAGTGCGTCTCTGTGGGATGGCCTCCGCATCCGGACCCGCGGGCTGTTCGTTCTGCTGCGCATCCTGCTTTGGTTGCTGAGGGTTGCCTTGCTGTGAAGTTGTTGCGCTGGCAGAGGACTCAAGCGGGGGAGAAGCACTATTTGTAGGTTTTGCTGGTGTTCGACTTCGCGGGCCAGAAAGGAGCCTTAGCCAGTTGCCATCCGCCATGGTTGTCGCATGAATGAGCTGGAGATGGATGAAGAAGAAGTCAAATGTTGCTGAGATCTCTCTCTGATCGTTGACCTTTTCTCTCTGACTCACGGCGTTGCTCCTTCCTTTTGGCAAACTAGGCTGCAGAAGAAAGGAACGTATCTCCTTTGCGCGAGGCTCTTGTTGCTCTCGACGAGCTTAAGCGTTCATTCTCTTCGAGCCCGAAATATCTCGTTGGTCTCAGTTGTCAATTACCTGTGTGCACCTGTGACATGTCAGCGTGTAGGGGAGAGCGTCAGGGAAGGCCGATGGCTCCAGACTCTCACCGTGTCCTGAGCTGAGACGAAAGTGAGAACTCGGTAGAACGTTTGTGGGCAAACAGGCGCACGTGAAATCATTCACCCGTTGCCTGCCTCTGCTAGCCCCCGACAAACAACTGTGCACGCTCTACATCTTGTCAGTAGCAGCAGAGTAGCAAACAAGCCGCGCTGAGGGTCTCGCAGCTCACTCAAGCGAGGGGAAGTTACTGGCTCATATACTTGGAGCCGTGAGAGGTGGCGGGATACAGGAGGCTTGCTGTATTGCCTTTCTATCGGCTGGTTACAGTGTGTGAACCCTTAATGATCCAACAGCCGCCAGCTTTCGCCGGCTTTCGCTTCTGCCGCAGGTTGGTATCACCGGATATGAAACCCTGACACGAGTGAAGGCCACATTGGTTTTATCGCAGCTACTATTCACATTTGCATTGATGGTACAAGGGAAAAGAATTATTGTTTGCAATTACTTGAATATCTACTTTTGCACGGACATTAAATTTTGGTATATTGTGGCTTCACCCTAGAGGCCTCACCTGCTATCCTCTTGTTGCTCAATTACCCAACATACCCGTTCAGGATCATCGTTTGAATGTCTGTTCCAAGCAGTCTCCGTGCACACTCAAAGAACTTAGCCTTCGAGCGGCACATGATTGCGGAGAAAGTCATTACGGAGCTCTAGACGTAAGGGACTGCCAGTCATCCTATAATTCTCAGAGGGAGTACTAGGTCGACCTACCGCTGAAGGATTTGCGTTAGGTAGTTGGGCTGGCCTTCTACTCCTCGATGTGGACCTGTGAAGAGGATAATGACTAGGAGCATAATGTTGACTGCCCGGTTAGAAACTTCAAACCCCCAATGCGTCTAAGCAACCGTGGCAGCTACTTTCTATCATGACTATTAGCCATCAGTTGTTATTGCACTGGGCTTTGAGCCTAAGGCTTGAGTCACTCTCTCAGGCAGCGATCAGATATCTCGACTGTATAAAGCCTATGCTGTTAACTAGTATAGAACGCACGCTCTATAGAGGATAGGACAGTACTCATTTGAGTCATAGAATAGAAATTGAGGTGGAATGACTCATGCTAAAGAGCTTATGTATCCCACAATTTGGTATATTTTCATGCAAATATAACCCAGTCTTCGACGATCGGACGCCTAGGGTAGTTAGCATTCCGAAATACCCGCACCTCGACCCAAATAGAGTGACATACAAAGAGGAAATGGGCTTGTTGTGTCCGGATCTGTAAAATATATATTGCCTGGGACAAATAGAGGATTGCCTTTTAGTTTCCTGCTATATTGTAGCTTCAAATGCCCGCTCGCTACGCATTTCAGAATCGGCAGCATAGGCGGATCTCCTTACCCCCCATACAAGATCAGATGTAGGGCCAGGATAAGAATGTGCAGAGCTGAGTCTCGAGAGACGGACGGTAATGATTATGCAAAGGAACCACACTCTATTCCTATATGTTGTGGAAGTCTTGGCACGCTGGTTTTATCCGCCCAACTTCGTATCATACATTCCAAATCTGCCCACCGCACTTAAGCTGCATCTCCCAAAACCTTCTTGGTATCCTCATCCTTTCCTAGCAGGCCCAGGTTCCTTATTTGCTTAGCTGTGGGGGCATCTTCTCGTGGTGCGGCGTTACGTTGCTTGTTGTAGGCAGCTTGAATCGCCAGCGCTCGGGCATGCTGTATTCCAAGTTAGCCCTCGTCCAATTACCCCAACAAGAACAAAGGGGGGGGGGGTCTGATTGCATTCGGATATCCCGCTCGCCGGTGCGGGTCGTTTCGACAGATGGTACCGACCTCTTTCTTGTGGTGCAGACACTCGTAGTAGTCCTCCAGGACCGGGGAGCACTTCTTCCTCCCAGCGTTATCCTCGGCGGATGCGTTGACGACGTAGCAGGCAAGGACCTCCTGCCAGAAGGGAAAGCAGCGGCCGACGCCTAGAGATATCAAACTGAGGTTAGCCGACTTCGCGTTGAGGTCTGATGCTGGTGGCCGGGACGCCGGGGCCCAATGGCTGTTCGGATTGGCCGAGAGCGTAAGAGAGACTCACCGCCGTTCATTCCATATCCCGACGACATGATGATGTGATTGTTTGCGGGCCGAGAAGCTTAGACCGAGGGACGCTTTGGTTGAGCAGTTGTCGCACTCACGTCCTCAATTGAGAGATAGTCCAAAGCCTCAGTTGCTTACATACGGGGTGCTCTGATTGGCACAACTGGCAAAATGCAGCTAACGAGGCAGTCAAAGCCGAGATCTTATGCTGAGGTACTTGTATTTTCGCCTTGTCCGAACTTGATAACAAGTACCGCAGTTAGTTAGGTAATCCCTCGCTTAGGATTGTTTGCTGGATTTGAAACGCACCACTAGATGCATAATCTTGCCTTACGTAAGGAGCCATCCCACCAGCAGCCCAAGTTGCCAAGCAAGAGCTAGCCGATATGGATACGTCAGTGGATAATTAATGGCATTGCAAGTTGGCATTTATTGCGACGACTGTGTGTGATACGCTCGCTTCACGTGCAAGAGCAAGTTCAGCTCGAGTGCATCGCTCTTTAATAGCTTATTGCTGAAGGTCTGAAGCCTGATAAGAAAGGTCAAGGCTTGGGGTTTCCTTACAAGCTCCCTTCTGGAAGCTGTCCTCCCACCACTGACGAGAGCGCATAACCTCCACTGTCTTACGAGACCAGCCATACGACAAGAACTCGAAAATCCAACTTTCCTGCTGCACTGCTGAAACAACCATCATGGGCTCCGCGCCCCAACCGGCCCGAGTCGTCCTTTTGGCCGTTTATTTTGCGACCAACAGCGACATCGATAGCCTTCGGGCGCTCGCAGCTCAGCATCGCGAGATTCTTCGAAACGAACTTCTCCTCCGAATACTCCTGACCTATGTCCCCGAGACCACCCACCCTTCACAGTATGCCGAATTTGTGCGCGAGATCTCCCAGGATGAGATTTCTCAAGGGTCAGACGATGTTGCTCTGGACTTCTCTCCTCTTGGCCAGTTGACGGACAGTCAGGCGTCTAAGAAGGCTAGGAAGCTTCATCTGTTACAATTGACTTCTGCCGATGCTCCTGGGCCCGAACCCGACGATGTTCTCTCCCAGTTTCTCTTCCAAAGAGCGTATAAAATGGATGAGGATGCTGGCATGCTTAGCTTGGTCCCGGACCTGCTCGTGCCCTTCCTCGACCAGTCACCAGCAATCCGTACATGGGTGGCTTCCACCATTCTCCCACTTATAAGGCGGAACTTTGATTACTACTCCCAGAACGCGGCCCAGCATTCGCTTCGCGAGTTCCAGAACCTGCCCGACCTCACTGCTATGGAATACCTTCTTTCACGGACAGACCAAATAGAGGAAGATGTCAACAATATTGGACGAGATTTACGAGGATTAGCAGGACCCTGGCTATACAACGATTCTAGATGGAATTTAGGATTTAACAGTGAGTCTGATGAGAGCCAGAATGGCGTCTCATGTCAGGGGTGGCAATATGTTCTCGACTGGCTCGTGCTTCACGCTTCCAAATCATGGAAGGTAACAGCAGATGCAATTGAGGAGTGGGATGGGCCGTCTGACGCTGATCTGGGGGATGCTGCAGGCGTATTTCTGCGCCAGCAACAGCTCGACTATCTTTCTGAGACATACATCAGAGCCGCTCTAGCTTCAGCATACCTGATACCTGAGCCATCAATGGATGCTCTAGCCGGTGCCTATCGTATCGTTAGTCGAGCTTGGCTTCTTTTCGGCCAGGATCAACTTCCTTCGTTCCATGCATCACTAGAGCATCTACCTGCCCTCCCAGCGCTCAGCACATCGAATCCTGCGGGAGGAAAGGTTTCTGCCACCCAAATGAGGAATGACCTTCTGCAGTCCTCAAACCCCTTGACAGCGCCGAGCGTGTCGTCAATGAACTTCCTCCAGGGTCTTATTCTGAGTGCTAGTGTAATGACGAAATTAGGAATCCCCTACTCTGTTAAAAGGGCAGGGGAGATGGTTCTGTTGAGAGACGCGCGAGAGCAGAAGGGCGAACTTGTGAAACTGGTACGCCTCGTTTTGAACCAAGCGTCAAGGAGTAGTGATGAGTACTGGATAACTGCCCGACGGGAGATTTTGTGGCTCCATAACTGGGGGAACCCGAATGCTGCCTCGGGCGATGCAAAGCTCGGCATATTTGGATTAGTCTCAGAGAGTGATGTCGAGACAGAACTCCTCAAGGCCATGCTCTCCAGCATGTGTAAGTTTAACTTCCAACCAATCCAGAATGACCCGCTTGCTTATTTCTCACTAGGTTACTCATTGGCCAAGTCCATCTACGAAGATGCGAGTGTCAGGCCTTTACCGGACACCGTTGTTCAGGATGCCGTGTATCACGCTGCTTTGGATGCCTTTGATAATGCATCCAACCCGAATCGGACGAGGGGTGGGTTGAAAAAGTGTAATGATATGTACGTGATCAACACTAAGTAACAAGGTTACTGATGGAACTATTGCTAATGAGAGCTCAGAATCCATGCACTGCCGCTCCTTGTTCCCCGAACATTAGAATCTACAAAGCAAATCGAGGCTTTACTGAGCGCAGCCCACGCACTTAGCAGCTACCGGCTCGTCCTAAAGCAGGGTGAACCCTTCAGCCCTGTTGTCCTCAGGGTTCACTCCGACCCGGTCTCTATCCTCGACAAGGTCCTGGAGCAAAATAAGGGAGCCTATACCCGTCTCCAGGAGTTCTTGGAGATTGGAACCAACATGATTACGGCCAGCTTCCTCATCCAGAAACGACCTGGGAAGATACCTAACCCTGTGGGAGACTTGGAAGGCGAGCTCTTCGTTGTGGAGAAGCGGATAGTTGCCATGTGTATATCCGCTGCGCTGAAAGAAGACGACTTTGAGACTGCATACTCCTATGTGGTTAGCAGACTCGGCGATTCGGCTAAGCCATCTCGCAACGATGAATGGTCATGGAACGCTGCCCTCCAGGCTGGGCAGTACATTCGCACTTCGAGGTCACAACAACCCACCCATCTGGGGACCGCCAGTGGGAATCTGGAGATCCGCCACCTCGAGCAGCGGCTCGAGTGCCTGGCGATGGCGCTACGGGTTGCCCCGCCATCCGAGCTCCAGACCATCCTCGAGAGCTTCCGAAAGTGCGAAGCACAGCTGGACGCAGCTATTTCGGATGAAGCTGCCAAGGAGGCAGCATGGGACGAGACGGGCGATTTGCGAGGCATCCCCGGGGCGTTCGACAAGCCGACCAACCAGGCATACCCCGCTCGGAATATCACTGCCTCGTCGACTGCCCGGCAGCAAGAGGAGGCGCCAATGTCGCTGTTTGATCTGTCGCGGGCGACAGCGAGAGTGGCGTCGAGGAATCTGACGTCCCTCTCGAGTCTGCGAGATTTTGCGAGCGGCGGCGGCGGCGGGGACCATCAGTCGGCGGCGTCGTCGGACACACCGGACGACTCACAGAATGAGCCTCGAGCCAGAAAGCGCGACCAGCTGCGCGAAGCAGCCACGGGAACCTTGGTCTCTGGTGTGGGATGGTTGATTGGCGCCAACGTCAACCGCCAATCTAATTGAATACAAACTAATATTGGTCTTGCATGATTGGACGAAAAAAATGTATATTATGATGTTTGTACGACACTATATAAGGCAAGGTGTCTGGGTAGAATACGTGGGCATGGTTTAGCGATGATATGGATATCAATAAATCTTCCAAAAGATACAAAGAGTGCCGGGAAATATGAGAAATTGGTCTGAGCTGCGTATGATCTCGTGATGATGCTGGTGACGGAGCAATGACAGACCTCTCTGCTGAGTTCAAGACCTTCCCTCTGCTGCTTCACTGGCAAGTCATCGTCTTCGAAATGAGGGGAAGGGTGGGACAAAGGGTCTCAAATCCCAATGAGCGTGACCTTGTCAATAGCTGGGAGTGCAGCGCCGCTTACCAGAAGGGTAGTGAAGGGGGGGTTTCGGTACTTCGTAAAAGGCTCGATTCTCTATCACCTGACACATTAGTAAAGCCAAAGTGAGAAAGTGCCTGCAATGAGTTATTAGGGTGGCATTGAGATTTTTGTCGGATAAGGTCGGGAGGGCCCGTGGCTGGATGTGGTGTCTTTGTTCTGCAGCCTCACTTTTTGTTTGCCCAGACACGAGCCACCCACCATGCCACGTCATGTGGCCGATCAACCTGCCTGATGGTCATTGTGTTGATAATCGAAACCTACCAGAGTATCCAGGGTCGGCCAATCATGGCAATGTCAATTACCTTTCGGGACAGATCTGTGCCATCAAGCGAGCTGCGGTTGGAGAGCGGCTGACAGGTTGTAGCCGGCACTTGGAGTTTACGGCGATTTAAATTAATGGTGAGCGCATGGCGGCACAATTACAGACATGTCGAAAGTCGCAAAGAAAAGGCGAAGAAATAATTAATCAAGGCGTACTGGGCAAGGCGGTCGGCATTAATAAGATGGCAAGAGTCGCCGGCGACATGAATTCCCCGGTTCCAACGCGACGAAATCTCCTGCCCGTTCCGATCTTCTGGCGACAATATTACATAAGAGGTTGTGAAAAAGAAAACGAATCTCAGACCGATTGGCGTGACTCATGGATTGGATGAGCGTCAAGAACCCATTGCTGGGGTTTGCCGAGAATGGCGAAGCCCATTAGAAGCGAGGGCATATAGGTAGGTGTGCATGTTATGACGAACGTGATCAAATCTCTTGATTCTGCCAAGATCTCCGGAGGTTGCTAAGCTTGTGGCCATGAAGCAACCCTGTCGTGACAGATGGACCAATAAAGAAAAAACTTGCGGCGAAGGCCGGATACCCTATTTTGTTTCCCTTCCTAACCGAAACGATCGCATGAAACTCCGAATGAGCAGATACCGTTCAGAAGATTTGCGACGGTCCATGGAATCTTGTAGATGAAACGAAAGTATAATGGACTGCAAATCGAGAACGTAAACGACAACTGAAGGCAGCAAAATACAGGCCGAAATTCGATCACCATGTGTTATCGAGTAGGACGTGAGGTTTGTGACGCAACCAACGATCAAGCGGGGCCTGAGAATATTAGCGGGAACATGGGTCGCAGAACACTCAGTAGCCCGAACCTCCGGCTGACTCGCCGTAGCCTGCACCGCTGGCAGGGGGGTCTCGGGATCGAGGTGCGTCGCGATCGTAACGCTCGCGATCGTAGCCGCCACTACCTCCGCTGGGACCGCTGGGGCCGCTACGAGCACCGCCGTAGCGATCACGATCTTCACGGCCTTCAGTGCGACCTTCAGCACGGCCTTCACCACGACCCTCACCACGACCATAACGCTCACGGCCATAGTAGCCATCATCGCGATCTCTGCGGTCGTAGCTACTACGGTCGTAGTCACGGTCTTCGTAGCGGCGCTCTTCACGGTAGCCTCTGTCGTAGCCACGTTCGTAGCCGCGGTCATCATTGCGTCGGTAGCCACCGCGCTCGTAGTTGCGGTCATAGCCACGGTAGCGGTAAGGGTCGTCGCGACCGTAGCCACCACCACCACCACCACCGCGACGGCGGTCATCGTGGCGAGGGCGAGGGTCTAAGATGCGTTAGAAGGAGAGATGAGAGACGAATAGAATACGTAGCATACCTCGCTTTGGTGGTCCGAAATACTTGCCGGGAGTTGGGGTGCGTGGGCGAGCACGGCGTGCCTTTTCGATGCTCAAAGTGCGGCCATCAATCGTCTCGCCTTGAAGTCCCTCCTTAGCAGCCTCAGCTTGGTCAGATGTTACCATTTTGACGAATCCAAAACCTCGGGACTCCTTGGTATGGGGATCACGCATGATCTGGCACTTTTCGACCTCTCCGTACTTCTCGAACATCTTGGAGATCTCGCTCTCGGAAAGGTTGGGGTTGATACCAGTGACGAAGAGGTTGGAGCCTGGGTTCACGGCACCATCATCATCGTCGTCCTTGGGGCCAGAGCCACCCTTCGCGCTATTCATCTCAAGGTCAGTCGTGTAAAGATGGGGTTTGAAATCCTTGGGTCGACAAACCTGTCGTGGTGGCCGCCGGGGGAAGCAGAGCGGCGGCGAGGCTCATCATTATCGTCACGAGGAGGACGAGGAGAGGCACTTCGGTTGTCGCGGTCGTACCGGGGAGCCTCGTCTGAAAAAAAAAAAGTCATGGTCAGCCAATCTGTCCTCGCTTCAGGAAAAAAACAACAACATGGGGGTGCTATCGAGTTCAAGAGTCGTTGTGACAACCCCAGACAGGAACTTTGGAGGGTTGACACATTTGGTTGATGGATGTGCTGGTAGGCTTTGAAATCACCAACGCGTAGCCTTGTGCAATAATCTTTACGTACCCTCGTAGCGGTCGCCGTTGGCGGTCTCGTAGTCCATCGCAGTAGTCGCCATTTTTATTGCACAGGTTGCCAGTGGTTGAGGGGCGGGAGATGGAGCCGGGATGGAGACGGGCTGAGGATGGCAATGGTGCAGCTTTGGAGACAAAGGTGGATGGAAGAAGGGAAAAAAATCCAGATTTGAAGCTTGCACGCGCCGAAATGAGGCTGTGCAGTTTCCGAGATCCAGGGCGACCGATGATTAAGCGGGGCTTTCCTTCTCTGGGACCTGCCTAGCGAGAGGCGGCCTAGCGCCACATCTGGGTACCTTCCTACCTAACACCCGAGCAGCTTCCCCGGCTGCTGCCGACAAGGGCAGGATTACACACAGCTGTTAGCCTGTTTGTGCCTGGCAACCGTCTGACCTAGCGACAGATACGGTGCGGATCCTGTGAGGCCGTTATAACTGCAGGTGCTACCCGAATCAACCTAATTCCAGCGGCTCTCACAGATGGGCACCAGTAATTAATAATATGCATATCGATTGGATGTCTAGATGTAGTCTATGCATTCAAACCCTGCGATTCGCTAGCTCTACCGCAACTTGAGTGGCACGACAGTTAGTCTTACAGCTCCATTCCGTAATCCGTTGAAACCGGAACACCTTCCTCGAGATCCGCTGCCAGCGCCGCGGCCACGTCAACCAGCTGGTCGTCTTCTGCGTCGAGAAAGTCCAGGCCCTTGGAGGCTTGCCCCCTGCACGCATGCTTTAAGACCAGGGGAGCGAAATGGCCTCCAACTACAGGCCGAGCCATGAACCTGACTGGGGAAAAGTCACCCTCTCCCTCGGTGTCATACAGGTCTGTGAAAGGCCGGTCTTGACACGTATGATCTGATTAGCCATGCGCCTATATACCAGCACTTATAGGTGCCCCTGATCATTGTGTACATACCTGTGATGGTCTCATTCACCCATCGAGCGATGCTCTCCACTAGCGCCTTGCGAGTCTTGGTGCTGGTGATGGCCGCGGCAAAGAACTCCCAATCGCTCTTGGTGTACAAGTGCCTGCTGTCGAGTGGAAGTCCGTACCGTTGCAGGACGGAAAGGTACCATTTACTCTGATTCTTGTAGATATCATTGGGGATGAAATGCTTCTGCCTGCTCTCTGCATCATCGCTGCCTGTGCCGTGACCGGATGGCAAATGGAAGCATAGAAGCGCATCTGCGAACAGGTTGTAGATGGTCGTCCATGACCCATACCAAGTATAAGCAAGCTTTGCATGAGTTCGGTCTCGGGACAAGCCGTACTCTTGCCACTTCTCAATGTATACGTCTGAGATGTTTTTGTAGTACTTGGCATCTTCCGTTTCCCCGACCAGATCTGAAAGTTCGCTCATTGCCCTGATGCCAATGATGCCCTTCAGAGCCAGGTTGGTCTGATTCGCAAGCCAACCAGCGAAATCATCAGTGCATAGCTGATTTCGGGGTATCAGAGACTCGCGGATCAAGTAACCTGCCCACTGCTTCCACATTGGGTAGGCGCGCTTCACCCATGCTTTTGCAGCCGAATCTCCTGAAACTGCTTCCAGATCAGATCCTTCCGTGTCGATTGAGTCATGCCTGGTGAGGCCACGAAGGGGGGACTCCAGTGAGAGAACCTGTTGATCAGCCTCAGGCATTTGGTGAGATCCAATGAGCCAGGTCTGCTTCGATTCATGCCTCAGTGCATTGACAACGGCCAATCCCATGATGAGCATGTCGCCGCATTCTTCAACGGGCATGTATTCATCTTGTCCATCAGCATGGCCCGTTGCATTGGGGAAATGAGCTCCCAAGTCATGCATGCTGTACTTATTGGGATACTGGCCGCTGAGCTGGTGCTCGAGAAGTGGCTCCAGGAGGTTTATAAGCCACTGAGGATTCGTGTATAGGAAGAAAGGAAACGAGGGGAAGATCACGTCCACTGTCTGAAAGTTTCCGTTTGAAGAGATCTCTTTGAGGAAAAGGATTGGATCTGACAGAGTTCCGGAAAAGTAGGTGGCCCCGAGGACCTGTCGGGCAGATAGGGCGGCAATATCCCCGTACCCTTCAAGATCTAAGCTCTCTGCATCGAGACGAAGTTGCTCTGAGTAGGCCGTGGCAAGCGAGGCTGCCGTGGGAAAGTCAGAATAGTGGTATCTGATCATATCATCTGCGTCTGGAATAGAACCGGTCCATAAGGGGCGCATCATGGTCAGACCACGAGCGGCAGCAAACTGAACTACAGGGTCTTGAACCAAACCCAAGGAGAAGGTGATGGACGGGGAAGAAGAATCGAGGACATGGGAAAAAGCGAAAACGGGTTCCTCTTCCATAATCCGGCGAAAGTTGCTGTCAGTCTGGTTCGAAAGACCGCCATGCACGGCGAACTTGTTGCGCAGAATAGCAGACGTTCCCGCTTCATGGGATGCATTGTTAGGGCCGGTGAAGTACAAAGTTCCCCATTCTGCTTTATCACTCGTCTCGGTAAAGTGTTGCTCAGTTTCGCGCCTAACTTTCCAAGATTTCGTAGAAGGTGATTTGGTTTTTGCCGAGGGCAGATCACTCAACTCCCAGATAATAGTATTGTCACGGTTGCCGCTCACCCACTCACCGTTCACGTCGGTGTACACTTTGACTGGTCCTTTACCCTTAATATCTATGGTAAAGTAGGCTGCTGGGAGGGATTGGCGTAGAGTTGATGTGGGCGTGATTGGAGACAGGAAGGATATTGTCACCTTGGTAGACTTGGCCAGCGGTTCCTTGGCCTGGAGCGTGTAAGTGAGATTCGTAGTTACAGCGTCAAAAGATACCTCATAGTCAGAAGGCTCAGACACTGTGAAGCTAGAAATGGGGGTCAGCAAAATATTGGTTCTCATCCTACCTCTTCCCCATTACGGCTTACTTGGGAGAAGAATCTGGTAGCGAATCTTGAGGTCGACCTAGTAATGGATATATAGTGTTGGTGTCCGGCAGGGAGACCATGACTGAGAATCCAATCTATCATCATTATCATTAGAATACGAGGGCCGATCAAGATTAAATGCTGGGCAGTTGGCTCAGTTGGAAAACTCTCATACATGGTGCCCAGCCCAGAACATCGGCCAGTGAGACCATGGTGCCTCACGGGCATGCGGAAGCCATGTGCTGAGGTACGGGTTCCGGACAATCAGTGGTAGTACAGGCGGCGTGAGCGAAGATGCCTGTGCGAGGGCCGCAGCCAGCACGGCGCCGATAATCAGATTCATTCTTTGGGGTCCTCACAGCTGGAGATGATAGAGAAGCACGACAATTACGCCTGTTTGAGATGGTAAGGTAACATGAAGGGATGTGATCGAATGTGGAGGTGATAGGCAGGGGCTATTCTCTATGTACAGCATTTACAGTGTGAATCGGAATGGGAACTTGAACGCCAAATGCGGAGATGGAGGGGCGTGATGTAATCGAATGGGGGAGGCATGGATGGAGAGGCGCAGGAGGATGATCTGACAGTCGTGACGCAGACACTAAAGCTTCGGGACTGTTTAGCCGTTTCTCAAACGGTGTTTCATCACTCATGGGCCGTGGATGACATGAGACAGTAGAATGGGCGAGACGATTGGCTCTTGTTAGAGGGCCATCCACACTAGAATCGTTCCTTAATTCTACTACAGGGATAGCATCCTATGTCTAGACACATTCGTAATATTCCACAAGATGTCAGCAATGTGATACTCTGAGACGATATTTTGAAGATTTTTACATATTCAATAGTCTCGAAATTCAAAATATGGCCGGGCTTGATATTTTGGTGACCGGGCAACGAATGCCCAGCGCATGATCATGGGCCCAAGATCTGGCGTATCAAGCGGTGTATGCCTGCGTTTATGCATCCCGCGGCTGGGCTTATGCGTGCCCATTGCATGTTAACTTTCGCCAACATGGTTCCCAGGGAACGTCAATGCTGTCACCCGGGCACCCGTGTATCCGTGCATCCATGCTTCCTTTCGGCAGCTTTGCTCTGGGGCTGGCCAAACCCATAGGCATGGTGGAGGGACGTACCGAGATGACGGTACATTGCAAGTACATCGCAGCCATTGTAAGAGAATATGGCATATAATATTTTCCCTACCATACATCCTCCGGGTTGACAAAGTGTTGTTCCCCGTCACTTCTAATGTGCTGGAGCTTCTGGTCTCTCTTCATGGGTTTGCGCATGTCGAAGGCATCTTCGCTTGACTGGGTCGGGTCGGTTGCATGATCACCATAGTAGTCCTTGACCACGCGGAAGACGCTGTAGCCCATGTTCTTGTAGAAGGTGATTGCGCGCTCGTTGCTTCGGCGGACAAATAGATCGACAAACCAGGAGTCATTGGCGTCGGCGACAAGCTCGAGCTGTTCGGTGAGGATCTTACCGATGCCTAGTCGTCGGGCTTCGGGAGCGACGGTGAGAGCTGTGATATGCGCATGCCAGGGTAGATAGTGCTCGGCGAACTTGAAGGCGTCGGGGGATGCTTCTACCTTGCCCATGACTATGCGGAGAAGAGGAATGTGTTAGCTAGTACGCTCCGAATGAATTGAAACAAAACGAACGGGGTGGGCAGCCGCTCAGTCGGTTTAACGCACTGTATCCTACGATATTGCCATTAACATCTTCGCAGACCTGGAACAGCGATGGCCACTTGGCGTGATATTGTAGGTAGAAGGAGAGCTCATATGTCTCTGTTAGCGGATCCAAGTTGCATTTCGAGAACTTGTTGACGTCGTCTGGGCGAAAGCGCCTGAAAGTGGCCATGGCGAAATTCTGATACCCCTCACCCTGGCGTCAGTTGACCGGAACACAAAGCGGGATGTTGTCCGATAACGTGGTGCGCATGTGCCCCCCCAAAGTTGCTTCGATCTGTCCTGGGGACTGCTTTATTCCTTTTCTTTTGGCCTTTAGATGGAACAGATAGGCTTTGAATTTTTGGGCGCATGACGGATGCCAGGTGAGGTGTCACCCCCCTCCCACCAGGCCTGTGCTGGGTGCTGTCTAGCCCTGGAAAAAACCCCTGGCCCCGCCATTCCAGCGGCCCCCTCACTGATCACTGACACCTCCGACCTCCTTACAGCCTGAAGGCGTGCCTGACACTGCATCAACGACCCACTGCAGGCTGGCATGCATACACTCCCCATCCATCAATACATTAATAACATTTAGCAACAAGGTCAGGCCGGCATGTGCTATTGCTATTAGAGTGCGGGCTGCTACCCACCTTGCCTCATAACAATATCGGTCGGATTGAGGTTCGACAAACCCCCTTTGGCTTCTGCGCCAGTCATACTATCAGCGTGCGACCCTCAACCGCGAGCTCCTGACTACTCACCTGCGATATTTTGCACTTCACCTCCCCGAAGTCCCAACATCGAGCCGGAGGAGCGACCTCCAAAGCCGACATCCCCGTTCCAGACAGGTGGGAGGGATCCGATCCCCGGCGCCGTTGAGCATGTCCTCTCCAAACACTCCCCGACATTCTAGACAGTCGTCGGCTATCGATGGATTTTCTGATTCGCCCCTAAATCGGAGACAGTCGCATGGCTTCGGGTCGCCGTTCAGGAACAGCTTGAACCAACAAGATGTCCTGGACCTGAACGGAGATGGAGGCGGTGGCATGGGCAACCTGGCCGATGAGCTTGGTGGTGCCTTCTCTGGCTCAGAGGATGGAGATTTTGAAGACGATGAGGAAGCTGATCAGAACGGAGTTGATTCGGAGGCCAAGGCCTCTCCCATTCAGAACGGACGAGTCAACGGGAATAGACGCAGAGAAAACGATCTAAGCATCCCCTCAGGGGGCCATCACCGGAGGACGGAGAGTAATTACGATGGGAGCGAGTATGGCTCCGAGTCGGACTTGGATACAGGAGGTGTTTCCCCAAGTCTCATCTCCAAAATAGATGGGATCGAGAGCTTGGCCAGGAGGGGAACGGAGAACTACGGAGGCCCAGAAGACAATGTTGTCCAGAGATTGACCGACGGGCTTCGGGACCTTGGATCCCAATCTGGCGTTGAGAGCAGCACCTCAAGGTATGAGACACCAAATGTGAGCTAATGCAACGGCTCAAAGCTAACTTGAAGATACCAGACTCATCACTGCCCATTCTGCACTGACGACACATCTTGCTCATCAAACAAGACAACTCCACAACCTTACCTTTCCGCTCCTCGCCCCTATGGCGTCCACTCCCGATAGCGAAGCCATCGATGAACTAGTCCCCCTGCTCCTCTCCCTTTCAGACTCCATGCCCAGGCCATCTACGACGGCATTCGAATCACTTGCCTCGTTGCATGGCGTCACTTCAGACCTTGTCCAGACATTGAATTACCTGTCCGACACACTGCAAATGTCTCGACAGACCACTACAATGGCTACGAGACGGCTCAAGAGTGCGAAAGAGCTTGTGGCAGAAGTGCGGCGGGACGAGGAGCTGCGGGATGAGGGAGAGCGTTGGTTAACGCAAGGAAACTGGGGCGAGCGCTTGCAGAATAGAGAATGTGCAGGTGTATGTGGTGACGTTATCGGTGGATTCGAAGAGGTGTGCAACGGCTGGCGGGAGCGCCTTCTTGCACAAGCTCAGTCTCAAGCTTAAAGCACCAATGAGAGTGAGATTCTTACCCGGCTAAGAATGAGCCGGACCATATCTGAAAGCAATCAAAGCGAGTTATTTTGGGCTGTTGTTGCCAGAAGCGTCAAATCGAGATATAGACAGATCAGGTGGTTGTTTTTCTCTTCTTTTCCTTACCCACGGGGCTAATCCAAATTTCTTGATATGGTGTTGCCGGCACTGCTTGCCTCAGCTCATTTCAATTTATCCTTCCTTCTTTATATTTCCTTTTCTCCCTCTTTATATCCATCTTACAAACAGATTTATACCATGAAACACAGATAGACGGAATGAAATGAACTTACGACTTAACAACATATGCTTTTTCTTGTTGCGATGAATTGGAGGTGTTTGTGGCCAGATTGATTCGAGTTTCTCGTGATTAATAAATGGTTGGAATTATCTTGCTAAATAGTCATGAGAATGTCAGTGAGCATGATACATGTTGTGCCAAGATGTTGGCTGGCTTATTCGGATACATGTCTACATATTATAGTCTGTGAACTGCGGCAGTGGTGTCAAGTGCCCAAGGCCCCACACCAAACAAGGGTGTGGCTCTGTTTGAGTCTCGAAATGGAACATACGAGACCACGAGGAGAAGTGAGACAAGACGCGTCTCTGGCGAAGGGTTTCGCGTTAAGATGCCCATATTTTATGACGGACATTACGGCGGGCTGATTTGAGGGGAGGATTGGCCTGGGGAGCGCTGCCGCCACGGTACTGTTTCCGTGGCTCCCTGTCAGGGGATCCTCTTTACGCGCTCGCGTCTAGGGCTGACCAATCGCCAGCAGCGTTGCATCCAAGACGCGTCCGACAATGCGACCAGGCGTTCTCTCGCGGGAGACTGCCCACCTATCAATCATGGCGGGCACGCTTGCAGAGACGAGACATCTGGGGGCGTCATCCACAACAACAAAAAAAACAAAAACATGGAGTGGTGAGAACTCGCGTCAATGGTCACAAACGAGCTCGCCCAAACAAGCCAAAAACAATGGCCATGAAATCCGTCAAAGGCGACAGATTGTAAAGAACAATAGGTGCGACGGTGGAAATGAAACCAGGCCATATTGCATCGACCGCCCGGATCGTGTTGGCGTCAAATGCAGGCCGATAAGCGTCACACGGACTAATAACAAACTCAATGGCTGCATGATATACTGGGCCAGGGTAGCTGTGAATCATTCTCGAATACATGGTTCGAGTGCAGTGACTGAGGCAAACTGATTGATTGAACTTTGTGATAAGTAAGGGTGGGTGTGTAATAATAGAAAGCCAATTATTAGTTTCTGTACCTTCATCTATAGGCTGGGTATATGGCTCGCGTGCGACAATGCCCCAAAGTTCTCTCACGGCCTGCACTTCTCTGTCCTGCTGCAAGGCACAATGAAAGTGCCTGTCCTCGCTGCAACATCACGTAGCAGCTTGTTGTTGATCTGCTCCCGCGCGTTCTTGTTTTCCTTAGTTCGAGGGCCCGCCCGTCTGATCCCCACAGGCACCCTATTGGGCATCGACTGGGGGGCTGTTGTGTACACCTGCGGGCTAGCAGACCGCTGGGGGGTCCCTCTCCCGCCATGCTGAGCCTGGTTGGCGTGCCGCCCAACCTCCAGCACCCGCAGCACCGGTCCCGTCCCTTCACCTGATGCCCTCAGCTACTGCTGCTCCGCGAACCTCCCTCGTTCTCTTCACCACCACCCCCCCCCCAATCGCCAGCAACCACCTGGTTTCGCCCAAACATCTTTCCCCGTGGTCTCGCTCGCTCTCTTCGCTCACCCTTTCCGCCGCACCCGCCGCCACCTGGAGTTTTTACACAGTCTCGACGACTGACACAGCGACGCCCTATCCAGCATCCGAAGTACTTGGTTCCCCGGCCACCCATCGATCCAAGCCATGCCCATCCAGAGCATGCGATAATAGCATTGATTGAGCGCCCACGAAAACGAGTCCGGCGGGCTGCATCAGAGCTCCAGTCTCCTTTGCCTTGCTACGCTCTTTGTCGTCGATTCGGACTTGTTTGCTCGACTATATACATACACCTTATCTTTGTTATTCCTCCCTAGCAACCAACCTTGCCCACCAGCGGTTTTCCCTCAGCGCCCACCCATTGAAGCGACTGGCCTTCCGAGTTCAAAAACTCCCCGCGTTCCATGCTCGACGATTGAAACTTCGATCCTCATCCTTCATTCACCACCAAAACAGCACCATGGCTGAGGCAAAACAACACTCCCTCGAAGAGGCGGGCTTGGCTGTCGCACCCCCACAGGCAGACCGGGCAAGACTCGAATCTAAGCAGAACGTCAACACCAGCGCGCACCGCAGAACGAGGAGTAGCGCCCGTCTTAGTGAAGGACCACGTCTCAGCCATTTTGACGCTGAAGCCGTTGACCAGGCCCTCCTTCGCGAGTTTGCCCGCCCGCAACGACAGAGCACTCCCAGCGCGAGCCCTCATCGTAAACGGCAACGGATTCACGGAGACAGGTACGTGTGCTCCCTCCTCATCCAGGCTTCCTTTTGCCACTTTGCTCACGCTACTTTCCAGGTTTATCCCAACACGCTCGGGCCAAGACTTGCCAGCAAGCTTCAACCTGCTTCATGATGATGCATCGCCTGCTACGCCTTCTAAGCAGAAGAAGCGTATCCCGCATGGCGAGTTGCATTTCCAAAAAAGTACGTGGTGACCCTTGCGTCAGTTTTCAACCTTGCTAACACTGTACTACAGCTGAGGAAGCTAACCGCACATACTCCTCCCTACTCCGGGCTGAGCTGTTTGAGGATTCTGTCCCTCAAGCAACGCCGCCTAACATGTCTCCAAACCAGTCCTTACCGCCAATTCCACAGACAGACATGAATGATGGGACCCGGTCGCGGACACCGCCAAACCAAGGCTCAAACATTTCCCTCCCCTCCTCACTAACGCCATCTACCCCACATAAGAACCTCTTCTCTTACCTTCCATCTCACCACTACAGCCAGGTGGCTGGCCACCCTACGCCAACAAAGACACCCCAGAGCCGGCATGGCCCAAACCTGGATACGCGGGCTGAAATATACAGCCTGTCACCTGTTCGCCTCAACAGCCAACAAATGCTTCTGAGCCCCCGACGCCAACCAAGAGCTGTAAGCAAGGTCCCGTATAAAGTTCTGGATGCGCCTGAATTAGCCGATGATTTTTATCTGAACCTTGTGGACTGGGGGAGTGCCAATGTATTAGGTGTTGGTCTTGGATCGAGCGTGTATATGTGGAATGCTCAAACAAGCAAAGTTAATAAGCTTTGTACTCTCGAGGATGACACTGTTACGAGCGTGTCATGGATTCAGAAAGGTACGCATCTTGCGATCGGAACTGGAAAGGGCCTGGTTCAGATTTGGGACGCCGAGAAGGCTCGTCGGTTGAGGACCATGACTGGTCACACGGCAAGAGTTGGTTCCTTGGCCTGGAATTCCCACATCCTCACATCTGGCTCACGCGATAGATTGATATATCACCGTGATGTCCGGGCTCCGGATCAGTGGCTCAAGAAACTGGTTGGCCACAAGCAGGAGGTGTGCGGATTACGGTGGAACTGTGAAGATGGCCAGCTTGCGAGTGGTGGTAACGACAACAAGCTAATGGTCTGGGACAAGCTCTCCGAGACTCCTCTGTGGAAGTTCTCGGAGCATACAGCAGCTGTGAAGGCCATCTCTTGGTCTCCTCATCAGCGCGGTCTGCTCGCCTCCGGAGGCGGTACTGCAGACCGACGTATCATTTTCCACGATACCGTGAAGGGCACGGTGATCAACGAAATTGACACTGGCAGCCAGGTCTGTAACCTGGCATGGTCCAAAAACTCAAACGAGATCGTCTCAACCCACGGTTACAGCCAGAACCAGATCGTGGTGTGGAAATACCCATCCATGACGCAAGTCGCGAGCTTAACCGGCCACACATATCGTGTGCTCTACCTGGCCATGAGCCCTGACGGCAGAACCGTCGTGACAGGTGCCGGCGACGAGACCCTCAGATTCTGGAACGTGTTCGGCCGTCGGCCTGGGGCCCGCGAGGACGGCGAGGCGGGAGGCAAGCTTGCCGACTGGAGCGTCATCCGGTGAACTGCCTCTCGCCTTTAACGAACACTCACGAATGGAATGCTTACGGTCTCAATAAATGGGTTTGGTAACCGCACACAGATCACGATCTCTGGAGTTTTTATTGGTTGGTATTTGGCGCGTCTGATATCCCCCTTCATATCATAGAATTTGGGTTGGATCGTGGTGCTCTTGCGACATCTCAACTGGGTGAAAGATACCACTTTGCTGTATCAATGGCATGAAATCTGGCGTTGAGCAATTATTTTGGGTTTTTATGTTTTAGTTCCTCTTCCTCGTATCCCTCCCCTTTCCAACCATGACCTTTTTTAAATCATGACGGACAGATGCTGAGACGTCTCGGGTGCCCGGGGTATCGTGGGGTTCAGGAACGCAAAAGGGAAACACAGCTACTAGCATGGGGACATGCATGGGTGAATGGATCAAGTTTTCGGATGCCTGGGAAGCGTATACACAGCGATGATTTACGCATTAAATTCAATACAGCATAGCGTAGATAAAAAAAATTCTACAGTTACAAATAACCATACTGCGCATTGGAATATTTGTTCGTTTCTTGTGATCCTTTGTGCTAAACAAAGGGAGCCCTGTCTATCTGTGAGACACATCGACATGGCAAAAATCAGGAACGGAACTTGGTAGTCAAAATATCTGTGTGTTCTTCGGTCCGAATCTCATAAGGCATGTATAATAAATATGAAAGAAAAGTAACAATGATAAAACCTCTAGCTTCCAAGCGTCCTGCTTGGTACAAACGCGCCCAAACGCTACTCCCAGTCAAGAAAATGAAAAAAAAAAAAAAAAAAAGGAGAAAAGCAGCAGCTGAAATAACGAGATACGGGTGTCGGAAACACCCGATACAACGACCTGCGGCTCTGAGCACCCAAACTCCCCTATCCCAAGAGGGACGAGCAACCGCGTCCAAGTTCATAATAATATAATAAAAAGCATGCATTACATCGGGTAGTCGGACGGAACAATCGTAGAAGCCAGGGAGGGGCCATTCAGCGCCGCTCCCATGACAAAACTGCCCCGTCCTCCCACTTGCACTTCTTCATCAGTTGACGCCATTCTGCAGACCAACCTTCCTCTCCTGCACCCCGCTCTGGTCCTTGCTATCGATGCCTGTGGTAGTGCTCCGTACCTGTTCATCAAGGAGGGGGATTTGCTCGGTGCTGATGCTACGGACATGGCCCGGGGCCGTCGCGTTAAGTCGGCCGTTCTGTAAGGTGGCGGCCGAGGCCCCTAATGACATATTTGCGTCCTGAGCCAAGGGGAAACTAGAGGCATCATCGGGCTGGGGTCCCATTCCTGGAGAGAGGAGGCCAGCCTCCGAAGCATGTTGCCACTTGGTGACTTCTCTCTTCATAGCCTCTAGCTCTTTCTGGAATCGGCGCCCGAAAACGTCGATATAGTAAGTAGAACCGTTGTAGATGCTCCAAGAGAAGACGGTAAGCAGAAAAATTGACGAGGCGTATCGGCTGAAGAACCAGAGAGGGCATGGCATTATTGTAAGGCAGGCATAGATGTATTGGATCCCCATGAACGCGGGCTCTTGAAGATGGCTTGGAAGTGAGAGAACAATCTTTCCAATCCACGTCTTGGAGTACGACTGTCGAAGCCAGGTGAACGAAGTGGGACGTCCCGCAGCGATCTTATCTCTTCGACGGAAACTGATGAAGAAGTAGTATGACAGCTGCCAAATCGCGTATGGCAAAGTGCTCCAGACGAGCATGGACAACACGTTTGCGTAGGCAGTGAGTGATCCGGCGCTCGAGTTTTTGATGGTGTAAATTGCCGGGAAGCGCACCTTCTGCAACTCGGAAGGGAAGAGGTGCACCAGACAATGCAGCGTCGCGCATGGCATGATATGGATGAAAAGCGTCGTGACTTTGTCAAAGCTGTGGAACACGAGGGAGTTACGCCACATGATAATAGCCACAGCGTTGTTGCCAAATGCCAGACAGTACGCAGCGACGAATAGCCGCTTCGAGCTTGGGAAAACCCATATCGAGAGTGAACAGAGGAGGTTGACGAAATAACAAAGGTCGGCAAGGAAGTAGTGGTATCCACGGCGCTGGTATAAGTAGATGCGGATGGGCATGAAGTAGATGAGCTGAACCCCGTACCAAAGATGGAAGAGCTCAGGGTGGCCACCGATCAGGTATCCGCTAATGAAGATGTTCATAACGCCGCATATGAAAGATACCTTTTCTCGCAGGCTGATGGTCTTGGTGTCGTTCCACTGCCTACCCAACTTATCCACACGCTGACGAATGCGTTTCCTGTATCGCTCGAGCTGTTCATCGGCCGATGGTAATCGTCGCCTCCATTCTTCCACCATGCGATCCCGGGCGCCCTGTGTTTTGGTTTTGAACACATCTTTTGAGCGGCGGACCTTGTCCGTCTGCTTTGAGATTCCCTTCTGAAGCTTCTCTAGCTGTTGTGGTAATGCGAAGTTGTCGAGAAGATCCAGAACTGTCAACCTGTCCAGAGGAGGCAGGGCATCGAAATCGTCATGATAGGCGCTGCTTCCAGAGAACGAAGGATTCCTGGAAAGCCTGGCGTCAGATGGGCCAATGCTGGGCGTATCAAACACAGACTCGTCCGGTGGTGAAGAGCTCAAGAAAGAAGCAGCATCGCCTTCCAGTCCCCCAGTGACGAGGGCGCTGTCTGATTCAGCGGCACGGGAGGGTATAGCGGTGGGCTTCGATTCGGTGCCCATGGTGAATTCGTACGTGGGGTGGTTGCTGAGAGGGTGAAGCCTGTCAGACGTGGGCTGGCCACAGCGAACGTGATTTACATCACCTACTATAAGTGAAAATGTAACGATGTCGTTTATCTATATTCAGGAAACCAGACGATTAAGTCTTCTATGCGGAGTGTTGAAAGTTTCTGGATAAACAGCTGGATGGGCGCACGCGTGCGATCACCAGTATGACGTCTAGGAGGACACCATCAGGGCGTAGGGGAGGATATCGAGGAGGAGGCGGAGAGCGAAGGATCAAGGAAGGAGGTTGTGAGAGCGAGGACAGTCGAAATTAGACAGGAGGTTTGGAGAGGAAAAGACGTGTTGAAAGGCGAAATGCGATGGGATCACATCGACAAATAGACTTCTTGGTCACTGGGACAGGTTGGCAGAAGGCTAATTATAAGTATGACTTCCGTATCGAGGGTACATAAATTCACATGCGGGACGCAAGCTAAGGTAGGGGGCCTGAAGTGGGCCTCGCCCTGCAGGTTCTCTGCTTGTCTGCCTCCAGCGCCCTTGATCTAGGCGCTGTGACTGGGCAGCAGGCCTGTAAGGATCCGCACTGTGGCACGCAGCCCACACAGAGAGGCGGATCTGTGAGCTGGTACGTGGAGTGGCATCTGGGATGTGGCAGAGCTGTTTGAGATTGAAGCTTCCTCCCTTTTACTGGTTCTGGCCGTGTACATGTAGGTAGTGACAAAGACATTGCGTCGCCGGAACCTGAGTAATTCTAAAACACCACATATCTAAAAGTCGCATGACAACCGCGATCAAATAAAGCATCTGCGGGGCACAACAGCAGCAACTACCAGTGCCAACTTATATGCATTTATTTACCTCTTCAGGGACGAGGCGGTCAGACGAGGTCTCCAGCCAAAGAGCCTCCAGGGATCATGAAGGTGGTCCTCGCCGTTGCTTGCTCCAGCTGCGTATAACCAATTGTGGAGGGCCTTTTCAACATGGAATCAATGTAAGCTGCTACGTAGGTAGCAAGGCCGGACCGGTCTTTACACATATCCCGAGCCTGGTGCCTCTCTTCGAGTCACTCTCCCGCATGGAAGAGACTTTCAAGAGGCTTGAGAGCAATATGATCATGGTTGTGAGCCTGCGAGTTGAACAAGTGATGGAAATCGTGACCACCTGACCACCTAGCGGCTGGACTTTAAGAATCTCTGTTGTTGAATCAGAAATCGTCATCCGCCCATGTGGCCATTTGGCGGGGTGACACTCTGGCTCGAACGATTGATGTGATTCTTTACAGTGCGTAAACTTCCAAAGCTCGCACTGCAGTGATGCCTCGGACGTCTTAGTCATCAATGGCTTCAGTTCGAGCTTGGCCGGTCAGACTTGCTCCAGGCGTTTAATGCACGGCCACTTTGGTGCTCGTCGCAAGCAAAGTACCCACCACGACGCGCTCCGCGCCAACTGCGCAATCTCCATCCTCACCACACATTCAACGCTGCCTCTCTACGCGCCTGGGCAAGGTGATAGGTAAGGCATCATCCACTTTTGGTGCCGTGCAAATGATTTGCTGACCTGAGAGGCTATCCTGCTCACTTTTAGGCTTCCCAAAGGACCCCTTCGCGCTGCCTTCTGGGTCTAGGTGCAAAATATTATTCTTTCCTTCTTGCATCCATGAAATGCCCCGCTGAGCCACCGGCGGTCGATTTCACAGTCGCATTCGAGCGCGTTCACATCGCATAAGAACTGCGTAAACCGCACCCTATCCATCTCTACACGCCAGGCTTGCTATTGCAAACACGTCGTCGGTTCAATTTGTCGAGCAGCATAGCTGTAGATTGTCGCATTCGCGGCCGCTTGGTTATTCACGCCTCCCGCCACATTTCACCATAGCTCTGCGTCAGTGAGGTTTCATTCACAATGGGGAAGCTGATTCGTTTGGAGTTGTTCAGTGAGTAGGACACCGAGAGGTCCTTGCTTGATATCAGCGCCACTGACCAAGCGACTACGTAGACTTCAAGTCCTATAAGGGCCACCACACACTGCTCTTTGGTGATTCCTACTTCACCTCGATCATTGGACCCAATGGATCTGGCAAGTCGAATTCGTGAGTTAAGAATTGGCTCCGTAGGCATGCGTTATACTGACCAATGCTTCCTCAGCATGGATGCGATTTCCTTCGTTCTAGGTATTAAGTCATCCCATTTGCGCTCAGCCCACCTGAAAGATCTCGTCTACCGCGGCCGCGTACTCAAAACATCAAAAATCAACGATGATGGTTCAGCCAACACGGATAACCAAGCCAATGGGTCCGCGAACGGAGATGATAAGGCTTCTCGTGGCGATCCCAAGACAGCATGGGTCATGGCTGTCTATGAAGATGAGGCTGGCGAGGAGCAACGATGGAAGCGATCCATCACAAACCAGGGCGCTAGCGAATACCGTATCAACGATCGTGTCGTGACTGCTCAGCAATATAACGAGGGTCTCGAGAAGGAAAACATTTTAATCAAAGCTCGAAACTTCCTTGTCTTCCAGGGTGACGTCGAAGCCATTGCGTCACAATCACCTCAGGACCTTACGCGATTGGTCGAGCAGATTTCCGGAAGTCTAGAATATAAGAGCGAGTATGAGAGACTTCAGGCATTGGCCGACGAGGCCGTCGAGAACCAGAACTTCCAGCTCCATCGCCGCCGTGGTATCAACTCCGAGATCAAACAGTACCGGGAACAGAAAAAGGAAGCCGATAACTTTCAAAAGAAGATGGACGAAAAGGATGCTGCCATTGTCACCCAGACACTCTGGAAGCTTTACCACTTTCAGAAAGCGATGGACGAATCCCGAGCCGCAATTCAGAATCACCAGGAAGAATTGAAGGACATGAAGCGGACCGTGGAGACGTTCGAAAAGAAGCTTGAAGTTGCTCGCAAGGATGAACACTCTGCAAAACGTCAAGTCTCACAGCTTGAAAGGGATATCAAGACCAAGGAACGGAGTATTGAAGAGAAGGAAAGAGATATCATCCCCTTTGATGAGAAGATCGCCCAAACAACCAGCAAACTCGACCATTTTCGTCACCAGGCCGATAAAATTGGGAAAGAAAGAGATGAACAGGAAACCACTGTGCAGAAAGTCAAGAAGGATATTGATAGTGTTGAGAAGGCCAAGGAGGTCTTTGAGAACGATATCAAGGAACAGATGCGAAAACAGGGCCGTGCAATCAGCGACGAGGATCGTCAGGAGTACAATGCTCTTAGATCCCAGGTTATGGCCCAGACTGCTTCTAACCAATTTGATCTGGAACATCTGGACCGCCAGCGAAAAGCTGACGAGGTTACTGTGAACAATCTCAAGGGCAAAGTCGAGGCGATCGAGGCAGCAATAGAGAAGAACAACACTGAACTCGAATCAATCGTCGAGAGGAAAGAATCAGCCCAAGGCATTGCTACCGAGCTTACTGCCAACATTTCTTCCACAAAGAAAGAGTTCAACCGTCTTCAATCAGAACGGGTTCAATCGAATCAGAAGCGGACCGAGCTCGAAGAAAAGCTTGAAGATGTTGCAAGAAAGCTCCGAGAAGCGGATGACGGTCGAAGACAGAGTGACAAGGAGACAAGGATCAAAGAGATGGTTGCATCTCTCAAGCGCATTTTCCCCGGAATCCATGGTCGGGTCGGCGATCTATGCAAACCCAAGCAAAAGAAATACGAGGAAGCTGTGCTGGTTGCTCTCGGTCGAAACTTTGATTCGGTTGTCGTCGACACCGAAAAGGTTGGAAGCGATTGTATTGGCTACCTCAGAGAACAGAGATTTTCGACAATGAGCTTCATCCCTCTGGACAATATCAAAGTGCCTGCCGTGAACACGGCTATCAAGAGCTTCTCCGGCGCACGACTGACAATCGATACTATTAATTTCGACTCATCCCTGGAACGCGCCATTGCATATGCCTGTGGAAATTCAGTTGTGTGTGACACATTGGAGATTGCGAAACATATCTGCTATGAAAAGAGGACACCAGTCGAGGCCGTCACATTGGACGGCTTTGTGATTCACGAGAGCGGTACCATGACGGGTGGTCGTGGGCCAGAATCTAAGAGCGGCAAGCGACGGTTTGAGGAGGCTGATCTCCAGAATCTCCAGCGCATTGCAAACAAGCTCACGGAAGATATCGAGAGATTGCCAAAGTCAGACAGGCGAAGCAATCAGGAAGAAAGCCTGCAGACCCAGCTCAGTGGTTTGGAGAGGCGTCTTGCAGCTGTTAAGGAAGAGCTCGCCGCTTTTAATAAAAACGAGCATAGCAAGAAACGCGAGATCGAGAACCAAAAGAGAGAGCTGAGGGAGATCCGACCAAAGTATGAGGAGAAGGTTGCCCAACTGAGCAAGATCTCAAAGAGTGTTCAAAAATACAGAGATGCCATTGCTCGTGTCGAGGATCAAGTTTTCGCAGACTTCTGTTCCCGTCTGGGATACAGTGATATCCGCGCTTACGATGCTTCCCAAGGCAAGTTTGAGCAGGAAGTCTCTGAGAAGCGAACTGAGTACTCAGTCCAAAAACAAAGACTCGAGAGCCGGCTTAACTGGGAGGTGACTCGCCACAAAGAGACTGAGGCCCGTATCAAGAAAATACAGGACCAAATCAAGTCACTGAAGCGGGATATCAAATCATATACGTCACACAAGGAAGAGATCGTGGACCAGTTAGCTCAAGAACAGGCCGAATTGGAAGCTCTTCGCGAAACACTTGAGGAGTACCAAGCCGAATTGCAAGAACGAAGCCAAAAGGTCAGCGAGGCCAAGGCCGAGTTACAAAAACGCAGTCGAGGTATTGATAGCCGCCTCAAAGAGATCACGGCACTCGAGTCCGAGGTCCAGAAGAACAATTCAAGCAAATCCGCTCTGCTGCGAAGATGTCGTCTAGAACAAATTCAAATCCCACTGGCCGAAGGAAGTTTAGAGAACTTGCCCAATGAGGACGATATCATTCGCCAAGATCCAGATGCGATGGACATCGACGAGCAGGATGACGAAGATATGCTTGAAGCTGTGGTGGAGGACCACGGAATTGAAATTGACTTCTCCGGTCTAGACGAAGAACTCAAAGAGGTAAGTCACCACTGATTAGCCGGATCCCCTAGGCCATACTTTTGGACGGCATGTGCCTTTAGAGATTACAAACTAACTCTGGTTCAGTCTGATGCTTCCGAGGTCGAAGACTCTCTCACCGAGAAGATCACGTCTCTCACCATGGAGCTCGAAAAGCTCAACCCCAATATGCGCGCGATGGAACGTCTGGAAAGCGTTGAAACACGGCTTAAGCAAACCGACCAAGACTACGAAGATTCCAAACTTGCAGCGCAAAAGGCCAAAGATGAATTCAAGGACGTCAAAGACAAACGGTACGAGTTGTTCAACAAAGCCTTTTCGCACATCCAGGAACAAATCACGCATGTCTACAAGGACCTCACAAGGTCCGAGGCCTATCCCTTGGGTGGCCAAGCCTATCTGGATATTGAGGAAGACACGGACATGCCGTATCTCTCCGGTATCAAATACCATGCTATGCCACCGTTGAAGCGATTCCGTGATATGGAGCATTTGTCGGGAGGCGAGAAGACAATGGCAGCACTTGCCTTGCTTTTCGCCATCCATAGCTATCAACCCAGCCCCTTTTTCGTGCTGGACGAAGTTGACGCTGCATTGGACAATGCTAATGTGGATAAAATTAAAAAATACATCCGAGAACATTCGGGCCCCGGCATGCAATTTATCGTCATCAGCTTGAAGGCCGGACTGTTCCAGGATAGCGAGAGTTTGGTTGGTGTTTACCGAGACCAGGAGGTAAACAGCTCAAGAACCCTGACTCTTGATGTAAGTTGACTTGACCCCCCACTCACCTTGGGAATGTACACATAAGACCACTGCTGACAGTTTGAAACAGCTGAGAAAGTATGCATAAACAGAGAAAATAGCATAGCAACCTGACGAGCCAGCTCATTATGGCCATGCACTAGAATTAGGACCCCCTCTCCAATCTGTGGGTTTGATATTAGAGGGTGGAAGTTTGACTGGGCTATTTCGTTGGATCATCCGAGATTGGGTGACAATTGTGATGCCAATGCTCAGTCTCATTACTAGCACCTATACACTGCTACATGCCTATCATTACGTATGTGAAGGAAGGGTGGATGGGTTATATAAGGCGTAACATAGTTATTCTAGTTGTCTTTTCAACATGTGTCAATACACCACTTGACTATTCAGCAAAGCATCTACCTACGGGCCTGAGAATACACAAACAATGGCGGCTAACTTTTGTAAATTGAGAGCTGGAAAACATCACGGGCATAGGTTAATAACACTAGCTGTTGGATGTGGCCCTCATTGCTGGATCTTCTCATATCTCTCAATGTATCGAATTACAAGTAAGGGTCTGTCCCGGCTCAAGGCCCTGCTCTCCTGAGGATATGACGATAGGAAGTATACTTCGGAAGCGGCATCCTCCTGAATGGAACTAGCCCGTGCGGACATATCTTGACCTGGCCGGCTCTCGAGACCGGGTTGGATAGTCCGCCATTCCAAAGCGGCTCAAACCTGTGCCCATCTTCCCTATAGATGAAGAGATCCGATCTGTTTCTACAAAGTTGTATAGCAACGTAGGTACAAGCTGATGACTCCGATGCAGAAGAGAGTTTTATGGTGATGCAGGATGGAGAGGGAAAAGAAGACTGGAATCCACATCGTCGGATCTCTCGATCGAATGGTAAGCGAGGAGCCGGCCCTGAAGAAACTTCCCATATTATACGGGACCAAGCCTGAGGGATGTAGAAATGGGTCATTGTGCGCCCGCCTATGTGCGTGTATAGCGTAGTATTGGCAAGTTGTTCACGCACGCCCCAGAGCTGCAGGTCAGGGATAACGGGGCCCAGAGCGCGGTATATGGGCATAGGGATGTCGGCGCCAGACCGTAAGAGAATTTCAATCACGTTGAGGTCATCCTCTAAAGAATCATCTGAGAAATCCTCTGGAGAGGCCTCTGAAGGACCCTCTGAACAATCCTCTGAAAAAACCTCTGAAGAATCCTCTGAGGAACTTGAGACGATAATTCTTGTAGTACGGTACGGCTTGTAAGGGCTTTTCTTGGAGCCTTCGCGGTATGACTCCAAGGGTCTCCTGCCTGTTTGGTTAAAAGTCTCGTTAAGTCTATCGTAGCCTAAATTGTCGAGTATCTGGTTAAAATTATCTTCAAGATCTTCGTCGAATTGTTGCTCAAATTGATATCTAGTGGCAACCTCGGAGGACGAATCCCAACCGGAACCCTCATCAATCGACGAACTAGATTCGCTATCGAAACTGATACTGGATTCCTCGTCTCTCACCGATTCCTCTCTGGTAGCTGCAAATGAGGTGCTACCAAAGAGCTCATGCAGTCGGGCGTCTCTCACCGCTTCCCCTCTGATAGCTGCAAATAAGGCGCTATCAAAGAGCCCATGTAGTCGGGCGTTTGGGTTAACTCCCAGTTCTGGAGATAGTAAGAAACGACAAAATCGGGTGTTGCCATGAAGTACCGCAGTTGCTAGTGCGCTGCCGGGACCTTCTTTGAACGTAAGTGTAGGATCAGCTCCCAACTCGATCAGACGCCGCCAGAGTGTCCTAAGGCAATCATCAACTGCCGCAAGGCAGAGGCAGTTTGAGAAGCCATTGTTGTAGTTAGGATCGGCGCCTGCATCTAATAGAATACGCACCATGGTGTCCGAGTCATAGGTATATTTTCCGTGGCCAAGAGCGGCGGTGAGAGGGGAGAAGTTCTTAATGCTAAGATTGGGATCAGCTCCCGCCCTTAGCAGGGTTTTGATCTTGTCTGGCCTGGCATCCCTAATAGCCATAATCAGAGCCGTTACTCCGGAAGTTCTAGACGCAAAATTGACATTGGCACCAGCATCTAGAAGAGCTTCTAGGCAGTGGATTGTGATGTTATGACGAGCTGCCTCGATGAGCGGGCTCGTCCTCTGGCCGTGAATGTTGGGGTTGGCGCCTTGACTTAGCAGGAGTTTAATGGAGCCAGCGTTTCCTCTTCGAGCTGCACTGATCAGAGCAGTTTCACCAAGTAGATATGTTGAGTTTTGGATCATGTTAACATCTGCCCCCAATTCCACCAGCCTTTTAATAGCTTCCAAATGGCCGCAAATCGAAGCGGCGATCAGAGGAGTCGAGCCCTCATCAGAGGAACCATTTACATCAGCACCCTCACCAATGCACTTCTCAATCGAATCGACCATGTTGTTCTGAGCAGCGTTTACCAAAGAAAGGCTCGGGTTTCCAAGCCTGGCTCCATGATGCAGGAGAAGTGGAATTATGGTCTTGCGTTGACTTAAAATCGCAATATCAAGTGCTGTCTCGCCGGCAAGATTCCTGATATTTATATCTGCTTGGTGATCTAGGAGCAGTCGCACAACGGCTGTAGGTTCTCCCGCCGATAATATGGCGGCTTGAATCGGGGTTTGTGCTTCTTCCCCCAACCCATATACCTTGTTAATTGTAGCACCTGCTTCGATCAAGACCCTGACTGTAGCTTCATCGCCATTTACGCAGGCTGCCAGCAGGGGGCTCAGGCGCCCCCTCGTGATATCCGCACCTTTGCGAAGAAGAAAGCGGCACAGCTCGTCGTGACCTCTTTTGGCTGCGAAATGAAGCAGTGATTCATTATGCTCATCGCATGAGTTTACATCGACGTTGTGATTGTTCTTACACCATTCTTCGAGGACCCAGGTCAGCCCTGAGTCGCAAATGACCCAGAGGGGTGATGAATATGTCCATTGAACTGACATCGAAGGCCTGTAATTGGTCACCCAACTTCGGTATGCTCTGCTACCCACATGCGGGGAGCCTAAAAATCGAAACAGCAGTTGGCAAAGCAATTCATCTTCGGCGTTTTCTTGTCCTTCCAGAAATTCGGGCCAATTCCAGTTAATGAGCCTGTCAAGACTGAGATATCGATTAGCCTGGCAATGACACATTGCAAGAAGATATTTGATACAAGCTAACGCCGTCTTCCTGTATGGCTGAAGTTGATCTACCAGCCGGTTTTCAATGTATTCCGCAGCAGACAAGTGACAAAACTGCCATCTATCTACCTCTTTCTCCAGCTTTAGTAGATTGCAACACAAGGAAAGTATGTCCTTCTCCATGAGCGTGTCATGGAAATCAAACAACTTGTCACATCCATCAGTCTCAATTTTAATCGCAATCGAGAGCTCTTCTGTGGTTAACGGTTGAGGAGAACACAGAACCCAGGATATGGCGCGTTTGGCCAAACGCGATTCTATGCCGTCTTTGAGGAGAATCATCTGCCAAATCTCGTCATAGGCCTTTTCAAGAGTTTTTGGGAGCTTCCCCAGACGGTCCTTGATGAGGCTTTCGCTCCAGAAAGCCAATTGTGTAAGGTGCTGTACCTGTAGAGCTGCCCATTGAAACATTCCTCGGCTCATGCGGAATAAAGTTGAGATGATTTTGTGCTTGAGTTTTGGCTTTAGGCTGTCCCACCTTTTGTCCCGAGCAAGCTCTGCTTTAACAAATGATTCAATATCATGTTGATTATCGGTTGCATGAATCTCAATGATTGGTTGTGACTCAAAATGCCTGATGATATCTGCATCTTTTCGGCTGGATATGAATATCTTCAAAGTTGAATGCTGATCAATTAGTTGGCTGAGACAAGTCATCAGATGGCTTCTTTCGCCCATATTGCACTCATCGAGTGCATCCAGAATGATAGTCGTGTTGCTGTATGATAAGACGAGCTTTGATAATATGTTCTGGCATAGACCAACGCTGAAAGTCAACGCTTGCGCCTCAATATTTTGGGCCAAGGTTTTAACCTCTTGATGGATCTCTCCTGACCGCTGGAAGGTAGAGGAGAGCTGACGAACTAGACTCCGGAGTATGATGACTGGCTGGCTTCGCTCCTTTTCATCCCTTTTGCAGTAAAAATATGCAAAGCCTTCTAAGTTCGGCGATTGCTCAACATGATCAATAACTCGAGAAGTCAAGAATGTCTTCCCAGCGCCAGCTATATTCTTTCTATCAGTAGTAGTCTCTAATTTCCACTACTTGGAAAATGAACACGTACGTGCACCGTATAATAGTGTGATGGTTGAGGTCTCCGAGGCTTGCCATTGCTGGAGTTCGTCGCTTTGTAGAATCCACTCTCCGGTGCCCTTGGTTCTCCTTTCTTGGATGTCCATGTGGTGACCTCGGTAAGGGGTAGCAGAAATCCCTTTCAGCATCTCGATTCGTTCTTGATCCTGCATCTTGACGAGGATTTTGTCAAGAGTCGAAAATACGCCTGGAAGGTGGCGTTGAATCTCGTCTGATATTTGAAGGATGCGCAAGCTATCGCACTTTTGTGCTTGTTCCTTGAGCTTCACCCATCGGTTATGAAGCCGCTCCGATGCATTCTTAGCATCTTCAGGTTTAAACAAGGCGCTTCCCACTCGACGAAGAGGGTGTTTCTGCATTTGGGAGCAGCAGAATGTTAAGCCTTCGAGTATGGCGACGTATAATTCGACAGTATCGTTTCGCAAGTCATTCAGAGGCTCTTGGCCGATGGGGTCCTGTAACCGGGAGCCGGCTCCAAGATACAGGTTCTCGAAAACTTTGCCATGATGTACTAGACGCGCTGCATCTTCCATAATGGCTACGATATATCCCATCTGCTCTCGTTCGGTGATGAAGGACTGCAAAATTGTGGCCATCATCAGCAGGGCGACCTCAATATACGACAATTTTATCACTAAATCCTGGAGTGTAAGTTGCCAAATGGCAGTTGGAGATATCTCACCTGGAGGATAAAGCGGAAGGCGGCCCATGGAAGCGCGGCATGGACCGGGTCAACATTCATGGCCATATCACCGAAGGCCTTGAATTTGTCTAACCAGTCAACCATCCTGGAGAATGCATGTCGCACGTTCACGTGGCGAGAGCCTATTTTGACTACCCATTGTTTCGATTCACATTGTGCTTGCTTCGCTTTTGAGAGTGAAATGATGCCGTCAATCTCAGCAGATGAGCTGCCCAATGTAGGATTCTTTTTCTGGATGCTATCGAGGGCTTTTTGGGTATCCGGGGGCAGTTGGGCAAAGGCTGCTTGCCAACAGCTGACGGCCGACTGGGCCATGGTCAAAGAATAAGCTGCCACGCAGTTTCTGGCCTTGGAAGACGAAACAAGAGGAAGATGTAGGAAGAACACGGAATAAGGCTGGAGAGAAAGTTGGGTTCCAGCTGCAGTGCGGCATGGTTACAATGTGACACAGCCACATACATGCTTATTGAGGCTGGGTGCATATAGTTCCGCCAATCAGTATTGGAAGATGGTGTATGAGCCCTTGGGGAACATGGTTGGCGTCTATAGAGCCAGAAACGAATAGGATGATCCCCTTGACGCTAAAGCCAGCGAGAGCGAGATATTCCTATCCAAATGAGTGGAAGGTGAAGTTTCCTAAGGTCGGGCCATCGCTTGTCGGGAAGTGGTCGAGAAACTCGCACAACTGAGTTAACATCATCGCGATGCTCTGTTGGAGTTCCTACTCCTACCTGGGTATGTATATTATCGTTGTGGAGCAATATAATTGAGGGCCGGAGAAAGGTGCTCAGAAAATGGCCAATAGCCATCATCCAACATATTTTCTTGGTCACTCGAAGATATGTTCATTGACTAAAGGATCAATTACTATCGGCGGTTAGAGCGAAGTCTCACTTCGTCCCTGCCCACCTCCGCAGGGGAGCGACTGACAAAAAAAAAACATGACACACCTTGAACCTTCAGTATTGAATTTCAACACAAAACAATGAACCACTAAAAAAACACGATATCGAGCTAAATATTCTAGAATAGTCTATAGTTGACTTATTATTACGTTTAGTAGTATCATGCAGAAAATGATATCCTTGACTTGCATGTAAAGAGCTTTGGTTTGCCATGTTTTATGTCAGTCGCTTGGCAGGTACCAAGTATAGCAAGTTCCACAGTGTAGGCTGTAAGGCTACAACGTGACCACCTGACCAATGGGGATGCGGTAAAATGCGCCAGCCACAAGGCACCAGTAGAATTGCCGTCGCATACAAGACTCCCTAGACTTTTCTCACCAGGCCATTCCATCTTTCTTACTCCAATTCCATACACCGGCCCTGTCTCTTGCGAAACCCTCGACCCGCGCATCTAGGAGACCCATTTCGACGGAGGAAGAGCGGAAGAACATATCGATGTGGGGATACGCTGGCTAGGGAGCTGGACCTGGGGGTCTCTCGAAGCGACTGTGCGAGCCCGTGCAAAGCAACCTCACATCGCCATCACCTCACCCCGAGTCGTTGGGCTGGACAATACCCATTCACTGATATAGCATTCGCTTTGTTTCCTGTCGCACGGCTACTCTAGGCGCGCGTATTGAGCTACGTCAGCGCGAGCTAGAACCAACCTCTCTTCGAGGCTGGATTCATCGATATCGCAACACCAAAATTCTGAATCGCAACTGCCTGTACTTAGAATCGACACCCAAACGAGCCACCTGGACGCTTCTAGCCTTGAACTAATACACACTTATCTAATTGTCGGCTCGTTCCGCTCGGTTTACCTTTCATTACAACATTTCACACTCTGTTATCATCGGCTCGTTTCGCTCTGCTGCCCACCATGGATCTCGCAGTTACTTTGATCAAGTCGGTTATGCGGGCCTTCTACACGACTCGCGACATTTTAGTCATTGATGCCCTGATTCTCCACGAAACGTAAGCCCGGGTGCATCCCCAGTCGGTTTCATCTACTAACATTGTAGGCCAGCCTTCGAGATGACGATCTTGCGTATCTCATGTCCATAAACACCAAGGACCTGCACAAAATTTGCGGAAAGCTCAGAGAGGACAGGTTCCTTACAGTGTAGGTTCGAATTGCCTTTAATCTCGTACATGCCAGACTCTGATACTTTCGCAGACATACCAGACCCGAAAAGCGACCCGACAACCCGCGACCCAGCAACAGAACGTATTACTACATCAACTATCGCCAAACAATCGACGCTATCAAATGGCGAGTGTACACGATTGACAAGGAAGTGCAGGGCACTACGGTCCAGACTAGCGAAATGAAGGAGTACTTTTGCAACTTCTGTAAGGCAGAGTGGACTACGATGGAAGTTCTCGACAACAATAGCGCGGCGGGTTTTTTGTGTCACAGGTGTGGCCACGTCTTGACTTTCGAGGCAGACAGAAACGCTGGAGGTCACGAGCAATCGACAAGACTCAATGACCAATTCAAATTCATTACCGAGCAACTTCGCCAAATCGACCAAGTGCACATCCCCGAGTGCGATTTCGAACGAGCGCTTGCAAAACAACGCCCCGTGGAGCGTGATGCCACCCACCAACGCGTGGCGACTATTGCAATGGATGATGGCGCGCACCGGCCGATGGATGTCAAGGGTCTATCAAACCTTGGCCCTCAGTCGATAGCTGTGAACATATCAACCGCAGAGGGTGCGACTGATGCCGAGAAGGAGGCCGAGAGGGCGCGCAAGGAGCGGATTGCCAAGCAGAACGCTCTTCCCTCGTGGATGTCGGCGAGTACTGTCAGTGGGGAATCATTTGGTGGAAACTCACTCGCTGTGCCTACCCTTGATCGCAAGAAGGATAACCCCAAGGATGCATCACAGTCCAAGGGACCCGAAGCCAGCGACAGCTCTAAGATTGATGATATTTTCGAAAAGCTTAAGGCTGAGCAACTGGCAGCAGCTGCGACGGGTGGTGACGAGTCCGGGTCAGAGGAGGACGAGGACGAATTCGAAGATATTCCGGTAAGCACACCTATCATCAAGATGGAGCCCTCGGATGGCTCCGACTCGCCACAAGCCAAGCGGGTCAAGATTGAGCCAGGTATTAAAGAGGAGCCGATGAAGGATGCCAGCGACGAGGACGACGACGAAGAACTAGAATTCGAGGATATTTGAGACTGGCGAATACAAGAAACCAGTTGCGAGCGTTTGAATTTTTAAAAATAGACGGAGTTACTCAGGGGCTAGTCCCGGTTGCGTTGACTGGTTTAGATTAAAGAATAGCAAAGATACCAAATATAAATCAATTAAGGAAACCGTTCGTTACCGTTGGTAACTGTACGTCACCGGCCGCTCATAGCTTCAGACTATCGAGGGCCAAGGAGGATGCCAAACTTTAATCGTGGGGCAAACCGGTAGAGCATATCACAGTATGGCATTGATGGAAATACTCGGTATGTTGATGGGAATTCACACTTCCTGCTAACCTACTTTTGATGGCGTAGTGTCGCAATTACCTTACTTATAGATTCGAGGTAGAACGCCATCGTACCCACCAATCACACCCGATCTTTCTCTGGCTTAGTGTTGCTGAGTGTCATTGATGTCTCATCCGAACTGCATTGGGCATTTATCCATGCAGGGCGATCTCGATGAGCTTGAATTGGAAAGGGTGATGCCATCACGGCCGTCTCAGTAGTATCTGCAATCTGCCCTCCCTTGCTTTACAAACTCCATCCATCACTCGGGCGTTTGTTATTGCTAAGTGCACTAGTCTCGAATATGTTCATCTCAGCTCGCCAGCCTCATCCTGCACAATATGGCATTCGAAATACCCCCCGCATATCTTCTCTCAACCAACCTGGAGCCCGATCAATTGCAGCAACTTGAGGGGCAGATTCCGTCCCTAACGCGGGACATCAATGACGCTCACATCGTTTTGGGGAAGATATCGCGGCGGGAACGAGCTCTGTTCGAGCTGAGACGACTGAAGCTCCTAACAGAGGAGGTCCCGGTAACAAGCGAGCAAGCTGGGGGTGATGACGAGAGACAGGAAGATGATTCGCCGCGACCTAAGCGACGAAGATTGTCTAGCCCTTCATCCGGGCAGGCCGGGGTAAACTTGAACGAAGATCACGGTGGCGGTATCTCTACATCAAATGACACAATCATGGTAGTCAAACTGGCATGGTGGTTGGAATCACAGGAACGGGGCTCATTGCTGCCCATTGAGGACTACGTCCTATACAGAGGTAGAAAGCTACCAGCGGCGCAGACCAGCAGCCCAATCTCTGTGAAAAGCATGAATAGTGACCGGATACTGAGCTCTCCTGCCGGGAAGAGGAGTTCATCCAGACTCTCAGGAACCGCCGAGCAATTCGGGCTGCACCGCCATCGCCGTGTCACGTCTCAACCGCCACCACTCCCCCGAGAGACAACATCCGAACACGATGTGGCCTTGCCGTCTATTCCAGACTTTTTGCACACCACTTATTCCTGCCAGCGGCCAACTCCCGGTAACCCGCCTAATGCGGGATTCATCAAGGAGCTTAAGGAGGTGCGCACGCTGCGGCTCCTCCAGGGAGACCAGATTGGCGTGAGGGCATACTCTTCTAGTATCGCTGCGTTGTCGGCATATCCACATCTCCTACAAACCGCAACCGGTTCGTCCCCCTTCTACCCGTCAAGCTTAGGAATAGCCCTAAGATCTTGCTTAATGTATCCATCTGACTTTATGAGCAACGATAGAAGTCGGGAAGCTGCCTGGGTGCGGTGCTAAGATCGCCGAGCTATACCAGCAGTGGAAAGACAGAGGAACCCTACAGGAGATCGAAGAAGGCAGGTCAAACGATAAGCTACGCGTGCTCAAGCTGTTCTACGATATCTGGGGCGTGGGGGACACGACAGCACGGGATTTCTACAACAAAGGTACGTGAGACCACTGCCGCTAGATTATCTCTGTGCGATGTTCGCTGATGTTGGTCAAGGCTGGAGGGATCTGGACGACATCGTCGAGCACGGGTGGGACACGCTCAGCCGCGTCCAACAAATCGGGGTGAAGTACTACGACGAGCTCCAGCAGAAGATACCGCGGAGCGAGGTCGAGGCCATAGGCGAGGTCATCCTCGCCCACGCCCGGGACATCGACGCCGGGTTCCAGATGGCCATCGTCGGCGGGTACCGGCGCGGCAGCGCGGAGAGCGGGGACGTGGACGTGATACTGAGCCACGCCGACGCCGCGGCGACGCTGCACTTCATAAGCAAGATCCTCGTGCGCCTCGAGCAGTCCGGTCACGTCACGCACACGCTCACGCTGTCGACGAGGAACAGCGAGCGAGGGCAGGCGCCGCTGCCGTGGAGGGGCGAAGGGCGGAAGGGGTCCGGGTTCGACACGCTGGACAAGGCCATGGTCGTGTGGCAGGACCCGACGAAGGGAGGAGGCGAGGAGGCCGCTCCGCATCGACGGGTCGACATCATCGTGAGCCCGTGGAGGACGGCCGGGTGCGCGATGCTGGGCTGGAGCGGGGGCACGACGTTCGAGCGCGACCTGCGCCGGTACTGCAAGGCTGAGTTGGGACTCAAGTTTGATAGCAGCGGGATCCGCAGCCGCCGGGATGGGAGCTGGGTGGACCTGGAAGGGGACGGGTCAGCCCCGGACATGGAGGTGGCCGAGAGGAGAGTCTTTGAAGGGCTAAAGCTGCCTTGGCGACGGCCCGAGGAGAGATGCACTGGATGATGCGCCGTTTGGTGCATTGGTGGTTGAGCTTGGCTGGAGCAGTGGGGGGAAGGAGAGAGCCAACGAGAAAATCATGATTTGAAAGTCCGCAAGTCCGTTGCAGGACCCCACACAATACGACTCAGCTAGGCCAGGAATTGGGACCGATTGAAACCCCGGACGGGCTGCAAATCCCCCCGAACAGAATCTGCGCCTCGGGGTTCGGACAGATATGAATCAGCTCTGTGGTCTGAACACGTTTGAGCTCCTTCGATTTGGTAGCATTCATGCGCGTGGGAAGCACCCAGGCAGCCATCCGCCTGGCGGTACTCCGCCAACATGACACATGCCATTGGGCAGATGCGCCGGGCAAGGTAGCATCGCTTCATCATCATCACGATACCTATCTCGTGTCTGGCCTGGCATCTTCACTGGGATGTCACTCCCAGCCGAGTTTATCCAGGAAATGCGGAGCAGGTGCCTGGCGCTAGCAGCTTCTAGAGGACGAACTCCGCCTGCCCTAAATCGCTACATGACATGTCTTGCATCTTGGCAAAAGGGGCTTCGAGACGCGGCAATATTGAGTGGTAGCGTAGCTATATAGGACACCTCGCCTAGTTTCGCCCCAATTAGCCAGAAACCATCTTCACCAACGTCTTCGTGCCTTGCAACAGTCCAGAGTCTCCTCAGCCAAGAGCAACTTCCAACTTCACTTTTTTCACAACTCAACAATGCCTGTCACAATCGATATCAACGAGCAGTTTGGGTACGTGGTTATAACACGTCGCTGTACACTGCTATACACAAATACTAATATACATGTCGACTAGCCTGGTCCTCGCTGTGGCCAGCTCAAGCTTCTTGGTGAACGCCATGCACATGCTCACCACCTCCAGGTTCCGCAAGGCTAGCGGGGTTCCTTACCCCGTGTCCTATGCCTCCGAGGAGGAAGCTGCCAAGAACAAGGCCGCCTTCAAGTTCAACTGCGGTACGTCATCCAGCCGGGTTTCGAGTGGATGACCAGCTATCCAATTCTGTTGCATGTTTTCAAAGCTGACAGGTGAATCTGCCATGTAGCCCAGCGCGCCCACGCCAACTTCACTGAGAACCACACCTCGTTCTTGGGCGCCCTCCTTATCTCGGGTCTCCGATTCCCGCTTGTTTCCGCTGGACTGGGCGCTGCCTGGGTCTTCGGTCGTGTCGTCTACCTCCTTGGCTACACTAGTGACAAGGGCCCAAAGGGAAGAACGAGGTATGTTCCCTACTCCCATCACCGCCAAAGTTACCCGCTTGAAGCAACATCGACTGACCAAGTTCTTGCAGTGGTTCCCTTTTCGCCTCTCCTGCCGACCTTGCGCTTAGGCTCATGGCTGTTTACACTGGTGTCCAATTTGCATTGGGCCAGTAAAGAAGCTGAGAAGAAATCAAGCGTACTAAAAATAAAAGCGCACGTCAAGTTGTAGTGTTAGAGACAATATTCAAGTCCTGTAATCCGTGACCATATGTTCATATTACTTTGTTGGTGCTGTGATCATCTTCGGAAATTGCGGCGCCTTAACTCCATATTAGATGCCTCATTGGCAGCATCGTCTCCATTCCCGTTCTCCTTGTTGAGTAATTTTTCAATCCCATTGTTGCCGAGAAGATAATCGCCAAAGTACTTCATCGCGCTGAAAATCTCCTCACCAGTTGGCACAATGTGCTCCCTTGGCAATAGAAAGCCGTAGCTGCCGGTATCTCGCAGCTTGATCTGGTAGCTGAAATGCGCCTTCATCTCATGATAGAACCAGTCAATAGCAGAGCCCCCACCGGACTCTATCCGCTGCTCAAAGTCTGTCTTGCCGTCCTTTTCGTCTGAGACTGCCCCTTCGCAGGCAGAAGCGACTGAGTACGACTCTCCACTTGCAAGTCGAATCGACTTGGCAATTCCAGCAGCAAGTTCGGTAAGGTTCTCAATATTTGGAGGCTCGATAGCGCAACTGTAGGCGTAGGGGAAGAGAACCTGCTGGGAGTAGGAGTGCAGGTCAATAAAACTAACAAAATTGACGTTGTGGAGAGTTTGGTTTCTGGCCCAGTCTGCCAGTTTCTCAGCTTCGACAGCCTGGAAGGGCTGTTCGCCCCCATAGCTCTCCGAGCAAGGGTCAGTTTGGTGTCGAGCACTATCCCATTCGTACCCAAAGGCGTGGTCCAGATCCATGCCTCGGCAGTACCGCAGTCCAGTCTGCTGCCTCGACTTTCGCCAAAGACGATCAACGTTCCACGTGTATTCGAAACCATCTGGGTTGACTACGGGGATAAAAACAATGTCGAATTCAACGAGCAATTTGGTGATCATGGGCTCCTTGCCAAATGACGTGATAAAGGACCAGGCAAGGTAGTTGACGGTGCTCGTCGATATCCACTCACGGCCGTGAAGACCTCCTGTAATCACAATTGTCTTGCGGGGTGATGAATTGCCTGACTGGCCGGAAACACCGACTCGGAGGGCAGGGATATCTCTCCCTTCCCAAGACTGGCCGATTTTGGTATATTCCACAAATGCCGGGAACATGACTTCTAGCAGCTGCATCCATCGGATGATGACCGATAGAGACCGGTAGTCTTGGAAGAAGACATTGTCGCCTGCTCCTGGTCGCACGGACAAGTCTGCGTGGACGCCTTCCAACGTGATAGATCTCTCACTGTTGCGAGAGGGTACTGATTCATAAACTGCCGCGGCGAGGTCGGTTACCAAAGTGGAGTATGACAATTGAAGGGAGCGAGGAAGCAGGCTAATAAGGGGAGCGACTTCGTCGGAATGCAGACGAATGTCGACAAAGTCGTGGTTGAATGCCCAGACATCGAGGAACAGGCGATCTGTGGCTTTTGAGAGTGCGGCCTCCTCGCTCGGTGACGTGATGTTGAATCGCAAGACTACCTGGTTCGCATACTGGCGAGAGATGCTTCCGATGGGAGAGGACTGACTGCTGTCCTTGGTTGGATGCTGGCCGAACACACGCTCGATGACATTATCGCGCAGTCGCGTTAAGTAGGGGAAGAGTCGGCGATCGCCAGTGTCTCGGTCGGTACTCGTAGAGCCATAGGTCGCACGCTGGGATCGAATGTTGGCGGTGTCGGCGGAGTGGAAGAGTGCCAGCAAGGCAACAACCGTCGTCGCGGCGAACCTCATACTTTAGTCCCGGGCACGCCACACGATAACGGGGACGAGAATAAGTGACGATGTTGGGAACCGCTGGCTGCAACGGTGGATGGCGAAGATGCCGTTGACATCGATGGAGAGCGGATGAGTGGGGCGAAGAAAGTTGGCCAGGGCGCCAGGCAGTGCATTATCGTCTGGATCTATCTGTCCAGTAGAAGCTCTGGATTCACAGGCGCAACGTCGAGCAGGTACGCCGGTACATGGCTGACGGGCAGGGGCCTGGGGCGGTACGAGCCTACGAGGGTCTGGAGGGGCTGGAGGGTGCTGGGCTCATGTGCATCAGGCCTAGGCGCAACCAAGGGTACGGGACTTGCGGAATAGTACGTAATCTAGCGTGCATGCTTCAGGCTCCCAGCCACCAGGGAGCCTGTAGATTGGCCGCGGGCACGGTCCATAGCCCAGACATACCGCTGACAGCCAGCGCGTTGGGGAGTTTGGGCCCTGGGCGACCCGCTAGCACCGGCCAGACAGAGGCTAGGATCAATACCTTATGCTGCCCAGGCCATTAAATTTGGCGTCGGGCTGACTGGGCTTAGAATGGACCGCCATCCACATCCATCCATCCCCTGGAATCGCAGGTAATTATGTACATAGGTTAGGTAGAGAGGTAGCCTGTGGGTGTTAGTCCTGTCCTACCTCCCAGACAAGGTCAGGTAATAATCAAAGGTCAAGCAGATGCGCGTCGTCCTTGGTCCTAGTCTTCCAAACACCTGACTTTTTTTTCCTGCCAACCCCCCAGCATCCTCCCGTCCAAACCCAGCCGACCGTCATCGATTGTCCGTTCGCGAGATCTCCTTTTCCCCAACTGGCTCGATGTTTCCCTCGAGCGCCTCGCATGCTTAGCCAGGCCCTGCGCCCAAGCCACCGCGACACCTCTCACCTCCTGCTCCCCTCCCACCTCCGAATCCCGGGCTTAGGGTCGATAGCACGGAAGGGGGGGATAGAACGGGCTAAGCAACACCGATAACCCCATAAGAGCTTTGCGGCAGACTATGACCATAGGCCTGCTGCGATGCCTTTTCTCCGTCGGCGTGGCAATGGATCCGGTGATCAAGAATTGCGCCGCCAGAACACCGTCAGCCGTATCTTCGACCGCTCTGAGCCTGGCCTTCCTCCCGCCAACCATCTCGCCGCTCCTGCTATCCAAGAGAATGAACAGATAGTCCAGACCCGGGCGGCGTCTATGAGCCAACGACCCGACACTCCTCCAATCCAAGAACAAACGAGCAAGCACAAGAGGTTCTCAGTATTGAGGTTTCGCAATGCATCTGACTCGCAGCTTTCTCTGCGGGCCAAGCAGCAGGCCGAAAACCCACCTCCACCTGTCCCTCGTCGTCGTAAGCCTCCCTTCCGGACGGGCTACCTGCTCATGCTCGTGTGATCCAATGCTAATACAGGTTGATTTCGTACAGCCCCGGAGATCATTACCACAGCCCCAACTGGCGAGTTTGTCGGCCCGAGGAAGAAATCGTCACGTTTGAGTCTTGCTGCGAAGCTTCGGATTTCTCACGATTCTCCACGGCATTCAACCCTCAATGGCCCCCCAGCGTCGCGAAGCTTCGTCGATACTATCGGTGCTGAGCGTCGGCGCCTATCTCTCGCTCCCTTGGAGGAGCCAGGCTCTCCTCGATCGTCATTGCAGCATAACCACACTTTCAATGGCACAATGGGGGCTCCGGGACCATGGGCACATCGGCAGTCCGAGTCTTCCAGGTCTGATCTCAGCTCTGGTGACCGTGTCTCACAATCCAGTCCTGCTACTACGCCAAAGAAATCGCCAACATCCAGCACGCTTTTCAAGTCATTCAGGAGGTCAAAGAAGCAGCCTGAGCCAATGTTTCCTATTTCGCATCTTCCGCAAAAGGACAAGACGCCACAGCCTGGGTCTTCGTCCGTGAGCCTCACTAACACGCCAAGGCCTGCCTCAGTACAGAGTGGCCGTATTTCTCGCGGTCAAAATGAACGTCCAGTCCATTTCTCTCCGACAACCCCGGCCCCGGCTACAGCACTCTTCGCTCCCGGCGGAGCCTCTCGGTCGGGGCAGTCTTCCCCTACACGACCCAATTACTTGAGAGAAAGATCGTCTACAATGAGTTCCGCGGGACGGGACTCGACTGAAGACCACCATCTCACCCCTGCAACACGAACATCGTCCTCTACTGGCAGGAAAAGCTTCGGCGATCTTCTTGGCCTCGGCCGGCTCAGACAAAATTCCGAGCTTGGCCGCCAAGGAACGCTCACACCGGCCACCCCGGGCTCGTCTGCGTCGAAAAGCAATTCGCTGCAGCTTGCTAGAGATACCATTCCTCTTCCGGAGCGATATAATGAAGAATCCCCCGCGAAGTACTTGGCACGCGTAGAAATGGTTATGAACAGAGGTTCTATCGCCGCCGCACTCTCCAAAGCTTCCGATTCATTCTCTGCGGCTGTCCTACGAAGCTACATGAGAAGCTTCAGCTTCTTCGGTGATCCTATGGACATGGCTCTCCGGAAGCTTCTTATGGAGGCCGAGCTACCAAGAGAGACACAGCAAATAGATCGGTGCCTGCAGGCTTTCGCGAATCGCTACCACGAGTGCAACCCTGGAATCTATTCATCGCCAGACCAGGCTTATTTCATCGCCTTCTCCCTTCTTATCCTTCACACCGACGTCTTTAACAAGAATAACAAGTACAAGATGCAGAAGGCGGACTATCTGAAGAACACGAACGGCGAAGGCATCTTTGACGAAATCTTAGAGTGCTTTTACGACAACATTTCTTATACCCCATTCATTCACGTTGAAGACGAGCTTGACCTACCTCTCGAACGGGCTTCGAAATCGAGGACGAAACAATTGCTAGTAGCCAATGACCCCGCGAAGCGTGCTGCAAAGGAGCCCATTGATCCTTACACTCTCATCATTGACGGAAACCTCGATGCATTACGACCTAACCTAAAAGATGTGATGCTTCTTGAAGAGCATTATAATTATCTAGGCTCCGCGACGAGCCTCAACATGAAGGATTTACAAAAAACCTTTTTCCGTACAGGCGTACTTCAGATTGTCTCGGCTCGATCACGCCCGGATGCCTTCATGTCCGAGAAGACTGCGACTAATCCCAACGACGCTCATCCCGGTATTGTCGATATCAAGGTGACCAAAGTGGGCTTGCTCTGGAGGAAAGATCCAAAAAAGCGCAAAACCCGTTCGCCCTGGCAAGAATGGGGCGCTATTCTCACTGGAGCTCAGCTATATTTCTTCCGCAACACCAGCTGGGTCAAAAACCTGATGCACCAGTACGACAGTCACATCAGGGCAGGGCATGATGGCATCCCGGTCATCTTCAAACCACCGCTAGAAGAATTCAAGCCAGATGCTCTCATGTCTACTCATGACGCGGTAGCGCTCCATGATTCCTCATACAGAAAACACAAAAATGCGTTCGTTTATGTTAGATCGGGCGGCCTGGATGAGGTTCTTCTAGCTGATACTGAAGACGAGATGAATGACTGGCTCGCAAAACTTAACTATGCCGCAGCATTTCGGACCACAGGCGTTCGCATGAAGGGAGTGGTTGGGGGCCACTACGACGGCCAAGGGCGTCGAGGAATTAGGAGACTCGACAGCACCGAAGGCACTCAACTAGTTGACACCCCCAGTGGTCAGGTGGCTATCGCAAGAGGCCAAATTGACCACAAGATGGCCGAGGACATTCAGTCGGCAAGACGCGAGTTCATGCTGCAAAAGATCGCCCAGAACGATGAAAGCCTTGCTGAATGTCAGAAGAAACTCGACGATCAGTTGCGCAATGCCCGTCACCTTCAGATCCTGGCACCCATTCAACCCAGGACAAGAGAACAATTGCTAGAGGCTGCAGGTCGGATCTCAGCGCAACTCAAGTGGACACGAACGGAGATGTGGAGAGAAAAGTGCCATCGAGACATCCTTAAACTAGATCTCGAGGAAGATTCCGTTACATCTCCTCCCGCCACGACTCCCATCAAATCTCATAAACGCGAACCCTCGAACGACAGGCCATCGACACCGACGCCAACGGGGAAAAGCGAGCCCCTAGCCAATCATCAAAACGGATCTAACCAAGAGGTGAGCTCAACGGGAAGTGCCAAACTGGATAGTCTGAAGAGCAAGGAAGAGCCCCTTCCCTCGCCTATAAGCCAGGAATTCCAGACACCGCCTCAGAGCGCATCCTTGAAACCTGGGTCCCGCGACTCATTCCTCCCATTGTCGGATCGAGCAAGCACCAGACATGGGTCAGTTTCCAGTATCGCCCCCTCCCCCGTGAAACGAGTTGCAAATGGTGGCGACTCCGAATCTCGTGAGACCGAGGACACAAATCATAAAAGGAAAACCAGCCACGGTCGAGACGACGTTGATGCAGAGGAGCGAGATCTCCTCGAACAGGCCGGCCTCCTTGACGCCAAATCCGGCAATACAAATTCAGAGACCCTCGGTTTGGAGGGTATCGAGAATGGCGAAAAATCCAAGGCTCGGAGAAGCTTACACAAAACCCTCAGAGACAGCGCTGGGCACCTTGGGCATCATAGAAGCAGGAGAGGAAAGGAAGGCAACCCCACCACTCCACCGGACGCCGCATCTTCAGAGAGCACACTACCAAGAGGGGCTGGGAGTTTTACGGTCCATGGCAAGAAGGCCTCTGTTATCAATTTCGGGACTGGGCTGGCAGGAATAGCCGCAGATGAAACGCTGCGCACTCGCAAGCCATCTGTGTCCCAGGACCCGCCCGTTTCCCCTGCTTTTAGCAGTGGAGGGGAGGACGATGACTTTTATTCTATCGCCGATGAACTTGAGGATCAGCAAGATTCGCACGATAGGAGAGAGTCGGCCGCCAGTGAGAGCACTGCTACGGCACGGAGCTTCCGTGAACTCCATCGGAAATACTCCACCGCCCGGGCAGCTAGAAGCGTCTCGAGCGGCGGACGGCTGGCAGTTCCTTCAGATGGCGAGAGCGAGGTTGCGGTTAGCTTTTCTGAAGGCCGGAGGTCTCCACTGCCTCCCATTGACCCTGACGAGACTGAGGACGAAGATTCTTCAGTCATCCAGGAGGAGCAACGATCTGAAGACGCTGTACCGACCGGAAAAGAGTAAATGAACGCAGAAAAAGGATATGCGAAGGGCAAGCAGGCTTGACACGATATGCAAACACTACATCCTTTTCGGCTATGAAACGACTGGCGTACGGCACGGTCTCTATACCCAAGGCCAGGCCCCAAGTAATCGGCCTTACATTGTCATCCTTTTGGCCTTTTTTTTTTTTTCTTCGAATGAATTTACAGGAGCGATAAAACACTCGGCAGCCTTTGTGCGCAATATATTGAGCGCAACATGTACGCTTACTTTTCGTATTGAGATAACTGATATGGCATGTGGTTGGCTTCTTATTTCTTTCATCAGTGCATGAGAGCAAAGTTCCCTAAAAAGTTGGCGATCTCTGGGAGGGTGGGAGAACGGGGGGAGGCTGGCTTGGTTTGCTCACCAAATATGTATTAGACTTTATAATTACTGCTCGACTTGCAAACTTTCTTTTCTTCATTGCTCGTTTTCTCTTTTTGTTTTCCCCCGCACGTTCTGCTTAGCTTTGCATGTTGACTGGTGGTTTGGAGGAACACCACGGATTCGTCCTTTTTTTTATTCTACGGAGTTCAATGAATAGTAGCGGGAAATGAATAGCAGGTAGAGAGTCTCATGGAGATTTTCCCTGATTTTTTTGACATCGGACAGACTTCATAGTTAACATCATCATCAAAATCTTCTATCAGACATGGAAACCAACCATCCCAGAACCCGTCCGTTTATAACCCCTGCCCATGCTATTGAGTTATTATGCTTTGCTTTTCTTCTCATCTATTTCTTGCCCTTCTTTTTCTTCTTGGATGATGTGCTTGCCGTCGGCGCCTTTTCGACCTTGACGCCTCCCCCGCCAACTAGCTCTAACGTCTCCTCCTCCTTCACGATGCCGCCCTGGGTGGAATCCGCCACCTTCTTCCTCCCCTTCTTGCCCTTGGGGCGGTAGGAGGACCGGTCGCGCAGCGGCAGCCAGCGCTCCGGGTCGGGCTTCTTGCCCTCCTCGTAGTTCCTGGGCAGCTTTCTTCTTCGCTTCTTAGTAGCCTTCCTGTCAGCATCTACGTCCGTGGCGGCCCGCTTCTTAAGCAGGGTGCTCCTCGGTGCGGCCACGACGCCGGAAGCGAGGAGCTTCTCGACGTCGATACCGGCAATGAGCTCCTTGACATTGGGGAGCTCGTCGACGTGCTGCTGGACCTTGGCGGGGTCGGACGGGGCGAGGGAGGCGACGAGGCCGGCCGCGGCGATGTGTGACCCCTGGTGCTCGTCGAAGAGCTTCTCGAACGCGGACCCGGCGAGGAGCAGGTCCTGGGAGTTGGACGACCGGAGGAGCTCGATGCCCGCCTCCCGCAGGAGGGAGGTGGCGGTGCTGCCCGGCCGGTCCAGCCAGTGCTTGGATGCCTTGGCCAGCTCGCCCCGGGCGTAGGTCTCTCTCCCCTGTTCGCGCAGCAGCGAGACGTAGAGGGCGACCAGGCCCGGACTGAATCTCACGTCCTTGGCTTCTACGCTGGTGTCGCTCTCGAGGCGGCTGAGGAAGGATGACAGGGTGAACAGGGCCGAGGCTTTCCGGCCGTGCTGGAGCTTTGTCTGGACAACGGTGAGGACGAGGCCGACCTCGGTGGCTCGCTTCTCGGAGAGGGATTCGAGGGCGCGGAGGAGCGCCTTTCCGGTCTTTCCATGGACCTCTGCGGCGGCGTTGATGACTGAGAGGGCGTTCAGTCCGGGCTGGATGGACGGGTTCTGCGACTTGTCCAGTGACGCCTTTGTCCTGGCGCAGACGCCACGGAGTTTCTGTGCGTGCAGGTCGGTTAGGAAGCTGTTCTGCGTGAAGATGTCACTTTGGAATTTGAAGAGTTTGGCGTCTTTGGTCTTGTGTGCCAGAGCTGCCGCTTTCCGTTGAACAAGGTACGGGTTTGCGGAAGCTGAATCAAGTGCAATGCGGTTGTTCTCGGTGACAAGCGTCAAGTCAACGTCATTCTCCCTGTTCCACGATGTTAGCATCTTCGCACTGAGCCAGACCCATCATCACTCACTCTACAGATCCCAAAGATGTCAGCAAGTCAAGAGACTCCTTGACCTTGCCCAGCTTAGCATACACATATGCCTGCTGGGCCAGGATAGGCTGCATCTCCGCCTCCTTGTCCTCCTCCGTCAGATCATCCGAGGCATCGCACAGCTTGACTGCCCGCTGAAGGAGCCCTGAGGCCCGGCTAAGATCTCCTTGGGCAATGTAATAGCAGGCTACGTTGTAGCAGACCTCGAATGTGTCCAGTTCCTCGTGATCCACAGGCAGTTCGGACGACGCAGTGCCTTGCCATTCGCCCTGGGCAATGGCAGCCTTGATGTTGATATTCAAGTCGCTCTCCTCCCCGGCAACGTCGGAGTCCAGCAGTCTCTGGTATATTTCGCGAGCTTCATCGAACCTCTCGGCACGGTAGGCGACTTGTGCGGCGACATGTTGGAAGCTTCGATCAGACAAGCCGACGGCCTTCAAGACCGAGGCGGCGTCCTCGAGGTTACCGGTCTTGTAGAGTGCGTACGCCTTTGCGAGCGCACATTTCGCCTCAACGACAATCCCGCCCTCGGCAATGGCGCGCAGGGCATCATCAAAGCGGTCGAGCTTCAGCAGGGCGATGATTCGTGTGTGCTGGTGGCCAGCGTCGCTCTTGTTGGCCTTGATGGCGGCGTTGGCGGCCTTGAGGATCTCCTCGTGGTCCTCTATGGACGAAGAGCGCAGCAGGGCGCTGAGAGCCGCAGCAGGGTCTTGAGGCATGGTTCGGGGTCGGGGTTATGAGACTCTCAGTGTCGTTGCATCGCTCATCAGGTGTAGCACGGTGTGGTGTTCAATTTGGTGGGGACCGAATATTGAAATGTGGAGTCAGAAGACACAGCGCACGCAGAAGTTGTATCACAGAGGGGCGATTCGGGATCGCAAGGCCACGCAGTAAAGACGGTTCTGCCAAGCGTGGTACAAGGCGTTCGGGCTGATGACGCGGGGATGAGAATGTCGCGTGCGGATGGCTGTGACGAGGAACTCCAATGCCCACCTACATTGAAGCCATTTCGGCGCTGAATTTTGGGATCTGGCGGGGCAATTTCTCACGCGCCACAAGAAGGTTTGGGAATGAGCCGCGGGGAGACTCAGGGTTGTGGCTTGAAGTTGTGGCTTGACCCTGATCCCGCCACAGTCGCTGAAAATATGGCGTACGCCACTACGGGCGCAGACAGCCCTCAGGAATCGGAAAAGGGTGTGCCAGTGTAACTGTCGCATCGATCCCTTGTACTTATCATGCTCAGAATCACACAATAGCCCTATCAACAGCATAAAGTGCTGATGTTTTTTGCATGTGAATAGTCAATAATGACACCTGTTTCATTCTTATGCTTGTCTAATGTCCTACTGCTACGCTACCGCACACCGGCATCTGCTTCAGGACGTTGCAGCCCCTCCCACACCACACCTCCGTGATGTGAGCACTTTAGCTCACGGTTAATCAAGTGCACGCACGATTGTGCTCAGCATCATTCGGCGTGTTACACAACGCCAAACCCACCCCCAACACATCAAACAACCGCCCCCAGCCACTTGTGGTGCGGTTAGTGGGAACTGAGCGGCTTTGCAAACCTCCACGGCTCCTCAGCGTGGGGGTCGCGCAATTTCGGAGGATACTGAGCTTCGCACCGTGTGCGGAAGCTCAGATCATCAGTGCATCAGGCTGTTACGTTTATTTATGCCTCTAGTCCGATGGCCGTCTGTCCCTTGGCGCAGGCACCCAATCGACTAACATGAACCCGCACCGTCCCAGTCGCCTTGTTCTCGAATCATCGCTATTAGGTCCCGCAGCCCGGATGGAGGCCCGCAGCCCCCGTCTCGCCTGTGCAGCCAGGGGCTGGCCATAGCGCAATTGCTGTCGCGGCTTCGTATTCGCCAGCAGCCTCCAGGGTCCTCAGACGGCCGAATCACAGGCCGCCATCTCCTATCTCGCTATCTCGACGTGCCCCCCACCCCCAGGGCCACTTGCGCGCTCAACAAGGCAACGTCGTGACAGCGCCCCAGCCTGTCCTTGCTAGCAGAGAGCCCCCCACGGCACATTACATTGTGTGATGCCGCCTATTTCGCTCGCGGGCGCATGGCCCAGAGCAGGGAGCCAACCAGCATCGGAGGCCTGGGCATCGGAGGCGACATTCTGCTCAGCGCCGTGGGATGTTTGCGATAACCTCGGCGGGTCGTGGTAACGCAAAACGGGTCGGCTCTCTATTTACATGCATCGCCCTGTTTTTCTGCTCCGGCCGGGGGCGTGGTTTGCCTGGTCCCCAGCACCAGTCGCATTTCGCTCTGAACATGGCATATCTTTCATCCCACCCTCCTACGTCTGGACATCGGCCCGGGCCCTGACAGGTACCTCAGGTTACCCAACTCCCGCGGTTTGCGAGGCACCATCGACGTTTTGAAAGGGCATGTCGCGCATACCCTTGCGCCAGACGCTGATCCGTGACATTCCGGTTTCTTCAGTCTCATATTCACTACCAAGCGCAACAAGACTTGGTCTCTTTTGCGCTGCTCTGCTCCTGGCCTGCTCTGCCTTTGAAAGAGCTCATCTCCATTCAACTCAGCTTGTGTCCTTATGCATCATCCCATGGACCAAATACCTCCTTGTCACTTAGCCGCAGACCTACACTACAAAATCCCATGGCGACATCACCTGCCTCCCATCCTCTCGAGGCTCCCTTGGGAGCCTCAGCGCCAGCGCCAGAACAAGAGTCCTCATCAATAACCCCAACTGCCTTCCAAGGTGATGAGTCTCAGTTGCCGCGAGGCCACTGCCGTTACATTTTAACCATGCCAGAGCTCAAAGGGTATCGTTGTGGTTGTGTCAGCTTTAGTCAGAACAAGTCCGTTCCTGGCGTGATATGCGAGTGCGGCCATTTCGCATGCTTCCACCTGAACTCTGCAAACTCCCTGTCGCCAGGAAAACACCACGACGATGTTGAATTATTGAGGCAGCGAGTGCAGGCCCTGGAGCAGCAACTATTATCAGCGACCGACGGCCAGGAGAGGTTGGACCAGACCATCCACCGCCTGAGCCAGATGGAGGAAGCTGTCGAGAGAAACCAGGAAGAAATACGGACCGATTTCAAATCATCGTACAAGCACATGTCGGCAGCATGGAGTCTGGTGGAGCAACTGCAGAAGAGACTGTCCACGTTTGAAGAGAAACAGAACCTTCAGACGGTGCAGATGGAGAGGGCAGGGAAAGAGCTGGATGACTTGCGGAACCGCAACCTGGAACTCTTGGAGACCGACGAGATGCTGGAGGAGCGGATCGAGCAGCTTGAGCAGCCGACTTCATCACGTCAACCCACAGGTGAGCGTCGATCAGCCAGCCCCGAAGCAGACATCCCTGCACCAAAACACTCCCCCAGCCCATCCCAGCAACACCACTCAACAACCGATAAGCTTAAATGCGACACCTCCAGTCAACCACCTATCCATCCAGTCCACCTAGACCTGACTGAGGCGCCAATACCTACCGCCATTATACCCTCGGGGGTATGGACGATGCATGTCTCTGTGCTCCCGTCGAGGGACCAGCCCTTCCCCTTCGAGAAGGACACTGCAGCATACAAAAGATGTCTCTCCCGTGGGCTCCAACGTGTTGTACCCGTGCAGGGTTACAGCGCGGAGGCCATCACGTCGGCGATCTCCAAATTCTTTCACCCAATCTTACAAAGCAATGCATGGGAGCCTCTGGAAGCCAAAGTGTGCGACGCCAGGAGGCTCGAAGGGCTCCCGATGCTACGGCCGCTCGAGCCTGAGATCAACAGAACGACCTACGATATAGGTCTCATCATGGGGCGCTGCGCCGTCCGAGATGGCTCCGGGCGGATTCAATCCATGTACGTAGCGCTGAAGAGAGGGAAACTCTCGTGGAATACGATCAGAGATTTCCCCGTCTACATGGAAGGTCTGGAGTCGAGCTGGGCGTTTGACAGATTCCTCGATCAAGACGGGGATGGCGACGGAGACGTGGATGGGGAGAGTGCCGACGTGCGCCCACGACGCTCATCCATGCCACTAATAACAAACCCGACGCCTCCGGTGTCACTGAAGCGCAGCTCAGCAGAGATGGAGTTGGGAGGGGTGGTGGGCAACGGCTCGGTTGATGGCGAGAGCGAGGCACCGAGGGCCAAGGTCGCACGAACATGCATCCCCGACGCACTGGATTTCAAGGCAAGGTTTGAGAGCGACCTTGTGAGTCGCTATTAATGATTCATGACGTATATTAGGTCGACGAAGTGGTTTTTTTCCTTCTTCTTTTCTTTCTTTTCAAAGTATAGAACGCGTCCGAGGGCGTCGGTTCAACCGATAAATGCATGTCCACGGGCTTTGGCTAAAGAGGACGGGTTTGGCGTTATTCATTCTGGATTGGACAGCGGGAGGGAATGGATGCGGGGGGTTACGAAGATAGATTACTTGCTTGTTATACGACCGCTTCACTCATATGAACCATATGACTAGATATAGAGGAGCGAGCCCACTTGGCAAACATAGCACAGCACGAGATGATGCGACAGGCACACACACACACACACGATAGAGGTAGCTAGATAGAGCTTCAGGAAGCCAAATAGGATTAAGGAGTATCGAGAAGTGACTATGTAAGTGGAAAGAAATGGAACCGAGGTGTATGCTGCAGCGAATTGAAGTTGGTCATTTGGTTTCATTGGGTTTCCTGAAGGCTCGATTATCAATGAAAAAAAATGACCGTCGATGTGTTGAGTGCCGAACAAACCAGAGATTAGCCTACCAGGCCTACACAGAAGAAGCATGGCAACCGAAAACTTATTGACGTTGGGCACCCAGGATGGCTATCTCCGTGAACTTGCGGAGCCTTACTCCTCACTCTCCTCCATGCTCGCGAGGTAGCGGGCATAGAGGAGCTCCTCGATATCCCGCTCATCGAACTCAATCTCTCGCTCCTCCAAATCCTCGAAGTACGACCGCTCCTCCATGTCTCGCTCCTCCAGGTCCATCTCATAGTCGCGAAGTTCCTCGGGGGCAGCCTCCGCGGCGGGTGCCTCCTCGGCGGGAGTCTCCTCAGCAGCGGCGGGCTCGGGAGCGGGCTCCGGGGCAGTAGAGGCAGAGGCAGACGCCTTGTCGGCCTCGGCGTGGTGGTCCTCAGCGTGCGTCTCGGTGTGGGCTGCCTTGGCCTTGGGGTGGTGAGTCTTCTTGGCCTGCTTGTTGTCGTGGATTCCGTGGCTGGCGCGGAAGAGCTTGCGGTACCCGATGAAGAACTTGGCGAGCGAGCTCTCGTCGAACGGCCTGCGCGCCTGGAGGTCTCTCGTTTCGTAGGCAGATCCGGAAATGGGCATGGCGAGCGCCTGGTCGGCGAGGCCGGCCACGAGGGCTGCGACAGCGATATTCTTGATGGCAACCATTTTTTTAATAGGTAGGGATGGTGTAAAAAAGTATTTCAATAAAATAGGGTTAGTAGAAGCGAACAGAGACCAGCTCTTGAATTGTGAATAGAGCCCAGCTCTAGAGATTTTTTTTTTTTTGTTGTTTTGGAGGTGGAGTGATGGCAGACTGCAGTGGCGGGCAGCGTGTTCTTATTATACGACCTTCGTCAGATTGCGGATGTTGCTATTTTGAGGCACGCTGCTCGCCCGCCATTGGCTGCAGGCGGCGGGACTTGCGAAAAGGGCCCTGCCTAGACTCAACCGTCCAGGATGCGACGCATATTACTTAATACCTGGGCCGTTGGGGTGCTGCGGTCCAAGCTGCCCGTCGAATTTCTGCTGAGGGTGAGCCAATCTTATGTCATACCCTGCTGCGCAGCACGGAGGCGTGCGTGCGTGCCGTGGCCCAGCATAGGTCGAGTATAAGTATTACTGGCGACTCAACCAAAGTCGGCTTCGATATGCACACGACAGCCCAATCGCTCCTCCACGATGGCTGCTTCGCCCGTGATATAGACTTCTGGAGATCACGCTGGTGCAGGGAAAGCCGCTGGTGGTACCCACATCTCCACACCGGCACTACAGGGTTGCCTGAGTGCTAATTGAAGGTTCCTTTGTCCGTGGACGCTGCCCCAGTTAGCAGGTAGCAGGTCTCGTTAGGCCTGTGAACCGCTGTGCTGCACCGCTTCCACTGGGCTGGACGGCTCCGACTGCCCCGACCGGCGCTAGGCGTTGGGCAGGCAGTTCGCGAATCGCGAAGCTCTTCAATTGCACTTGCTCCTCTCGCATTCTCGTTCCGTCATCCGCCTCGCCCAAAGTCCCCCGTGTCGCCAGCCTCTCCCGATCTGGCACGCACATCTCTGTGCAATCCATGCAGTAGATTTTATCTCAACACACTCACTGTCCGGCCTCAGTCTGGGCTGGGGATCCTCCAACACCTAAGGCGTTCGTTCACACATCGCCATCCTTGGCATAGGCGGATTTCGTTCCAGTCCCCCCAAATAGCATCAATCCCTTCAGTTTCGCGGCTCTGCATCCTCGGTCAATTCGCCCGCCATGGATCTGGACATTGAGATGGGCGATGCTGCCCAGCAGCCCTTTATGGAGGAGCCCACCAGGGACAACGATATTCTGGTAAGGCCTTCTCCTGCATCTCCGATGCAGGCCCTCTTACCCAGCACCCACATACTGATGACGGCTCAAAGCAACCCGACGAGCCTGAAGAACTCGGCGAGGTCATTGAGGATGAAACAACAGCGGCGGACAACGAGTCTCAGACGGTGGTACCCAACAAGGTCAACGTCCGTGGAGTCGACACACTACACACAGACGACATCAAGACGTACGTGAGGTCGCATTTCGGCTCGGTCGACAGAGTCGAGTGGATCGACGACACGTCCGCGAACCTCGTCTTCAGCTCCGAATCGGTCGCGCGTGACGCCCTCGTGGCATTGAGCAATGTCGAGATTGCGGACGCAACAGCGCTGGGCGTAGGCGAGAGCCTCCCCGGCAAGGCAGTCGACGGCAAGCCCGACATCTCCCTCCAAATCCGCTTCGCGGTCGAGAGCGACAGGAAGGAGGCCGGCGCCGCGCAGAGAAGCCGCTATTATCTCCTGCATCCGGAGCACGACCCTGAAGAGCGGCGGAGACGGAACCAGGAGAATAGGAGCAGGTACCGCGAGCGCGAGCGCGACAGCCGCGGCAGTGGCAGGTACAGGAGAAGAGGGTCCGACGACGATGAGATCGAGACCTACGAGGCCAGCATGTATGACGACGCACCCCGAGCTTCGCGCCGACGGTCGGAGTCGCGTGAGCGCTCGCGCGAGAGACGGCCTTCGTACTCGCAGCAGAACAAGGGCAAGGAGCTATTTTCCAGCGGAAGGCCATCTCGTGGCAGGGGAAGGTCTGCGTCGCCTAGCCGTGACCGTGACGGCGATATGTCGATGGACGAAAGTGCTAGTTCTGCCGGCAACAGGATCAAGGCTCGCTCCCTCAAGGATCGCATCACATCCGACAGGGGCAACCGATCCAAGGAGCTCTTCCCCACCAAGGCTACCGGCCGTGGCGGCCAGCTTGATCAGCTCGAAAGCTCCACGGGCTCGGCTCATCTCACAGAGGAGGACCATCCCAAGATTGTGGACGTACCCCACGGCTCGAACAGTAACTTTAACATCCGGGGTTCGGCGAACCCGCGCAGCAACAACGGAGGATTCAGCATCAAGGGCACGGCGGCGAGCGCCAAGGAACTGTTCCCTACCAAGCTTGGAGGTAGCAACGCAGGGAAGGAGTTGATAGGGGCGAAGAAGCAAAACAGGAAACGAGCTGAGGATCTGTTCGGTTAGAACCTGAGAGATCTGTATCTCTAAGCCAAGGGCGAGGGGCTGAAGGGAAAGGGAAGGGGGGGCATCAGCGAGTTGGAAAACGGGACTTCTGGTATAGTACATTATTTCCTCGGACTGCATGGGATGGGGCTTCAGAAAAGATTCAAAAAGATTGGTTTCCAGCGTTTGGTGTTTAGATGGTTATATGGGGTGCATCTAGCTCATGATAGACACGATACCTATGACAAAATTTGCCTGCCCTCCTCTTCATGCTGTGTAGTCCCCGTGCGCCCACTGTGGTTTGCGTCGCACAGAACCGTTGGTGAACCTCCGGTGGATGAAAAGTTCAAAATGTCCCCAGATCTCGGCAAGTTCACACAACACCACACAAATCAGAGAAAATTAAGGTAAAAAAGAGGTGCCCAATATTCATCTATGTTCTCATACCCCCAACTATGTCCTGGAATTTTGAATAAATAAGGCAGCAGTATATCCCGGGGCTCTACATCCGACATTTACGCCCGAATCGCCTGAGAGCCGGACCCCCGTCATTACACATGTCCGTCTAGACCAGCACCCTCCGGACCACATGGTCTTGCCATTTGCTAATTTTTATTTCGAACCCTTTCTCCGTCGCTGTCAGAGCAATCAGCCCGCTATCACTGTATTGGGGAAACGCCCGCCCCAAGTAAACATATGAATTTGCCTGCTCAATGCCATGATTGGTTATATTTATGAAGGCTCAGTCCAGTTTACTTGATCCATAACTTGGCCGGCAGTGGGGTGGGAGTAACCGATGCGGAGGCGCAAGCGAAGGGGCTATAAATCCAAATGTTAGCATGTGTCTCTCAAACCAAGGTGTATTGCCACTAGTCTTACCCCTTTGCACCCTGTGACCCTCATTGCCTGCGTAGCCTCGGTTCCTGGAGCGAGATCCGCCGTTGTGATGCTCTGCAGTTGAAGCTTCTGTGATTTGGGAACGGCAGCCTGCAGTCCGACGTTTGATAGGGTAGCCGATCCTGAGGTGTTTTGGAAGCGTGCCAGAGCCTGGATAACACCTTCGGCATTGCGTTGGATTTGGAAGGTCACGTTGAGATCATTAGCATTGTAGCAAGGGTGGCCGGGAGGAGCTTGGGCCTGAGGAGGTGGGGTGGCGGTGCTGCCACCCATCAAGTCAAAGTTGGAGGATGCTTGTGTAGGGGCTGGAGAGGCGGGACCTCCAGATCCAAAGAGGTCCATAATAGATGCTGTGTGAGACTGTTGTTGGTGTCCAGGTGAGAAGGGAGCAGGAGTATTAGGGGCGCTCAGGATATCAGCAAGCAGATCCGAGTTGTTCTGAGCAGGACCACCAGTGGTAGGAGTGCTTGCACCTGGGACATCCATCAGGCTGAGCAGGTCATGTTCTGTGGGCTTAAGAATCTTCGACTTCCTGTTGACAGTCTTGGACTTCTTGGTTGCCGCTGGACCCAGCACTCTGGATTCCTCCTTGATCTGTGGAGGTGGCATCTTTTCGAGAACACCGCGGCGGATTTGGTCGAATTGGAACAGATTACTATATTCAACCGCACGCTGCTGAATCTCGACATCGAGACTCGTCTGGTGAGTTTGTAGCAGTCGCCGTACCCGTTCCACTTGCGCAGGGTCAGAGCATCGAGTGGTGAGCTTCATGAGAGCGGTAATAATGTACTCAGTAGTGACTTGCGAGGCATAGCTGCTGTTCAAAATAAGCGAGAAGAGGTCGGTAATCTCACTCTCCTTGACTTCAGCGACCAGTTCCTCCTCTTCATACTGCCCGCCTTTCAAAAGAGCGTCAGCATACTCTCCAATGCACCAAGCTCCAGCTTGGGCAAGACTCTCCTGTGTGATATCTTTCTTCAGGTTAATATATAACTTCTGCACGGCATAAGTCTGCAGCTCGGGTGTGGTCGCAATCAAGCGAACAAAAGAGGAGAGGATCTGCTCCTTGACATAATTGCCGGCCAAAGTCACCACCCTAAGCATTGTATCGAAATGCCAACGCTTGTTTGGAGCAAACTTATCAGCAGCGATACCAATCTGACTTGTCATGGTGGGCTTGAACTCGTTGTCCGCCACTTCCAGGAAGGCCAGGAGCTCTCTAATCAGCACTCGAACGTTGCTTTCATTAATGAGTGTAAAGCTCAGGTCCAGAGCACGCCTCCTGATACTGACGTCTGGGTCTCGAAGACATTCCAGTATAGTATTTCGGTGTCTCTGGACGGCATTTGGCTCAATGGCAACGACCTTTATGAGGGTGTTGAGAGCCACGTATCGAACATTGTTGTCTCTATTGGTAAGGAACTTTCCAAGAATGTTGACGCCCAGTACACGCAGGCCAGAATCCGCCTCAATATCAAGAATAGTTAGGACAGCTTCGTAAAGAATCGAGTTGCCGACATTCTTGGAGGGATCCGTGTTTGTCGCAACCTGGGCCAAGATATCGTTAATCTGCTCGCTAATGTTCGCATCGCCCACGGCCAAAACACGTAGAAGTCGCAAAATCTTGACTTGCAGGAATGGGTCCGAGATACCAGTAACGTCGTGCTCGGGAGTATATCCAGCAGTCGACAGACTCTTCAAGGTCTTGACCAGACCGGGGACAAATGATCTAAATTTCTCCACGATGCCTTCTTCGCCGCCCTCCTCCTCGTCTGCTTCGCAAAGACTGGTGACAAGTGTCAAACCACAGAGGAGGACACCATGGTTTCGGTCGGACAGAAGTTGCGTTGCCTTTTCAATGAAGTGTTCCTGAAGATCGGGGACCTTGCGACATATGCGCATAGCGCACAGAGCTGCCTTTCGTCGAATATAAGGGTTGGCGGTTGCGAGCAGGGCCTCAACTTCGGAGAACAGATCACGAGACATCTCCAGAGAGGCGATGTTTCCCAATGTACAGAGAGCCAGACCGACGACATACTGATTAGAGTGCTCGAGATCACTGCGGAGATCCTAAAGTTAGCCAGGTGCCTAAAGGACATTCAAGGAGCTGGAGGGGGGCTAGGCAACTATTCCATACTTCTTCAGAGAGTTTGTAACCAAGGTCAGCACTTCTTGGTTTTCGTCCAGAAGCAAACTCGTGGCTAGGTGTCCTAAACGTTTGTCGGCAAATCGAGGGGACGCCAGCAGCTTCAAACATTCGATCTGTCCGAAGTGCGTTCGCTCGCCCAGTGTAAAGAGATATAGGAGCTTTGCGACATTGTTACGTCTGTACCCCGCCCGTCAGCATCCATCATAGTATATTTCCCAGCTGCATCATGATGGCGGCCTGATGGAAAGGTTTTCAGAAGCTGAGCACCTACCGGACGGTGTGGTTGTGGGATTCTTCTCGAAAGCTGGCTCGAATGGCGGCACTCTCCTTTTGGATGACAGCTCGTTCGTCGGCGATGGTCTTGGCTGCGCGCACATTGCGGATAAACTGTTTTACTGTGAGGGAATCATCGTAAGTCTCACGCCCTTAAACCGGTGTTCGTTCGGCTAGGGTGGTGCTCATACAAGAACTCATATTGCAAACGGGTTGTGGCGGACCCGGCGACTAGATCGCCTGGTAGCTTCTTGATCCAGGGGCAGAGGAGAGTATGCAGGCCCTGGCGGGGGGAACCGGTATGATATTGGCAGCTTGGTCGAAGAAGCTGCCGGTCGGAAGTCTATCGCTGGCGTCCCGAATGGCTGGCCACGCAAACAATGGCTTACACTATGCGGCGGGTGACGCTGAGGGATTGGAGTCTCGACGGGAGGTAAGATGTGAAGGCGAACACATGTCAACGTGGGGCTCAGTTGCCAATCAGGTACGTACCGCTTTGTCTGGCGAAGCTTGGCCACTGCAGTTTGTCGGTGTCCCACAGCGGTTTCAGCCAGCTACAGCGCCATGCGAGCAGGTGGAGGGCCCCGGGGCGGAAAAGCTTCGCCACCGGTTAAGCAACGGTAGGCAACAAGATTATTATTACACTCCTGAACCTTCTTGAGAGCATGCTGTTACCAGAACCTAATATGAGCATAGCTCTGAGCTCCTTTCTAGTACGTAGGTACATGCCTGTGCCAACAAATACACGCACAAACATGCTTTAATCATGTTGAGCTGGTGACTTGGCCTACCACGACTTATTGTACCTCTATAGCTGTGATCCAATAAATGGTTCATCGTACCATCAGTTTACAGGTTGAAAACGAAATCACCACAGTGCCATGGCAAGAAAGGAACACCCCAAAGACTAGTTAAAGTGATTACATTTTTCACTCCTCGTGTGTTAGTCAACATGGCCCAAGCAGGACGAAGCAAACCCAGACCAATACCTCGCTTCTCCACACTAACTACATCACAACATGGTCTACCACACATCGCTCACAACTTCGGTAAGCCTGTTGAGTCAAAAAGAAGGCCTAGAAGATATCAAATGTCATTTAAACTTGAAAACCCCAGGACTACCAAGATAACGAGACCAGGACCGGGCTCGAGGTCTAGCTAATGCTGCACAGCAGCACCCTCGGAGGCCTCTCTGACTTCAATCGCCTTATTTCTGCATCATGAGTTGGACGAATTCGTTATCTACACGTTTGGGTTAGCAACAACCAAGTGAGGGGAGCTTGGGTTTGAAATGTCCCATACAGTCAATGCGTCCATCACCGTCCTGATCAGCCTCCCGGATCATCTCATCAACCTCATCGTCTGTGAGCTTCTCACCGATAGAGGTCATAACGTGTCGCAGCTCAGCAGCGGAAATGAAGCCATTGTTGTCACGGTCGAATACCTGCCACATGTTAGCTTTGAGCTCGGCATCGTCCAAGTCCTATCTACAAACCTTGAAAGCTTCACGGATTTCCTCCTCGGAGTCGGTGTCCTTCATCTTTCGTGCCATCATGGTCAGGAATTCTGGGCCCCTTTGTCAGCCATACAGGTCCCAAAGATCGTATCCTTGGAGCTATCAAGTCGTACCGGGGAAGTCAATCGTGCCGTTGTTGTCGGCATCAACCTCGTTGATCATGTCCTGGAGCTCGGACTCGGAAGGGTTCTGACCGAGGGATCGCATAACGGTTCCCAGTTCCTTGGTGGTGATCTCGCCTGGAAACAGTCGAATCAGTTTCCGTCACATGTAAGTTACTGGTAAATGGGCGCTCTCCAGCCACTATTGGCGAAGAGGTTCTGTTTCAGGGCTGTCGGGATTCCATCAAGCACTGCGATGGGTGCTTCTGGGAGGGGGCGCTGCGCTGCGAATCCGGCACTCACCATCACCATCCTTGTCCTAGATGGCCAATGGTATTAGCTGCAGATCATAGCATATGGACGCCAGAGCTTGAAAAGGGACTCACAAACAGGGAGAAGGCCTCCTTGAACTCGGAGACCTGCTCTTCGGTCAGAGAATCAGCCTGCGCGATTGTTAGCTGCACGCTGCCCCAAAGACGGTAAGGAGGTCACCCCTCCAAAAGGGGATGCGCGGGGCAGTCGAGTGCTATTGCACGCTCAGATTGAGCATGAGGGCATCGAGACCAGTATGCGGGCGGGATATGTTCATACCATGATGATGTGTTATCGAAGGTATCGAGAAAATTGGAGTTTGGTGTCCGTATGGTGGTTCTGCGACAAGCACAAATTCCAAGGTTAGGTCATGAAGGTGTCGGAAGAGAGGACAATTTGGCGGGGCGGCGTCGGGGGTTGCAGCTTCTTCAGCCTGGGGGACTGACTGGATAAGGCGGGACCTAGTGAGATAAAAGCTGCTAGCACACCTCCTACCAATAGCAAAGATTATACAATTGACACCACATAAAATGGAGCATCTCGCAGAGGTCCTTACCTATTTTTGGACTTATGTAAGGCAAGCTGTACGAGCTTAGGACAGGTCAGCAAGTATACAGTAAGCTGTAGTGTTTGGATGCAGCTTCGTTCGCACTGTCTGGTTCCCCTCCTCAGCACGCACTCAGGTGGATCATCCACGTAATCTCATTGAGCTAGCTCCTTGGAAACACAGTGCGATCAACTGACGTGCTAACTTCCAGGCCTGTTTCCGGCTTCTAGTTCCCTGCGCTGGGCCTGACAAGCTAATATGCCGTTATTAGGTCAAGAAGCCAGCAGTATCCATGAAGTCAGATTGCCTCATATAATGCGACTGCACGAACGTCACCCAGAACGCTTCAGATACTCAACAAACGACCCTTTGGACACGCAACATCGATTACCCAACCATCACAAGCGACAATCGCCAATCTGAGGCTCGTCGCAGCCCTCCTCTGCGTCCGCCATGTGGCGCGACCGCACCAATCTGTAAATGCTCCTCCCGCTTGGCCTCCTCTATCATTCCCTGCTAACCACTATTCGGACAGCTACATCTCCTACCGACAGTCATACGCCCATCACCCTACTCAGAGATTTAAGTATGCTGTCGGAGGTGCCTCGAGTTCCAGCAACACAGAAGGCTACGGCGATTCCTTTGCCAGCCGAAGCGATGCGCCCGAGGACTCCCGAGGTCTCCTGGCGGCTTACCAGGACGATGGGGACGCCGTGATTGAGATGGACGTACTGCCACCTCGCTGGGCAGACGTAACGGACGAGATTACCGAAATACTCGCCGACATTGCGACGAAAGGCCACGGCCTCGATAAGCTTCACCAAAAGCATGTGCTCCCGGGGTTCGACGATGACGACGCCAAAAAGGCAGAGGAGGCCCAGATCGAGAGGCTCACCCAGGACATCACGAAGAGCTTCCACAAGTGCCACGCCTGCATCCAGAAGGTGGAACAGATGGTCCGCGAGTCGAAACACACCGGAACCATTACCAGTGCCGAGGAGACAATGGCGAAGAATATACAGATCTCCTTGGCGACTAGGGTCCAGGATGCCAGTTCAAACTTTAGAAAGAAACAAAGCGCATACCTCAAGAGTGAGTCTATTACCACTTACCTCTATGGCGTATATCATGACTGACCTTGTTCAGAGCTTCGTGGAATGGGCGGATTCAGCACGCCGACAGGAGAGCGCGCCAGTACACCACAGCCCGGGTCCTATTTCGAGCCGTCTCTCCAAGATTCCGATGCAGATCGCTCATTTTCGCAGTCCACCCTACTCCAGGCTACTCAACAACGGATGCTTCACTCCAATGATGCCGTCATCGCTCAACGAGAGCGTGAGATTGAGGATATCGCACAGGGTATCATCGAGCTCTCGGATCTGTTTCGGGATCTACAGACCATGGTCATTGACCAAGGAACCATGCTCGATAGAATAGATTACAACGTCGAGAGAATGAACACGGACGTTAAAGCAGCCGACGTCGAAATCAAGGTTGCGTCCGGATACCAACGGCAGACGACAAAGCGAAAAATCATCCTTCTTTTGATCATAATTATCGCCGGTCTCTTCATCCTTCTCCTGGTCAAGCCCAAGAAAAAACGTTAGGGAAAATGGGCCGGTTGGCCGCAGTGGCTATTTAGAGCTTTTGATACTCACATTTATCGATTGATGTATTACAATCAAGGGGAGCAGCCAATGGTGTAAATAGGAGTCTCGGTGTTTTTTTTTCTTGTTCAATCATGTATGTACTTATTCTATAGACAATATTTACTCACTAGAACGCTTTATGTTCTAGAAAACACGACCTACTATGGCCATAGTGGTTTGTGCCTCTTGGTTGTATATATTACAATTATTTCCCGTCTCTGAAAAGGTGCTTCCACCCCTTGTCGTCATCGACTCCCTGGTTGAGGCGCAAACCAATATTTGCTCTGCTAGTCCGCCTAGCCTTGAGCGTTTTCCCAAGTGGAGGCATGTTCTCAAAAAGATCCGAGCCCCAGGCCTCTTGGAACAGCTCTCTCACATGATCATGTGATAGCTCCTTACTGTCTCTTGACCTATGTGTCTTCCCGGCTGCAATGGCTTTGCTAATACGAAGAGGAACCTGAGAAGATATCATGTCTCTTTCTATGAGGACCCCTTGGTCTCTAAGCGAGGCCAGCATCCGCACGCCACATGCAATGTCGAAATCGCTTGGCCTCATTCTCCCAAAGAAACTTCTTTTAGGCATTCTTTGGACTGCATCGTCAAAGCCCCATCTCAGAATGGAGCGTTGCATCGGGCCATCGAAAACTTCCTGGACTGGGTGCTGGCGATGTGTAAATTCCAAGTCTGACGGTATGTATTGTTTCTGTTTCTCGGTGCCAGTTTCGGGCAAATGATCCCAGATCGGTATCAGCCGGGGAGTAGGAGGTCTGAACAGTTGAACAAACTCGATCATAAGCTGTTCAAGCTCATCAAAACGACCAGTGCGACCAAGGTTATAGAATAGGGTTTTCCAATGTCCAATAGGAATAGGGATGTTATGAAAGCGAAGTTGCCGGACAATGCGAATTGCCCGGTCGAGGGGGTCCATTCGTTGCTCTGCATTGTTTGAAACTGTGATGCTCCTTTTCTTGGGGTGCTTTCCCAGACCCCAGAACACTCGGTCCAGCAGTCGCTGTGCATTATCCTCCGTTATGCTAACCTGCAGGGCGTTCATGCGGTCTAAAACGATTTTGGCCTTTCCAAGATGTCTTCCGTGAAGAATGCGCCTCAATATGCGGTTGAGTTCATGGTGAGACGGTTGATTCTCAATTGCCATCTCGATAGCTCGTAATAGTGCCACACGTTCCATATCTCCTTGTTGGGCAGCATATTCTCTCAACGTCCGCCTTTTCTTTGGATTATCAAACTCGTCGGGGTGAATATCGCATGCTGCTAAATTGCAGAGGAGGGGATCGTTGCGCGTCCGAGCAAAGTAAGTAAGAGCATGGCAATACACTTGTGGCGATATTTGAATACCAAGCCTTTCAAGATGCCGCAGGCGGACCAGAACAAGCTCGGAGGTGGATTCGCGCAAGGTCAGAGCTTGCAGTGATCTAGCTCCCACAGCTTCAATGCCAAGTCGATACACCAAATTAATCGCAAATTCTATAGATACCCAGGTACTTGCAAACCACTTTGCAACCAGTCCGTCACGGCGAAGAGCCGGTTGAAACGTAGATGTGTCAGCTACTATAGGGGTTTCATCAAGCGTCTCAGGTGAGAGAGGGCGACTTATGATAAAAGATTCCTCTTCGGTGAGTTCTATCATCGGATAATACCGCTTGAAAAATCTTATGAAGGGCCTCGACCTCGATGATAGCGGGAAGTCTTTTTGCTGAATGAACAATTTTCGCCACTTCCGAGCCAGCTTCAGTTGGCCGGCATCAAACAGTGCCGGGATGATGAAATCATAGAGCTGGCGCTCCAAACCAGAGACATACAGTTTCCCTAAGCATTCTTGAATGCGCCAACGAGAATTCTGTACCAAACTTGAAAATAATCCAGCAATTTCGTCTGGACCCGGGGGGTCAATCTCCAGGAGACGGTGATGCCAGGCCATCATCCTTTGGGCATCTCCTTCCTTGACCAGAAAATACATGGCTTTGACATACAGGTCGGGCCATCCAGAATACCCGAAAACCGATAGCTTTCGATCAACCTCGATGATCTTCTCAATTCGTTTGTCGTCGACAACAGCTGCCTCAATGATATCATCCCGCAAATCCTCGGCACCGGGCAGAAGTAATTGGTGAAGCTGGTTCTGTCGTAGGAGTAACTCGAAACATTCCCACACGCCGTCCTTTCCACGTTCTGTTTGCACGCTTTGGAAAGCATGTTTCCAGTTGGAAAGGTCTTGAGCCGGAGAGTCCTTCACGGATTCCAAAGGGTGCCTTACCACTTCGTGCCTGCCTCGTGATTCTTCCAGATCATCTTTCAGACCATGCGCAGACGAAAGGCAGCGTCGTCCATTGACTCGTCTCGATGCGTTGTTTCCTCCTCGTCTCCCAGCACTTGGTTGGCAATTCGAAAACCATCGAGCGTCAGCCGACTGAGCACGACATCCAGAGCTCAGTGCAATTTGGCAACAGCCTTTTCGTGGCCGCTGTCTCGCATTGTAGTTGAGTTGTTGGAAGGGAAGTCGTCGACTTGCGATAGCAGATGAGCTTGAGCTATAGGCAGACCTGGAGGAGAGGAAAGGTACTCCTTTGGTGTAACGGCAATGTCCCATCTGCTGGAAAATGCCCGGCATAATCAAGCTGCCTATGACATGAATCCAGGCAGCGTTAACCCGCCGGTGGGCGCATCGATGCTATTGTCTCAAGCCGTTGCAAGGGTGTCTCCAATGACCGCCGGCGAAACTAAATCTCGAGTTACGTAGGAATTGGTGCCAATTGAACAAGCTTCCCTGCAGAATTATTCGGGTGGCATTTCTTGGCGCCGGTGCACGTGCTGCGTTCGGGTGCTGAGTCATCCGGACCAGAGCAAATCCAAAGCCCGTCCACATTATGGCCTCATTCCAAGACGAACCCTCTCCAATTGACAAACGACTACCCGAACCAGAACCGATCAAGCTCCAATCGACGCTCCCAATACCGTCAAGATGGCGTACGTTCCTTCTCCTCTACGATACCAATAGATTTCACTATCCTGTCGCCTCGCACACCTCAATTGGCCATTCCGACTGCACCCGAACCGTCTTGCTCATCATAGCTAACTCACACCATCACAGCCTCATCAACGCCAAGAACTCGGTGCCTCAGAACCAGCGCCTCTACCAGAATGCCTACAGGGCCCACACCCGTCTCTGGCAGATTGTATGAACGATGCGTAACCAACGATCGGTGCGAAGGAACTGGCGACTAACTGGAAATAGGGCCACCGCAGCCGCTGGATGATTGCTCCCTACGTCGTCCTCCTCTGGGGATCCCTCGGCGGTTCGTTCACACCCCTAACGCCCAGAAAATTCTTCAAGAATTGGTTCTAACAAGCGCAGCCTCCCTCTACGCTGGCGGTCGCAAGGTCGCCGGCTACAACACCTGGTTCGGCCCCAACTAAGGGACCCCTCTACTGGAAGCTCCTAGGCCAAGGAATACGATAGAGAGAACTCAATCAGATAGCACAAACAGCCATATGGCTCAATTGAGTCCTGTAACACACGTTCAATACATATTCCTTTTGTATCACACCTGCATCGGCAACGAGTTGCAACGCGACCTTGACTCCCATATGTTGTTTCTACAATACATTAAAAAAGGTGGATGAGGTTTCAGCAATCAATGATTGCAAAGCCAATCTCTAAAGTCCCAGCTCATCAGATGGCAATCTCCTTGTCATCGTAAATCCTAGTAGCCCGTAGCTCCAGGCGCCTTCTCGTCTTTCCGTAAACCCATCAGCACCTCGCGGAAGCGCTCCTTGCCGGATCCAGAAGCACCGCCCTTAGCGCCCTTCCCGCTGACGTCGACAAGCTTAGCGATACGATCCCAGCTTGTTCCTCCAGAGACGGTATCATCAATGTTAGCGAGGAACTGCTCTGCTTCTTTACGGGTCTGGGCGATCTCCTTCTCCTTCTTGGCGTTGTAGTTGTTGTAGAAGTCATCGATGTTGGACTGGGCTTCCTTAATGGTCTCCTCTCGTTGAGCGGCGAGCTGCTCAGCTCGCTTTTGGATCTGAGCATCGCGGCGCTCGCGCCACTCCTTGATAACGTCGGGCTCCTCCTCGTCGTCAACGGTGGTCTGGAATCCTGAGTTGTAGCTGACGGAAGGACCAGTAACGGTGTTGCCTGGGGTGATTCCGGTACCCTGCACGAACCCATCAGTCGCATATCACAAATACCGCACAGTATCGACTGGAACTCACCGCCACGGGGTTTGACAGATCTGGGAACTGTGATTCAAACGTCGAGTCGATGTTTTCGCCTTCGCCTAGCAGGTCGCCACCGTCTCCCAAGGCAGACGCATCCTGGGCAGTTGCAAACTGGTCGGCATCATCACCGAGAAGAGCCTTTTCGCGAGCTAGGAAATCATCGGCCGAAGGCTCTGCCGAGGGGTTCTTGATATCTGGCTGTGCTATACCCAAAACATCAGTTCCGCGAAAGCCAAACCTATCCTACGGCTGCCGTGACTTACCTCCTGAATCGAAGTCTTCAAGCGACGGAAATCGGTCGGCCATGGTGAGAGCAAGAAAAACCGGCTATGCGTAGTCCTGCGAAAATGCGCTCGAGGGATAATGAATCGGGTGGTGGATAACGTAGACAAAGGCAACTAGAAGACAGCTTTCACAAAGTTGATGAGGTTGGTTCATCCGTCGTCACGGCTCCTTACTTAGGTAAGGTTTCTGGCGCTGCTGGGTGGAACTGCCGGGCGGTGTCAGGCCCACTAGCGACCGCACTAAGAGGAATTATTCAGTTATCAGGTATAATGCAAGTGTCTTAAATGCAGGTATCCACATTAGCTCCCTACACTCTGCGTGTACATCAACAAGCTTGCTTTCTTCTAGTCCCATCAACTTCTGCAACCTCCTCAGTCCCCGCGCCCAAGGGTCGTCGCAGTCAATCTGCTCAAGCGTACTTCATAGTATACCCCAATCTCTAGAATACTGGTCCTCGGGGCCTTGAACGGTTGAGGGGGCTCAGATTCCTGTCGCGAATCCAACCGCATATCAGAAGCTTCCATTTCCTGCGAGTAACTGTAGTCAGCCTGGTCATATGCGCAGAGGATCCATTGGCTCTCTCTGCTAGACGAGGGCTGTCGCGGTCGGTTTCATCTGTCATCGTTCATCAAGAGAGTGCCAATTACTCTCCCAATCTCACTCGGCTGCACACGTGATAGGCTCAGGCCAGAGAGTGTAAACATGGCCTACAACGATGATGCCGTGCTGGCAAGGCTCTCAGCCTTAAATGACAGCCATGACAGCATCGCTACTGCAGCACAATGGATCATGTTTCACAGGTGATTTTTCCAACTACCTACCCAACGTCTGATCTAAATACTGATCCATCCCACAGGAGACATGCAGACCGTACAGTGCAGCTGTGGGTGCAACGTCTGAGAGACTCCTCAGCTTCAAAGCGCCTCAGTCTCATTTACCTTGCAAACGGTATGTTTGAACTAGTAGAATCTGCAACTTGCATTGCCCTTTTGTTATTCAAGACGCCCCTCGAACAGCGCTCCAGCATTTATCTAACATGTATGCGCTTCAAGAGGTCGCTCAGCAATCACGAATTCGCCACAAAGAAGACTTTATCTTGGCATTCTCTCCCGTTATCGCGGAAGCAACAGCGATTGCCTACAAAGGTGCACCTTCAGAACTCCAAGGGAAAATAAGGAGGGTCGTGGATGTATGGAAGGACAGGACGATTTTTGAGGTGCCCATCCAAGAGGCCATTGAGACTCGCCTTGGAGGTAGGCTCCACTCCAAAGATTTCACAGTATGGAATCGAGGTGACTGACCAACTCACAGAACTTGACAAAGCTAGAGGCACTGCTAAGCCAGCGTTTGGAGGATCGCCATTTGGAGGGTCGTCTATGCCCTCAGAATTCGCGCCATTGGTTTCTGCGCACCAGTCAGTTGCCAAATTGAGTGGCCCGCTCAAGGCCACCGTTTCCACAGCAGATCAGGAGTATGAGAAGCAAACGGATACTTCAACACCTGCTCCATCTGCGCCAGTCTATGCCGCTCGTCTGCACGGCCTCCTCAAGACTTTAGCAAGTGCAGAGGTTGCCGTGGCGGAATGTGTCAAGGCACGAGAAGACCTTATCACAGGTCTGGAAAAGCTCTTGGACACGCACCGCACATCACTCGAGGCAGACAAGGCTTCTGCCAGCAGACTGGCCGAGCGCAAATCAGAAATCGAGAAAAAGAAGCAGGTGGTGGAATTGGCAATTATGCAGGCCTTGAGCTCTAGTGAACAAAATGGATCACCAGATGAAAAGGGACTGGATAACCAAGATACCGAGCCAGAGAGGCCAAAGATGGAGGCCCTCACGCCCCCAAAGATGGAAGCTCTTACTCCCCCAGCTATGGAGGCTCTGACCCCTCCCTCAGCTGAAGCGGCACCCCTTCATGCCGATTCCAGTCTGGAGACCGCTCCTGCTTCAACTACAACCGTTCCCCAGCAGAGTCTCCCCATTTACTTCGGCGAGTCTAACAAGAGGCGCCGTATCGACGACGGCGAATTTCCCGACTTGGGTAACGACGACGGGATTGATGCTGATGTTGCCGAAATGTTGAAATAATGAGTCTGCCGCCTTGAGATGTCGAAGGGTGAATCTGCAGCCACACACAGTAGTAGCATACGGCTCGTGCCATTGTACAATAACATTCGCTCACATGTAGTGATATATGAGAGCTAGCTAGGGCAGTTTTGGGTCATCTTATGAACCTATTTTCTCTCCATTTCAGAATCGAGAGATGAGGGGGTACGGTTGTGGCTGCGGGCCAGGATAACCGAGCATGTACTCTTTTTATGTTGCAGAACTGAGATTAATGGATCATGAGATTTCTATCTCAATCATGGCGAACGGAGGGCATTCATAGTTACGATATCCATATCCATAGGTAGGTAATTTTTCAGGTCTGTTGGGAGAGAATACTATGTTCGCATTTGCATGCGATTCGCAAAGCTCGTCTCGTGCATTGTGACACGCGCTATCGATAAGTGCCCTCCCTGTAAGTTGGGACAACACTACTATCAACGAGTGCCGAAGGGATTGGTCTGATAGCAAACTGCTGTTCGCATGTTCATTCACGTTTCCTTGTCTTATGCCTCAATTTTCGCAGCGAGGCTCAAACCTTAGCGATGCCGAGCGCTAGATTATGTCGGCGACATCATTACATACAGGACAGCCCGGCCGCTTTAGAGCCGATCCAGGACCGAGGGGCTTCGGAGAATTGAGCTCCACCAAAATTTCACTAAGCTTCCCAAGTCCGTTAGTGGTGGTAATTGAAGAGGTACTCTACATAATTAAAGCGCTCGCCTTGCATCCAGCTGCTTGCACTTTACCAACCGCACCGTCATCGGAATGTCGCGATGATGACGGAGTGATCTTCTTCTCTCACCACTACAGATTCGGTTTGATACCTCCCCAATCCAAAGGATTCGCTCCTCCTCACCTTCCCCCCCGACCATGCCGCGCTGAGCCGTTGGCCATTTCTTAATTTTTTCCTCCTCATCCCACGCCTCCACCATGTTTTCGGGAGCAGTGCGACGGGCGCTGCTCCCCCGGTCGATTGAGAGCTCGACGACACTTTCGCGACCCTGTTTCGGGCCTTCGAGCCTTCCTCTAAGGCAATACCATGCTTCGTCGTCATCCCCGACATCGCCGCAGCGACCGGCGCTCCCCTCCTTCTCGGTAGTAACCTTCCGGGCATCCCTCCAACAACCAGCCTCCAGACCATCTTCAGCACTCACCGCAACCCCCGGCTCACTCCATCGATCTGGCTTGTATTCTGGACCTTGGCGATCTTTCTCAGCTGCTCCCAGGCTCCAAAAACAGGTGCCTTCTAAGACAGAAGAAGTGGTGGAGAAGGTTGAAGAGGCAGAGTCCAAGGAGAAGAAGGAAGAACCCCATGAGTTCGAGAAGAGCGAAAAGGCGACCAAGGCCGCCCAGCTTAACCTCCGCGCCAAATTATCCAAAGAGGGGAAAATGCAGAGCCAGGCCGGCTTCGATGAGATCTGGAGACTGATTAAGGTTGCTCGGCCAGAACTACGATGGCTCGCGATTGCTCTCGTCTTTCTGGTTTTTTCGTCAAGTGTTTCGATGGCTATTCCGTTCACCGTTGGTCGAATCTTGGACGTGGCCACAAAGGACGAGTCTGAGGACATCAAACTTTTCGGCCTTACTCTCAACCAGTTCTTCATCGGTCTCGGGACAATTCTTACGCTTGGCGCCATGTCTACCTTTGGCCGAGTGGTGATTCTGCGCATTGTGGGCGAACGAGTTGTCGCCAGACTTCGATCCCAGCTCTACCGACGAACCTATGTCCAAGATGCCGAGTTCTTCGACGCAAACCGTGTTGGTGACTTGATCTCGCGACTAAGCTCTGATACCGTTATTGTGGGTAAATCCGTTACACAGAATCTCAGCGATGGTCTAAGGGCCCTATTCAGCGGTGGTGCTGGTTTTGCCATCATGGTCTGGACCAGTGCTAAGCTCACCGGTATGCTACTTCTCATGTTCCCACCAATCGCAATTGGCGCCTTCTTCTACGGTAGAACAATTCGCAATGTCAGTCGCTCGATACAGAAAAACCTAGGAACCCTTACCAAGATTGCCGAGGAACGGCTAGGCAACATCAAGACAAGTCAGGCCTTTGTTGGTGAGGTCCAGGAGGTCGGTCGCTACAACAGGCAGATTCGCCGAATCTTTGCTCTGGGCCGAAAGGAATCCTTGATCTCTGCTACATTCTTTGCTTCAACTGGTTGGGCCGGTAACATGACCATCCTCGCCATGTTGATGGTGGGAGGCAACCTGGTCAGGACTGGAGAGATGTCACTAGGAGAGCTGACATCATACATGATGTACACGGCTTTTGCCGGCTCCAGCTTGTTTGGCTTGTCCGGATTCTACTCGGAATTAATGAAGGGTGTGGGTGCCGCAAGCCGACTGTTTGAGCTGCAGGATCGCAAGCCTGGAATTCATCAAACCATTGGTGTTCCTGTGAAGTCGGCCCAAGGTCCTATTCGGTTCGACAACGTGAGCTTTGCCTACCCAACACGACCAGCTGTCCGGATTTTCAACGGCCTCGACTTCGAGATCCCATCGGGAAGCAATGTGTGCGTTGTTGGACCGTCCGGAGGTGGCAAGTCTACTGTGGCATCCCTCTTACTACGATTCTACAACCCGATAGGCGGAACCATCAGTATCAACGGCGTGGACATTTCGACGATGAATGTCAAGTCGCTTAGACGACGCATCGGAATGGTTTCACAGGAGCCAGTGCTTTTCTCTGGTACTATTGCGGAGAACATTTCGTACGGCAATCCTCGGGCGACACGGATGGAGATTATCACGGCCGCGAGAAGAGCCAACTGCAACTTCATCAGCGACCTCCCTGATGGCTTGGAGACTCAGGTCGGTGCCAGAGGATCACAACTATCTGGTGGTCAGAAGCAGCGCATCGCGATCGCTCGGGCCCTTCTCAAGGACCCCGATATTCTGGTGCTGGACGAAGCAACTTCGGCACTGGACGCAGAGTCTGAGACACTTGTGAACGAGGCACTTGCCGGCCTGCTCCGCGGGCGCAACACCACCATCTCCATTGCTCACCGGCTTTCCACCATCAAGAGGTCTGACCAGATCATCGTTCTCAACAACGAGGGCAAGGTGGCTGAGATTGGCAGCTATCCCGAGCTTGCAGCCAACCCAGAGAGTGCATTCAGCAAGTTGATGGAGTGGCAGATGAGCGGAGGCGAGATCCCTGACAAGAGAAGTAGCGACTCTAACTCACACATCACAGAGTTTGAGGAGATTGAGCAGGATCTCCAGGAGAGAGAGGATGCGGAAGAGGCGAATCGAGATGAAGTTGACGAGAAGTCAACAGAAAGCACCAGGCGGCCCTAGGTGCCCAAAAGAAATTATGTCCAGCCTCACAGAGGAGACCATGGAGTTTGGGGACAAAGCGGTTAGAGATGGGATAGTAATGTTTGCTTTTTTGAACGGATTTTTCTCTTGCATATCTGAGAGAACCAGTCCTTCACTCTTTCATGTATTCTACACTGATAGGACAAGACCGTCGGGACAGACAGGCTTTCGTGTACATTAGGTGAGCTACGTCAGCTCCCACAACCGCAGTTATTTACATCTGAGCATCCCGGTGGGAGAACTCCACTCGAAAAAAAGACGGAGAGACAAGACTCATGCGGCATTGCATGCTGAGCTGGATCTCGTCTGTTGGCATTGTGCATAATCTCATATACATGTAATCACCAGCAAGTAGGGAGCAATGGGACAACGTATTCGTACAGAATTATTGGGTGGAAGATGCCTCGGCATCAATGCCAACAACCAAAGAAGATCTGACATAAAAATACCACGTAGCTCGGCATTATTCGCATAACAGGGGCGATTGCCAGGGTCGATTGCATTAATAGATGCGCAAATCCAAGTCATGGCTTGTGACTACCCAATAAGGCCTAGAGAGGGATCGCAGATTCTTGGAGAAGATGGAGACCGACGCCTCCGGAAAAAGGGTGTGGGCAATGACAAGGTTCGCTATTGACCTATAAGAAATAGCCCAGCTGAACAAGCCACCTCGGCTTCTAGGCCTCCCCCCTTCCCCCAGAAAGAAGGGATTACCTCAAGTATTTCCAAATCGCGTATCTACTATATCTCCCACCAAAGATCCCTCGACGATCCAACCCAGCAAGACATACCGGCTTTTATTAGAAAATTGTTGGTTCGTAACAACCCCGTGTTGGGGGCCATCGCAAGTGGAGCCTGTTGGTTCCGAGCATGTTATTTGGTTGGGCGCTGATTCGGAATATGCAGGCAGTATGTCAACCACCACCGAGGGCCAGTTTGAGCTGCAGGGCGGCGTGAAGGCGTACACAAAGACATGGACGGTGAGTAGTATGGCTCCTGCCCGTTGCCTTCGCGTCTTCTCCCCCGCGCGCCGCTGACGATTGACTCTCACCAGCCATCAGGGCCCATCAGAGCCCACCTGGTGTTTGTCCATGGCTTCAGCGAGCACATCAACAGGTACAATGAGTTCTTCGCCACCGTGGCCGAGCAGGGCATCCAGGTGCTCGCCTGGGACCAGCGCGGCTGGGGCCGCACGTCGCCCAGCAAGGCCGACTGGGGCAACTCGGGTCCCACGACGCAGGTCATCGCCGACGTTGCGGCGTTCGTGAAGGGCAGCCTGGCCGCGCGGGAGGGCAAGGCGCCCCTGTTCGTCATGGGCCACTCGATGGGCGGCGGCGAGGTGTGCACGCTGATGGGCGACCCGCAGTACGCGGAGCTGGTCGGCCAGGTGCGCGGGTGGCTGCTCGAGTGCCCCTTCATCGGCTTCGTGCCGAGCCAGGAACCGAGCTTCCTCAAGGTCTTCTTCGGGCGGCTCGCGGGGAGGGTGTTCCCGCACCAGAAGCTCAAGTTCTCACCGCCGCCCGAGTACCTGAGCCGGGTGCCGGAGGTGGTCGAGTCCATCAGGGCGGATCCCATGTGCCACGACACGGGGACGCTCGAGGCCTTGGCCGGGATACTGGACCGGACGGCGGTTCTGGCGTCTGGGACGGTGCCGGTCCGTAAGGAGGTGCGCAGCCTGTGGCTCGCCCATGGGACTGAGGACAAGGTGTGCAGCTACGACTCCGCCAAGAAGTGGTTCGAGGCCCAGAAGGGGCTTGAGGATAAGACGTTTGTGAAGTACGAGGGGGGTTACCATCAGCTGCATGCGGATCTGTGCAAGGAGCAGTACGGCAAGGACATGATTGCTTGGATTCTGGAGAAGAGTGAGGAGGGCAAGCCCGTTGAGGCAAAGCTGTAGAGAGATGGTGTAGAGACGCTCGGATTTTGATACCTCTTAACTGATAATACCTTTTCGTGGTTTGTGCATTCTCTGCGGGTATATATGAATATCTAATCTGTTGTTGTGCTGATTAAGACGGGTAGTTGATTGAGCTATAGGTTTGATATCAGGTTGTGCAATCTTTGTATCTCAGATTAAATCTTGTCACATCACATCACACCACCGCACCACTGAGCAGCCTGCTTTCACACCATATGTCTGTCTTGGATAATGCACCGACCGTGCATACTGATTTTTGATATAAAAGGAAAACCGCATAGCTGCCCAATCCCGTGGGAGAATAAAAGGCGGCATACAGCCAAGAAAATGATGTGTCTATTGTCTATAGGGTGGGTCAAACGAATTGTCCATTCAGGATCTCTCCGGTCACACCCGAACGTTTGACGCGGCCTGCACCTTGACGGTTCATGGGAAGCAGCCAAATGAGAGAAATGCGATTAATCATTCCTTGGCTCGGCCGACCTATAAATAAGACCAATGCAGGGTCTTCCCGAACGTTGGCAACCTTATTCCAATCTCGACGGCATCGCTGCGCTGGTCTCGTATAGTCCTAGCATAGCATGCTGCGAGTTCTGGAACAGCCCCTTGCGCCCTTTCCAAGGGGTAAAGAAACCTAGCCTACTTGTACCCTTTAATACTTCGCTATGACGTTACCTGGAGTGGTACGGCACGACAGTGTTCTGCCTTCCCGACGTGGTGTCACCGCGCAAAGAGCCGTGGAGCGATGCTTCGGCTCAGCACAACCGAGTCCCCTGTATCTTCACGGCTGATCAGCTGGGGCTTTGACTTCCTGTACTCTCAGTAGGTACGCCGCAAATATAGGCGCGGCTCATGTTAGATGTGATTCACTCACAATTAACACTGGCCAATTGTCCCACGAGCACCAAGACAGGCCATTTCAATGTTTCCCCTCAAAACTTGGCTCAAGGCGCGACCGAGATGACCAGCACCGTGATCGCCATGTCCCATCTCCCTGCCTTAGCTGCCAAACCCCGGCGAGTGCCCACGTGCCTCAATTACAGAGAAGGGACGAGGGAGGAAGCTGCTATACCCCAACTGTCAGCCAATCACACAACTCATTTCCATCTCTCCAATTGATTGAGAAGCGCCGATGATCTCTCCGCATTTCTTACTGTACAGGTTTTGCCAATTCGCTCACTGTGCCTCATTTTATCATCTGCTTTCTTCCTTGCCTCTTTAACCCATCCCTTCTTGTGATAAAGTGAGCTTTGGTACCAACTACCATCCTTCTTTATCTTCCATTTGGAGCTTTGGGAGCTTCACGATATTTCGAAACAGCTAGTTATTGTGATATCTGCGACGACTCTACCTACTCTGCAAGATGATACCCGACGGGAGCAACACCATCACCCTTCACCCCAACATCTACAATATCCAGCACCAAGACCACGGTAGCCGCAGCCGCAGCCGATCCTCCCACGGCCCCCACGACATCTCAGAGAGCACCGGCGTTGAGCCCATTGGACAGGAGGCAGGGCACGACCATCCCGTTTCTCGCCATGGCGGCGCATCCAAGGATGTGGAATCTCAAATCACTGCTGGTCGCAACTCAGGCTTCCCTCACGTGAACCTTGAAAACGACCCCTATGGTCTTTCGTTAGCCTACAAGACCGAGGGCGACCTGGCCAAGATCAAAGCCAACACGTCTCGTAAGAGGGACAGCGGCCGCAGCCAGTGTACCCCCAGTATCAGCGCCAAGAGCAACGCCCGCAAGGTCCAGGGCTTTTACGAGAATCAGAATGCCGCTATTGAACGTATGCTTAAGTCGGTGGAAGAGCACCGGGAAGAGGCTCGTCAGGAGGCTGGCGATGACCAGCTTAAGTTCCGTATTGCCGTTTGGGGATCCTTTGCTGCCAATATTGTCCTCGCAGCGTTGCAGCTGTATGCTGCCATCTCATCAGGCTCCCTGTCGCTGTTCACAACTATGGCCGATTCCATCTTCGACCCTCTGAGTAACCTTACACTCATTTTGTCCAACCGGGCCGTCGCCCGCGTCGACCCGCGTCGCTTCCCCGCGGGTAAGGCACGCCTGGAGACCGTAGGAAATATCGTCTTCTGTTTTCTCATGATCGCCGTGTCTCTCATTATCATTGCTTTTGCCTGCCAGGAACTTGTTCAGCAGAAGGAAGACAAGAAGTTCTTCCTTCCTTCTGTCATTGCTGTGTGCATCGCATTTGGCACCAAGCTTTCTTTGTTCTTCTACTGCTGGGCCATCAAGGACAAATACAGCCAGGTCAACATTCTCTGGCAGGACCACCGAAACGACTTGCTCATCAACGGCTTTGGTGTTTTGACATCTGTTGGTGGTGCCAAGCTGGTCTGGTGGGTCGATCCCATGGGTGCCATCATCCTGTCCGTCCTCATCTCTGGCATCTGGCTGCACACGGCATTTGGCGAGTTCCTCCTGTTGGTCGGAGTTGCTTCGTCCGTCGACATGCAGCAGCTCATCACCTACGTCTGCCTAACCCACTCGGACGCAATCCAGGGGATCGACACTGTTCGTGTCTATCACTCCGGCCCTCGGTTGATTGCCGAAGTTGATATCGTCATGGACCCGACAGGCACTTTGATGACTACACATGATGTTGCTGAAGCCCTGCAAATTAAGCTTGAGAGCTTGCCGGACATCGAGCGGGCATATGTTCACATTGACTACGAGACTACTCACAAGCCGGAGCATGCGTTCAAGAAGGATATCTAAATCGGTGCAACGAGGGGGAGTCTAGTTACTATGATAAGGCCATGGGTAAAAAGTTGATGTATATTCTCAATGGCAATGCGCTCTCTGTTAATGCAATACCCTGGGATTTCACCAGGGGCTATCTGGATGAAGAAAAAATAAAAGAAGAAGGCAAGAAAAAGGACGGAAAGGCGAGCCCTGACAATGCAGTTCGTTCTCAATTCACCGTATTCCCTAAATGATCTTCCAAATATATCGGACCACTATCGGTTGATGATGAGCCAGTTGCTTGTCGGTTCGTCTGTTATACAGGTGAGTCTGCCTTCATGATTGGTATCGAGCCGCTTGTCTCCTGGCTCGTCGATTTCTGTGACTCCCTCTGCTCACCCGGCTGTCCTGAAGACGAGCCTTCGATCATAAGGGGTATGGATCCGCTTGTCTCTTGACCTGATGATCCGTGCGACTGCCTCTGCTGGCCACTCCGTTCGCCTGTCTGCCCCCCATGGGGTTTGTTGTATATCTGCATAAAGGGCGCTGAGGACAGGCCCTCTTTAGGTTGTGGATTGCCAATTTCGGACTTGTCTACTACTCTTTTCTTGCTCTCTAGACTTTGTTCTCCGCTCTGCTGCCCACTCTGCTGCCCTGTTTGCGCCACAGGGGTGGTGTCTTGCTGGACTAGCATTGGGCGTCCAATCGTGGCTTTGTCTATTTTGCTTGTGTCCTTTCCCATGAGCTTCTCAATGCCCTTCTTGGTCTTTTGAAAGAACCCAGAATCAGGCGTTTTGCAGCTCCCCCCATCCTTCTCACCCGGGGCTCGCTTGCAGTGCTGAGTGGCCGGGTTAGGTTTGGTGGAAACGACCGACTTGGGAGCAATCCCAGCAGGAGTCTGTTTTGTAGAAGGATTCTTGGCACCATTGGCTTTGATGGAACTTTTCTTTCCACGCAATTTCTTTCCTGGATGCTTCTTTCCATGCGTCTTCTTTTCGGAACCCTTCTTTCCAGGCAACTTCTTTCCAGAACCCTTCTTTCCAGGCACCTTCTTTCCGGAATGCTTGTTTCCAGAATTCTTTTTACCAAGACCCTTCGCAGCAGACTTCTTGGTGTCGACCTTCCTGGCCGGAGTCTTCTTGGCATTGGACTTCTTAGTGCCAGTCTTAGTTGAAGCCTTCTTTGCTGCAGCTTTCTCTCGACCTGTACCCTTCTTAGAAGCTACTGTCTTCTTAGGGGTACCGGCAGCCTTCTTTTGGCCGGCAGCCTTCTTTTGGCCGGCAGCCTTCTTTTGGCCGGCAGCCTTCTTTTGGCCGACTTTCTTGGCTTGAGTCTTTACCGCGAACTTCTTAGGAGAAGCAGCCTTATGACCTGCCGCCTTCTTGGAACCGGTAGGCTTCTTGAGACCAGTAGCTTTCTTTGGATTGGCAGCTTTCTTAGCAGTGACTGCCTTCTTAGCTCCAGAGGCTTTCTTAGGAGTGGCGGCCTTCCCAGTAGCAGCAGCTTTCTTAGGAGCAGTAACCTTCTTGGCTCCAGAGGCTTTCTTAGGAGCAGCGGCCTTCTTTGGAGCAGTGGCCTTCTTTGGAGCAGCGGCCTTCTTTGGAGCAGCGGCCTTCTTTGGAGTAACATCTTGTTTTGGAGTAGCAGCCTTTTTAGGAGTGGCAACTTTCTTGGGAGCAACAGCAGGCTTCGCTCGACCCTTCGCTGCCCGCTTCTCGAACCGCTCTCGTCTCATTGGCCTGCGGAGTTGAAGTGATTGGCCATATCCGCTATCCACGCGTAGCCCAAGGCCGACTTCATTATCGCGGGTGCCAATATAGGCATCCTCATCTCGGACATTGAGCCTGGATCGGGATATGTCACTTGAGAAATGCGAAGCTCCAATACTGGTTCCGGAAACAGCAAGTAAAAGTGGAAGAGTTGAAAAACAAAGGTGTTTTACCAACACCATGATGGTAAGCCCTCTGAGAATAGGATATAAATTGAAGAAAATGAAAGGGAGGGAAGAAATAAAACCGGCTGGGGGTGGTACAGGAATTTACAGAGACCTGGCTCTGGGAGAAGTGACGAAATTTGCTGTGATAAGCTTGTCGAACGAGCCTTTTTGGATTGGAGATTGGGATTTATAATTATTATCTATAGCCATAGCATATCGAGATATCAAGACTTGACAGCCTAGCCATTCTCTTAGCCCAACTTATTTTAAGAATCATCACACCAGCTTCAGGAAGACAAGTGCAAAAAATTCTATTACACTACCGCTAAAAGGGAATGGAGGGAAAGGTTGCTTCGAAATGTTGCTCGAGCGGTATCTCTTGCAAGGATTTGCTACCTTAGTTGCCAATCATAACAGGCTATAATGCAGGACGTATGGAAGGAGGAGAAGGCAACTCCTCCGCCAATGCAAACAGTAAGACAATTGCGGTTCCTTCTAAGTAAAAAACGGAAAAAGTGTCCTGGAGCATCCTCTACATTGGTGATCCTCAAGTGGCTGCTCCAGGTGCAACGCGCCAACTTAGGTGGAAATGGGATGATATTTTTAGCATGTACAAATTTTGTTACGAGTTTGCGGTTCTCCACGGGAAATAACAGGTAGATTACCATATTTAGACACTGGGGCGCGTTGTTGGTTAAGTTGTTGGTTGTGCTGTTGGTTGTTGGTTGCACTGTTGGTCATGCAGCATTGCATCCCTGTTGTTGGTAGCCAAACTCGCAATAGGTGAGTGCATTATAGCAGCGGGGCTGAGCTGCAGGCTGCAGGCTCTACCTACCTGTAGTTACCGTAAGCATGAGCTATTTGTCCCAGAACTATTCGTCCCAGGCGCTAACATGAAATTCCGTTTGTTGGTGGTCATCGCATCACATCACATCTAAGCCAACATCATAACGCACCAATGGATCGGCAATCAGCCTCTATCCTCACCAAAAAAAACTCGTCAAGATCACCGGGTCATTGAATAAGCCCATTCTAGGTTCCCTGCTATCAAAACCCTCAGCATGATGAATTACTTAGAAGGTTTGCAGCCTGGCTACTTTGAAGTCGAATGGGATACGGCTTACACTGCTGTCGCCAAGTCCGAGAGGCTGAGAATGAAGGACTCGTTCACACAGCATAGTGTTGTCAAAGCGCTAGAGGAGTTTGTCGCCAGTCGAATAGGAGAAGATCGAGGCCCAGCTACCCATGAGAGCACATCCGAAGGCCGCAGCCACTTCATCTTTGAATTTGCCTTCTCTAACGGATCTCTCGTTTTGCTCCGTGTTCCCTACCCGGGCGGTAGTGGTACTTCCCTAAAAGCTGAAAAGATGACCAACGAGGGCGAGTGGATGGAATACTTCTCCGCCGATACAAGCATACCCGTCCCACATATCTATAGCTTCAGCAAGGATGCTTCGGACCTGGTCCCTATTCTCAACCTTCCCTTTATCTTAATGGACGTAATAAGAGAAGGTCAAATCCTCAGTGAATATCTGGCCACTCTGCCGGACTCAGGATCCGAATCTGACACAATACGATCCAAGATCTACGAAGAGTTTGCTTTGTTCTACCTTCAGCTCCGACATCAGGATGCCTACGATATCGGCTCTATCGGCAGAAACAGCTCGGGGAGATGGGAGGGTACCAAGCGCCTTTTTACGCGTGATATGTACCTGCAGAGTGAGGGAATACCAGATTGGCCCTCGTCACCTTTCCTTGACGCGCCCTACCAATTCCGTCTGGATTACATTCAGCGCATGGCCAGTGAGCAGAGGATGTTTCTCTGGGATCTACGTACTTTGAATTCGCCAAGGCGATTAGATAAACCCGGGACATTGGGAAGATCTTGTCGAGATAAGGATCCCAACATCGACCCTGAGGAGGTTGCAAAGTGCGCCCGCCTCCGCTATAGAGCCCGTCACTCATTTACGGAGCTCATCGACGAGCTCTATACAGACATGGAAGAGTATCACTATACTCCTGTTGTCCCGTTCGTTCCACACTTGAATCCAGATAAGATGTTCTACGACCCGAGAACTGGCAGGATCACAGGTGTCTTCAACGTTGAGTTTTCAAACTTCACGATGCGTGCATTCTTGTCAGATCCACCTCCATGGCTTATCGGTCTGCCCCCAAGCCATTATATCCGTAGACATGATCTAAACACCTACATCACAAAGTACGAGGCGGCTCTACCGAAGTTCATAGAAGCCATGAAGAAGGTTGAAGCACGGGCGGAAGAGCGGATGGGATGGGAAGGGGTAGCCCCCCATCCTGAGGACCCCAAGGCGTTGTCGACGCTCATGCTCGAGTCCTGGAACAGCCGGCGGTTCTGGTTCCATTACGCCCTCCAGCACATTTGCCACGTGGACTATCTTTACTACGAAGTGCTCTATAAGCTGCATCGCGATGGCCAGCTGTGGGAGCTGGAACCGGAACTTGAAGCCGAGATGGAGGAGTATGTCGAGTATTGCAAGGACATGGTCCAGAGTTTGGAACAGGACTGCGAGAAGTTGTTCGAGGGCCCCGATCCGCAATTGAAAACACTGGTAGCGGCCATGAAGGCTGGACGGCTGGATTGATAGACGAGAGCCGGGTTGGCTACACACTCAATTAATGACTTTCCCGCATGAACGATGACATTCGGACAGCTGGTCATCTTATCACCAAGAGATGAAAACTACTTTGGGAGCTCACTCTGTACCGAGAATTTCGTCAGTGAAGTTATCGGAATGTGAGAATGATCGAGATTAGCGGGCTAAGGCACCTCTCTCTGGACCTATAGACACTGGACCTATAGACATCGGTGTGGCCATTGACCTACATTTTCCGGATTATCAACTCCTGAGAATGGTGGTAGACGGGAGCATCGCCACAGGCCGGAGCGTTGATGAGCGACAAATAGATGTTGCCCCGGGGATGTATAGCAGAATACTGAAGGCTCGTACTGTGAAATTAAGCTCAACGGGAGAAAATTGCAAAGATGCGCCAGGGTGACATTTGGGTGTCAAGTAAAACTCAAAATGTGAATGAGGCCATTCCGCCCACAGCTACACAGCTAAATCGAGGATAGATGGATGTTGTCGCTGCAGGGTGGTCCAAGACCTTGCAGCGCTTTCTATTTGTGTCGTTGTTCTAGCTAAGGGCTAATCTTACTCTTGCAGACTCGACAGAAGAAAGTTTCCTGGCCTTGCATATTGCGTCTTGACCTGCAAGAGGGTGTGCAGACGGCTCTCCTGAAACAGGCAGGGTTATGAATCATTGGCGAGGGCTTGCAGCTGCAACCACGGCCGGCATCGGGCTTCGGAAGACCTCACAGGTTGTAATTGTATCATGGCTGTATCTTCTGATATATTTACATAGATTGTCTCTGATGGAGCGAGGATGGCTTTGCTCACGGCCCTGGGCGAGTCAGGCAGAGTCAGGAGAGTTTGTTGTTCCGACCACTTCCACTCCAACACTGGCCCACTACGTAATGGCAGGCTGGAGAAATCACTGGCTGATATGGATATAATTGCATCCAATGCAATGCACCTGCAAACGGGTCGCGTCAAAGGCAACAGCCCCGCGAATGAGCCTGCAAGCTGCCCCCCTATGATGCATCTATGTAACCCACCCAGTCTGGGGTACGAGCTACGTGCAGTAGCGAGCACTATTGTGGACGCCAGCAGATGTACATACCACCTGACCACCAGGATATATGTAGGTACAATGTGCCCTCGCGTTGGTTTTGGATGCCAATCCGCCCTTTGAGCGCCGTGGACGAGGGAGAAACTGCCGACGCAAAGGCAAGCCAAGAGAGGGCCGTTGTTTTTATAAGATTACGGGCTGTTCGTATATCCCCTTGCCACAGCCGCTAGTCTCTGGCGCGAACCACGTGCTGTACTTGGCTCTGGCCGGAAGTTACATCCGTCGCCGTGGGAGGTGCTTATAGTCGTGAGGTACATATGTCGTAACGGTCGGTACCAATCTGGTAACTGCACCAGCAATCGCGGGTGCCACCTGCCTGCTATTATTTTATGCAGCCCATCCCATCCGTAAACATTGAAGGCCATCATCAATTTCGAGCTCTCTCTCCTCATACCTCCTAATTACCACCCCGTCCACTCCGACTCTGCTCGCCCGGTGCCTCGCCTTCATTCTTGACAGCGCCTCCCCCAGAGCCGTCGGGATCGACTTTTGCTTCTCCCAAGCGGTCGCGCTACGTCCATGGCCGTTCGGCCTCTGAGGCTGCAATGGCGAGTGGGGAGGAGCATGTGTACGCAACGGTTTGTACTCCCCACTGTCGCCAAAGCAATTGTGTAGGACACGATTGAGGGCAATGCATTCGCTAACGCTCGACGCTTGGCTCGTCTCCAAAGCTTCTCTTGAGCGACTCCTATCTCCCAGGTACGTGGCATTGGCGCTCTCGAGCTTTTGCGCCCCACTAACTTCTCCCTTCGTGAAGGAGCTCTTGTGCTTGCCCATTCCTTGCGCGATGCCGGGACGACCAAGAAGCTGGTGGTTCTAGTCACCCTCGACACGGTCTCTGCGGAATCCATAACCCAGCTCAAGGTAATTGGACTTTCTATTCTGTGTTGGCTCCTTTATGAGGCAGACCAATGAGTATGTATGCCGTGCTAACCCGTCATGGACCAGACCGTCTACGACCATGTCTTGCCTGTTCCGCGGATATGCAATGAGAAGCCAGCCAATCTCTATCTCATGAACCGCGCTGATCTTCACTCAGCCTTCACCAAGATCAATCTCTGGAAGCAGACCCAATTCTCCAAGGTAGTGTATATAGACGCTGATGTGGTGGCCTATCGTGCCCCAGATGAGCTGTTTGACATTGCTGAGCCGTTCGCTGCTGCACCCGACATCGGATGGCCTGACCTGTTCAATTCGGGTGTCATGGTGCTGACGCCCAACCTTGGCGATTTCTATGCAATGTTGGCAATGGCTGAAAGAGGCATCTCGTTTGACGGTGCCGACCAAGGTCTATTGAATATGCATTTCAAGGACAATTATCACCGTCTTAGCTTCGCGTACAACGTCACTCCCTCTGCGCATTATCAATACATACCGGCCTATCGCCACTTCCAGTCCAGCATAAACATGGTTCACTTTATTGGCCCCAATAAACCCTGGTTTGCAGGTCGCCATGCCAAACATGACGATTCGCCTTTCGATGACATGATTGGGAGATGGTGGGCAGTATATGATCGGCATTACAGAGCACAGGTGGGTCTCAACTCTCATATAAATTGCCAAAGCATTCCATGATCAGGTTCATTTTTAACATTGCGGTTCAGGAACAATCCTCAGGCCAGCCTCAAGGCTCTTCTTCTACATATGTCCAGTACTTTACCAAAGGTGAATTTCGGCCAAAGCCGACACTTATGCAGTCAGGCACTGGACAAGGCCACCGACAGGATCAGGGCTACCGACAGGACCAAGGCAACCAAGCTCATCAGGGGACTCAGGATCATCAGGAGCAACGGACGTACCAAGGCTCACAGGGTCATCAACATCATCATGATCACCGAGATCAAGGCTACCAAGGATCGCAAGGCCAACAAGCGCATTGGAGCCAAGGCCATGAAGCTCACGAGGGTCAGCAAGGTCATCCGGATCATCAAGGACATCAGGGGCACCAAGAGCATGAAGGTCACCAAGGCCACGGTGATCACCAAAGATCAGATGAAGAATGGCACCAAGAAGCCCAACCCGGCCAGTACCATGAACACCCACCAGGGCCAGGAAGCGCTTCAACCCATGATGGCGGACAACACATTCATCATGAGCACCGACCAGGACCGGGAAGCGCCCCAACCCATGATGGCGGGCAATACGATCACCACGCCCATCATGCCCATGATCAGGCCGGGGCTCAACCACCGCAAGATGCGCAGACTGAACACAAACCGGAAGTAGCAATGTCCAGTTGGGATGCTCAAAGGTAAGGCGGATGGAGTCCCCTATCCCCGCTTCTATTTGTTAACATCATTAAATCAGGCAGCCTCCACCAGCTGACTCTGCCCCCGAGGCCATCAACTTCCCATCTACGCACTATGAAATGTCGCAAGATGCTGCACCTTTTGTTCCCCCACCACGCTATCCTAGCCCCCCAAAGAATATGTGGTACGAGGTGCCGACAGCCCCCCCAGCACCACCAGCTGAGCTTCCAAAACCCGTGTTCCCATGGGAAGGCCAACAGCCAAAACCCACCCGAACATTCGCAAGTGTTGTTCCAGATTTTGTCACCACCCCTCAGGATACCGGCCCTTGGGTTGAACACGGTGTCGGTGGTTCGGTTGAATCAGGCCTCCATGTTGAATCACATCCACCAGAAGGAGATTCAACAGAGACAGGAACTGAGGCAGGAAGCTCAGTAGCTACCCTGCCATCCCAACTCACACCTACCGAAGCATCAACTGTCCAAGCGGAGCCATGGGACGCTTTCCAACTGAGCAACGCCTGGGACGAAGTCCCAGAAATCAATCGTTATGTAGAAGGACTACAAAAGCATAAACGCGGAAAGTCTTTGCAGGGGATCTCTTCTCCAGCTACTACCGGCCCTCGCTACCGCCGAGATCCTAATAAATCGGTTTTCAAACTGACTGACTTCCCAAGCGCGTTTGAGCGCCCAAGCTTACCTGTGACGCCAGCTCCAATTGCGCGGCCGTCTTTTTGGGGTCAGGAGCAGCCAGATGCCAGGGAATTGGAGCTTTCGCTCCCATTGCCATCGGCGGAAGGTGTCCCAATGCAGTCAGACTGGGTATGTGTGCATGGCAGACGATGGCAACCTACAGACTGCTTGTGCGACTTGACTGACCTCTTGCTTCCACTCAAGGACCCGGAGGTACAGCTCCAAAAGCTGGCTAGGCAGCAATATGAAGCGCTATTGCTTAAGCTAGAGGCCAGTGCTAACGTGGACAATGTGGTTAAAGACCTGGGCCACAGCATACCAAAGCGTTCTTTGCCATTTGGCTCAGAAAGCATCAGATCGCCTAGTTTCATCTCCCAAAATGTTCCAGTTAGCACACTGCAGAGAGCTGTACAAAGCACATCAAGGGCAGATAGCACCTTCCAGTTAACATTGCCCCATGACGCACCTCGAGGCACACCTAAGGAGGTTCCAAGACAGCATGGAGGCTTGCTCGAATCACCCATGGCCAAGCCCAGATCAAAAGCTCCTGAATAACTGCTTTCGGGAACGAGAGTGCTCGAGATATGTCAGTTTGACTGGTAGCGCCCCAGTATTTAGTCGACAACCGAATTCAAGCCCTCTACATCGAAGCGACAGGAAAGAAGCGTAGGATTGGAGCACAGGTTTTGGCTCGGTATCTCCTAGTGCTGGCGATTTCGAACCCACCCTTTCAGCGAAGCATTTACCTTCTTGGTTAACCACGTACTATCAATTCTTCATCGTCCCAATTCTTGTTTTGGTTTCTGTATTTGACGCGGCATTTTGGCCGACGTGGAAATTGTGTCAACCCGATTTTTTGGTAATTCTGTAAGAAATATTAGTTCAGTTTTGGCAGGAAGCATTTGGAGATGGAGATGAATAAGTAGATATCATAGCATCAGGGTTGGGCTAGAGACACCCGTGGGGCAAGAGGTTTTTCTACTTCAATGTTCGTTTAATCATCATCCTGTGAGGAGGGCCTTGTATCTATCAATGTATTGTATATGAGTGAGGGTATTGTCGGATTCATTTGAGCTTTTAATGCGACTGTATCATGCTATCATCCGAGTACCAAGAAAAGAAGACAAACGCCAAAATTTGCACATGTGCTATGCTTATGGGAGCCACCTCGTCCACTGCTCAGCCCTTTTCGCCTCCCTATGATAGAACACGTAGTAACACAGCAAACAGCAAGAAGGAAAATAAGACGTTTTATGCTGTGCAGTCTTGCTTAAGAAAAGTACACCATCCTTCACCGCCCTCTTCCACGCCAGAGCAACGATGCAGGCGCTTCGTCTGGGCTCAAGACGCCACTGACATCTACTCATCCTCGCTATCATCTTCATCTTCATCATCGTCAGCCTCGGGGACTTCTTCAACTGTCACCGCGCGGCCTTTGCCCTTGCCGTCTTTCTCAGCTGCAGGCTGGGTATCTTGGGAAGATTGGTCCGCCGCGGCTGGTTCAGCAGCGGCTTGGGCAGCTGGTTCGAGTTGCGACTCCATCGCGGACGTCGCGTCAAGACGTGCGCTGCTTCCGAAGAGCTGGGCGGGGCCACCCCAGTTTGGTAGCACAGGGCTTGGGCTGACCACGGGTGTGTCCGCAGTTGTCCGGCTTGTATGGACAGCGGGAATTGAACGCGAGGCATGTGCATCGCTGGAGGCTTCGGTAGGTCTCACAGAACGACCGTGGGCATCTCCAGCCGGGGACGCACCACTCTCAGGTTCGGTGCTGGGCACAGATGGAGGTGCAGGGCCAGGATGGGGCGATGGCTGCCGGGGAGGCTGGATCCCACTCAGTCTTTGGAGCGGCATAAGCGACCAGCCTGGTGGGATCACGACGCCATCTGGAAGATCAGGGCTTCCGGCAGGGATTTCTGTTGTGTAACTGGTAGTTCCATGGCGGCCGAGCAAGGGGCTGTTAATCCGCGCCGGAACGCTTGGGAACGACGGCACTTGATGAGGGAAAACCCCACCAGTGTTAGGAGACAAGGATGCCGGAAACGACAGGTTGGGAGATGAGCCAGGCAAGGTATTCACGGCCGTTGTTTGATCTAACAATGCGTGGCGCTGGCGAATCCTTTGCAACTCTGCGAGGAGGAGATCGCATGTTTGAAGCTCTCGCAGTCTAAGATCGAGGGCAGACATCTCGCGCTGGAAAGCCTGCTCGGCTTGTTGGAGTAGGTGCGCGGCATTCTGGAGGTTGTCGTTTGAGGATGGTGGTTGTGCCGTTGTTCCTGGAGATGGTGCCGCTGGTACAGCTGGCGCTGCTCCAACATTGCCTACTCCAGGCTGAGCTCCAAATTGACGTGCAAGCTCCCTAACTTGTGCACCATTTGCACCAAAACCCAGTCTAAGGGGACCAAGGTTAAAGATCCGGGGTCTGTTCTCAGGCTGCTGATTATCATGGGGACCTGGAGCTTGTTGCGGCTGTTGCTGCTGCTGTCCGTCCGCTGCACCAGGGTCAGGGGCATTCGCACCTTGCTGTGCAGCGCCCTGTTGACCATTGCCACCAACTTGTATCCTAAGACCCATTCGGCGGTTGGGGAAAGCCCGTGCCCGATCAACAGTCACAGGGCTTCTGCAGGTCGGGCACACCTGTTGACGCTCAAGCCAACTCTTGAGACAACCCAGGTGTAGAGTGTGGCCACATGGTAGCTTCTTGGGACGGGTACGATCAACAGCACCCGTATTTTCTGGGTCCCAAGGCCGCATCTCTTCACGACAAATGATGCACGTGTTCTCCTGAGCCAGCTCTTCTTCTGTGGCATCAGGATAACGATTCATTTCCTGGATAGCACGGCGGTAGCGTAGGAGCGCAGTCAGCCGTTTCAAGAAATCTCTCGATGTCATGAAAAGATCTCTGATGATATGAATCGGGAGACCATAGAACATGAGGAGCATGAAGAAAAAGGCAACGTAAATGCCAAGTTTGATCATATCTAAAAATTCTTGGTTAGAAACAAGCTGGAATACAATGGTGCAAGAGGAGGCATACCGGTGATCAGGTCAAGCCAAAGTACCCATTCGCCTTTGGACGCCCAGCCTGGAACTTCAATGTCCATCTCATCAACATCATCCTCATTCGGTAGGGGCTCCTGGTTTGCTGGCGGCTCTTCCCCGGCCGCTTCGGCTTGCTCTCGTTGTCTGAGCATCGCCAAACGCTGCTCTCTGACCTCTCTCCTCCTCTCCAGCAGGCGTTTTTGAGTTTGAGATTTGACGATGTTTTGCTCGGTGATTGAGAGCAAGTAGCGAACACCGGTGCGCCATGAACATGTGGCCAAAACGGCGAACTCGAACAAGAACATTACCATCATATTAGGACGCGCTTGTTGGATGACCGTATTGATGGTATAACGGAGCAGCCAGACGTCGTATATGAAGCTTGCCGCGAGAGAAATACTGAGGCGCAGGTGGAACAGGCGGGGGTTTGCTGGAGGCTGCTGTTCGAGGACTTCGACTCGGCCATCTCCTATCCAGCCCCAGACTTTTCCGGTCACCAAAGCCGTGAACATAACAAGAAACCAAGCCCCAATCTCTTCCCGGAATATCGTCATGGCAAGGCAGGTCTCGGTGATGGCGAACCAGGCTCTTTCGGTGAGCTGTTCGATCTCGACAGCTCGCAATCGGCCAAAACATAGTCGCGTAAGGCTATACAAGAAACTGCTGTAGACGATAAGGGTAAAGTTTAGGAGTATCTATTTCAGATGTCAATATATGGGTTGGCGGGGGGCTGTGTGTGAATAGATGCAACAAACCAGAAGACAGAAGTTGCTCTGAGCGAAATAAACCATGGCCGAGTAGAAGTTGGACCTCTGGTAGAATGCCGATAGAACCACCGATCCCGCAAGGGCCGATGAGGCCTGGACCTGCTATTAGCTTTTGTCATTGATAGAGGTGCTGCAGAGCTTCAAGCTCCATTTCAGGTATGGAGTGGCCTTGTGCGCACTTACCCCGGCATACCAGCCTAAACGCATCTTTGACATGGGCAATGGGGTCGCAATATCAGATTGATGGTATTCCGAAATGCGGCTACATCCCCGTCTTCACCATCGCAAATTTGGTGATAAAGGCGTTGAGGATGCTTTGGATAGCTGATAATCGGTTGACGGAGCTTGAAGCCACGTTCAACGACCGTGACCCACCAGTGATGACGCAGGGATTGTAAACTGTAGCACGTGACAGGTACCGTCGCGGCAGTTAACTTCCGTTATTTAGCCGTTGCGCAACTTGGTCCTATCAAATCGGATGACAAAGCGTGATATCGGAAGTTCATCAACAACGTATTCAAGCATGTTATCGAAGAAAGTGCAACAAGTATACCAACAACATAGAGATGATGCTCAAATAAAATTTGGTCTGTTTTTGTCCTCGCAATGGAATCCAAGAAATCTCAATGCGCTGCATATAGGCGCCAAGCGCGATGTCTAAATGCCCCCGTTCTATGTCATCCTCTTGGCGTGCTCACGACTCATGCAGCCTTCGTGACATGATTCAGATCAATATCTTGTATCAAGGTAGGCGATGTAGGCATCCAGCATGCAGCGCCTAGGGAAGCGCACTACCATCTTAATCTTGAGTTTTTCCGCCCTTTTATCTAAATCTCTTGATTCCTCCAATTACCCTACCCTGCAGCCCATTTTATTGACCATGCACGACGTATTCCACGGTCGACTTATACCACAGCGCAAGATATGTGAGGCTCTGCTAGCCAAACGTTCGACAACGGAATCAAGCCATTGAATGGTAAGACACGGGATTACTTACGCTAGCAGAGGTGTGGAAATAAAAGAAGTAGACTATCATGACGAAGAGTGAGGGTTCGGAAGTCAAAGAGTCCGTCGGAACGGAGGGGAAGGTCGAATATCCCGTTTCTCCTGGTGTTTGACGGGAGTACCGGAAGAGGCAAATCAACTTCACGAATCTCGCACTCGGGATAAACCCTCCTGATGCGAAATTAGCCTAACTGTCAACAAAATGCCTCCTGCTCGTCATGCCAAGCAAGTACTAAAGACATCTGCCAGGAGCGTATCCACCACAAGGCAGGCAAACTGTCGAGAATGCCCTGCATCTTGTCTGGATGGATCAAGATTCCTGGGCTCCGTGTCAGGAGGAGCTTAGACTCGCGATGATCCAACATGTCATAGGAACCTCGGCAAAGCATTTCCTAACCTCCATTCATGGCTTGATTATGGGGCTGGCTAGTATGATGTGCCAACACGTTAAATGTTGCTGGTATGCATGTGGAGATAGCGGACCGTTGACCATCTTGGCTCCGATGCGATGCACCATGATGGTGGCGCGGTGCATAATTTCGCCCCGTCAATAGGAAAACAGGTGTAATGAAGTTATACTTAGACATTCGACACAGTGGTGGTGGTTGCACCGTGGGTGGGCATGGCGAACTGTGGGAAGTTTCCTGATAGAAGCGGGCCACTAACGAGGACAGAGAGCTGTGCGAAGCGTGCGGCAGCCTTCCACTGCCAAGCTGAGACTCTCGCTCAAATGCGGAACGCTTCCGTCATTTAGCGAAAAGAGCGGGTTCGAGACCAGCAACACCACCGTCACGCTGGTGGGAGATCTGCTACGCTACGGGAAGTTGCCATGCCCAGGGCAGGGTTCCGCCTAGAGCAGGGTAAGGCCCAGCTCGCTTTATTCCATCAACACCATCGCATCTCCTCGACCATCACCCGTTGCATACCTACCCAGGACCTGCCTGCAGCTCTGCCGGCAATTGCCTAGCCACAAATTGGTGCTCATTGCGATAGCATGCTAGGCAACCTAGTGAATCACACCCGCCCGCTCCATCCGCTCGCCAACTGGGGGTAGTTCCATGTGTCGCGCGGTTCCGGGCCTCGATATCGCGGCCGGAGACTTTGCCTCCAGTGACACATGCAAACTACCCGTCAAGGGTCCGGCCTCGAATATGTGCCGGTGGCACGGTCTAGTCTCATATTGCGCAGAGTTTCTGTGTGCTATTCTCCTCCAGGTGATCATTCCAAGCCGTTCCTCTTCGCTAGAACATGCGCGCTGCCTGTGTCCATCCTCATCCGCCTCTAGTGATATAAGACCATAGCGCATCGAACGATAGCATCCGATACCTCACACGCAAGGGCAGCGTGACCACCTCATGATGGAGTCGAAGAGCAAGGGTCATGTCTTGATGCAACCTTACCTGTTCACCATATCAACCCTTTCTCCGCGTTCCTACATACACGATACTGCATTATTACCTTTCGACGTATAACTAATACGATCACGTCCCGTGCCTCCTTCAATTCCAAGTAGGCTGACCGACGGGGAGAGAAAGCCTAGATGTGGGGTGAGGGGAGGGAGGGGGTGGGCCGCTATCTGGCGGCTTCATTCCAATCCATCCCAGTGTAACCAAGGATAGCAAAACACAGAGGCGCTACTTCGAGCCTTACCTTTACCACGAGCAAGACTCAAAACTGCCCCAGCCTAGGGTACCGTGCCGTACCAGATGGGGGGCCTCATCCACCCCGACTCCCACGTTCATCCACATCCACATCCTATTCCTGCCGCTCCGTCTCGTGGGAGCAGGCGGCCAATCCTGGGCGTGTGCTCCCAAGGTCCAGATTGACGAGATGCAATGGAACCCTCCTTGCCTTGCTTTGCCGTCCTCCCCTTACGATTGTCCCCAAACAAACTTTACCAGCCCTTGGGCACCAACCAAATATGATCCACCGCATATATCGTTACATTCCACTATGAACAAGGCAAGGATTGCAGTTCAGGTTGGCTACTTGCCGCGCGCTGATGCTGGCTTATGGTTGGATCCCATCTTATCATCTTGTCATCGATATGGCATATGGAAGGAATTTGCTTTTTTGCTTTGTCAAATCTCACGCTCACATGGTCCTAATAATTTCCAAGACCTGCGAGTTCAGCCCAGGCCCAGAAGCATTGGTAACCAATGGGACTCTGCCGGCCGCTGCAACATGCACAGCTGGTGACTTCATTGCTACCCTGGTGGTAAACGTATGTGCTAGTTTACGGTCTGTCACAACGCACGCATGTACTTGGAAGCAGACAAGGCTCGAGTCTGGTACGACTGCTGCATGGTCCTACATAGCGCTTCATCCTTTGCCAACCACCAGCACATATTGTCTTCTGGCGCCGGCAATATCCTAATCCAAGGCTCCTGGGTTAGAACTTAGCCCACGCCCCCCCTTGGCTTGGTAGATCAATTTGACCACCCCCACCTCACCCCAAACGAGAAGTTCAATGGCATTGATATTATTAGACTGCGAAGAGGCATCTAACATCTCTGTTTAGTGCGCCATGTAGATCTTCCTAGCTTCCTTGGTGGCTAATCTCTAGAATGCTCGACTGGGATACCGCACAGGTATCTCCTTGCTCACCGGCAGGGCAATAGGGATAGGGATTGAACAATAGATTTGATTGCCACCTCATGGTTCAATACTTCGGTATCGTTGCAAGGCTCCTGGATTCACCAGGCAAACTCTACCCCCTTCCGGGTGGGTGCAGGAATAACCCCTACCAGTACACGTGTCGACCCCTGGAGAGTGTCGGTGCATCCTCCGTCTGTTGCCCATAGGTCAGATGGAGAAAGTTTCACCCGAGGACGCCAACCACTACGCTGGGTCTCAGCAATTTGGCCAGTGTGACAAACGTCTGCCAAGAACCCCGGGCCAAGTTAATTTGGCGGCGACCGTACCAGGCCATGTACGTACTCTCCTAGCACAAGGCTTATCTCGATGAATGGTGAGCGGCGCGCCGCGTCTAAGCACAAAGCGTAATAGGCTGCAAGCAAACCCAACGGACTAAAACAAAAACTGAAAACAAAAAACATAAAGGAAGAGGGGGACAACGGGGGCGGCAAGGGGCGGCCGACAGCTTTCACAGCGACGGCGGCGGCTCATTCCAGCAGCCTGGGTGTGACAGTGCCACCTCTCACTCTTTCTCCAAAGTGTCTTAGTCGCTTTGTCTCTTCAATGCTCTAGAACTGGCGACACGGAAGATAGCGAATGCTGGTCCAGTCCAAATAAGCCTTGTGCAGGACATGGTGGCATTGGCAGAGCAAGAGGCAATTTGTGCTTTCTTTTTCTGGCTCATGGTTCACCCTAGTCTCTGCACTGTAGAGTCATGCGCATCATGCAGGCAGAAAAGATCGTGTTCATGGGGATGGATGTCAACCCCTCATCCCCCCTCACCCCAAAAACAGCAACGACATGGTGGTGAACTCAAATCGAGACCTCTCCCTTCCTCCCCCAGGCGGGCCTAGACGGCAGTTGAGGTGCTGCGCCCGTGCCAGGTGCTCGATCCCAACTGCCAATTTTGGGCTAAGAGAGCTAGACCGCCATAAGTTGTCAAATATATCACAGCAGAGGCATACGGGAAGATCATGGTTGGCCGGCCCTCAATCCGTGGCGTCAATGCCTGGCCCGCCCCGACCATTCTAGCCCCTCTCGAGGGGCAGCCAAAGATGACAGCCTGACATATGGGTGATATCACGACACAAACCCATTCTGGGGCACAAAAGACAATGAATGTCGCTAGCTCAGCCTTATGTTCATCATCTCCAGTAGCTTGAGGACTGGAGATGATTTTCTACTAAGCAAACTCATCGCCGAAGCTGTGGGCCGCCATGATTAGCACTAATGTGCGTACTATACGCGTCCCAGTGTGAATCCCCCTCCCTCCACTGGACTATAGACCAAGATTTAGGAATATATTTCTCGCTCACGGGCCACATCCCAACTTCTGAACCATGGATGTGACTGCAGCTGGTGGCTGTTCACGCCCCTTTGGATGTCTAGACCGAGGGAGTGGTAACCTTGCGGGAGTTTTCTCGATTCCTGGTGCCTGCCACCCTCCGCAAGCCTTTCTTCCCCCCGCCGCTTCTCTAACTAAAGATAGCGCGAGTGCAAGCGCACTATGCAGGTCTCAGGAGGTGGATGAAGGGATCAACGGTCCACGGAGATGGGAAAATTGGTGGCTTGCCGCGGGAGTCGCGGTCAAGAGCACGGTTCACTTAAAGAAGCGACAGCCGTTAGTCTACTAACAAAACACCCATCACCCAGCGGCAATCATACATCACTCTTCGCCGTACCTGTAATTACACACAGTCAATAAGCAAATAAAAGGGGCATATTAGTTTCACGGCGTCGTCACATATCTGATGATGAGGCCCCGCGAGATGCCTCACCCTTCCTCGTGTGAAAGTCCCATCTCACCCCCTTCTTCCCCCGGGCGTGGGAAGCCAGAGTCCTAGGCACACGAACGGATTGTCATTGGGGGATAGCTGCATGCAAAAAAAACGAAGCGTCACGCCGGGCGGTCTGTCGTGAGAAGTTTAATAGGTACACGGCGGCCTCTTCAGTTGGCCCCCCCC